TCAAAATCCCAAATCAAAACACATTCAATCCTCGGAATCATATTCCTCGCCCCCCCCCCCCCCTTTAGTTTTTCTCTTATAATAAATTACAAGAACCATCATCGAAAAATATGCTGCTAATAAAATTATGCCCTCAGAAAGTTCAAATTAGAGAATGGTTTGCATTATCGAAATATTTTCATGTCTATTCTAGCTATTCCCTCATATTCAGGTAATGACCGACTGCAAATCAAAATGCTCAAGAGAAGAAATAAATACTTGATCGGAAGAAACAAATTCTGTTCGCCACCCCAGGGCAAGCTCCTGAGGGAAATTGACATATTCCAAAAGGCCATAATTATTACCGGTTTCGAAAGTGAATATCAAATCCGTCACATATTCGGTGTTCGTTGGAAATTTGTATTTCGCTGCGGACTATAGTCTTGCATATAATGTAGGAGAGAGAGGGGAGTCTCTTCGCAACCGTTTTGTCTAAACAATGACGAATTCTGCCCCTTTGGTAATTATTTTGATTTATAAATGTTGAATGCCATTAAACAGATGACTGGATGAAAAGGTGAACTCGGGTGCTCCATATTTTCTGCATTATGTCAGATGATATGAAAACAAAGATTATAGTCACTTCTGGGAGCAAAGGTTTGAATATCATGTGTTGCAATAATGGGATCTTGTGTCAAGGCAAAGAGATCAGGGTTGTACTTGACAAGTTTCTACTTAAAATGAAGTTTGTATTTAACGAGTATCCTTAACAATAACCTCGTTAGGATTTATGACTTGGTTAGATCATAAATCACTCACTGAACCAAGGCGACAGGTCTATACATAATGGTAGCCTGGATGTATATGATCATGATAAACACGTCAAAATAGACGATTCTGGTGTGTTTGTAGGAGAGGAGCGTGAAAGGTATCACAATTTGGTCGTTCCCGGGAATAACGCATTTTGTCAGAGCAGCGGGCAAATCAAAACCAGTAAACTACTAAATTGAGATATGAAAGAGCAACATGAAACTGAAAAACGATGATAAAACTCAACTACTATACATCCTATATTTTTTCTCCTTACTTCCGATGGTTTTTGTTGTTTCAGAAACTTGAAATTAATTGCATCTTGCTCTTCGTCGAATCAAATTAAAATAAAAATCTTATAGCATTATTTACATTTCTTACCAAGACAGGTAGCATGCTCCTCTGCATGGTATGGACAATGGAAGGCACACTGATATAGAGTACTTTACGAGAAGGCATGTAAATGACAAACGGCTATATTTCACTTTTAGTTTTGTTTCTCGGAATCTAGTCAAATGCACGGGGTACTCACTGCATTGGACAGAACAGCAAATGGGGTGGAAAATATAATGTAACCAGGAGTCATCTTCAACACAAACTTGCTTTGGTCACAACTAAACCTTTTTCACATCTACAACAGTCTACAATTAACCTATGTCATCCCATATGCAAAATCTTGTGGTGGACAATTAACCTGTACGTGTATCTTCTTGTTTTTCATCATTATCATTATAGGCTTTATACAAAATGACATTCCACACATTATCTTCACATATTCACTGATATCTTTATTATAAAGCAAAGTGCATAACTTACCAAAATGCTATAACAGTCACTGATGATAATAACAAAATACGGCAAGGTGCTTAATACTACATGAAGGCTATAAACACATAAAGAGCACCGATGCGGAATTCAAACGAGTTGGAACAGAGTCTATACAACTGAAGTACATTCGTTCTTTTGAGCTTTGTTACAGCTTAAAACAAAACAAGAGCACAACTTTAGATACAAATGTATAAAATAAAAAAACTTTGTTACATTAGAAACAAACACTGCATATTATCACAAAAATGATAACATTTGATTGATTTAGAAAAGAAAATGGATTGACTTTGAATTATGGACTAGACTTAATTGAAAGTGAAAACTTCATTCAATGTCTATAAAGACCAAACAAAATTAATTATCCTTTCATTCTTATCACCATGGTAACATTATGACAGGTAAGCATGGATGGCTTTTTTCATCATCAAAAACAATATCGTGGCATGAGGCTATCTTCAAACTTTGGCAACATTTTTTCTTAGCATGCATCTTCATAAATGTTGCATTGTTGATTTTTTTTAAAGGGTGTACAGTGTAAAAAAAAATCACCAGTACAAGCATCCCCTGTTCAAATCACAAGAAAAGTTTTGTCTTCTAATATTCTTAGTACTGTCCTTGATATGGTACTGACTACATGTATGTTTATGTTGTTCAAAGGTGTTTCTCTTTAAACAGGGAGGAATATTTCATGGCAATTGTATCATTGTATACGTTATAACATAAAAGAAACTCATAATTTTTCTCATTTTGAATATGACAAACTTTTTAATCCTTCAACATAAAATCAAGGGATAATTGTCTTTCTTCTTCAAATCACAAGACATAAACAAAGCTTAATGAGATAACAAAGCATTTTGCTCTCACATTGCAAACTCTGGTTTCAGCACAACCTTAAACTTTCATCAGCCTCAATATTGCTTTGCCTTTAATTTTAATACATACAATTTATTTTATGTTTTCCAGTATCAAGCAAATTTGCACATCCATTTCCATTAAGCCTCTTTAACAATTCAGATTAGCAGCAAGTTCATGGTGCAATGAATACTGTACACATTTATGAACTAAAAATCTAAGAAAACAATAAAAAATCACTGTATATCAAAAACTTCACTGCAAGATAAATGTATACTTTTTCTTACCAATTAGTGTCGGTCATAGCATAAGATTATACAACGATCTCTTCTCTTGGAATACCGGTATTAGAGAACTTTAGGGTTATATAATAAATCGTAGCAAGAATAAAGCTCAGCAAGTCAACATCAATTTGGTTACAAATACTGATAGAGTTAGGCACTTTCTGGTTTGGCAATATTAGGCTTTCTTTCTTGAAATCATCTAAATATGAACATTTGGGAACTATAGTACCAAACATTAATTGATCATACACATTCAATATAGGAAGATGAAGAGTGTTTCTATTTTGTTCCATTTTTGCAAGGAAGTCTACTGGGTTTACATTTGTTTAAATAAGATAAGAGTAAACTGGAGAATGATAGGAGCGCTTCAGCATACAGGATAAAACATCTCAAAAATGACTACATTTCTATTCCATTATCATATTTTAAACATGTATTCAAATGTGTTTTCTAAGTAAATCAGGAGATTTCCAGTATCATTGCTAGCCATACACTGTAGCTTATGCTACTCTATCACAGTCATTTTGGCAAGAGAGTTTGGCTAGCTGAGTTGAATACATTTGTAAGATCAACTATTGCAACACTCAAGAACAAAACTGTGGCTAAAAGCTCACTTCACAGGGGTAATACAAACGGGTAAACCAAGTATGGAGAAGTAACAAAATGGACATCTCATGCAAGTCACAACCAATCTCCCATACATTACTACATTGGTTTAGATTACTGCAATGCTATTTATCCATGAATATTGGGCAAGATTAAAATTAGTTCCATGGCACATATGCAGACTATGAATACAATATGTCACAACTCAGAAATATTTTGTAATTAAGGTAGTAGCAAGGTGTTTAATGCCTTTTAAAAAGATTAAAAAGAGTAAGAAGAAAAAATCTACTCATTATTAGTAGTCTATGTTTTTCTGTGTTGTTATCTTTCTAATGCTGGCGAGGTGTATCGATTTGTTGAAATGAAAAGGCAACTTTTAGATATCATACTAGACAGTAATGCCTGTGGTAAAATGAGGATGCATGCACTTGAAGATTTAAAAACACAGAAAAATTGTGTTTAGCATGCACATCATACTCTTTTAAATGCAACAATTAAACAATAAACATGGATAACAATGGATGAAACATAACACTGTGGATGACATCACAGGCTTGAAGCTTTTCTACTCTTTACTGTTTATACCATCTTGATCACAAGACACAATACTGTTGTTTGATACGAATACTTTGGTCTGAAATTCTAAACTTTGAGTAATAACAAAGTTGAAGTTCTGAACAAAAGAAAAGTGTCATCAAACACTTTGCCCATTCTTTTATGGAGCTTCTATCAAAACAGTGGTGTGGTGTAACACAGTCAATGTTAATAGCAGCATAAGTACCTACCTATACTATTGATATATCTTGGTTTAATTTTGCTTTACATATTTAAAAAGAAAATAAATTAGTATAACTACATTATTTCATACAATAAAAGTGGGCCGGCCACATACAAACTTGTCCAAGGCCCTATCAAATTCTTAACTTTACATTTGCACTCATTTGCAAAAAATAGTTTAAAAAAAGATTAAAACATTGATAAACTACAAGTCTATGTTTTTTTTCAGATCAAATGTAAATGCTATATTGAGTCATCATACACAACTGTTTATGAAATCTAACGATAAGTAGTACCATTTTACTTTTTCAAAATATTCAACATATCTACAAGAGTAAATACTTACACAGTAAACTACACAAGTAAGCTATATTTACAGTGACATACGGTACATATGGATATAATGGAAGTTTCTTCTGATAAGGAATGCTAGTACAATATAATACATGGAAAATGAGTAGGAGTCAGGCAAGCCAGGAATACATGAACAGTATCATTGTACTGCTATCACTCAAAGTAAACTCTTTAAAAAGTTTTGCACAAGTTTTTCACCAATGCCTGATGATGATAGAAGCCAAGGTATACATGTGCATGTCCATGTATACGTACGATATGGCAAATTATTTTAAAACAGGCTGGTCAGTGATCACAGTCTCTGACCATGTACTATAGAATGTTTTGCCTATAAACTTTGACTATGATTCTATGTCAACATGGATCAGAATCATCAGATAGTTATAATAATCATTTAAAAGGGAAGAAAACAGCAGATATGAATACACTATTAACAGAATACAATGTATAAATTGCATAACAGAACTTTTGGTAGCCTCAGCCCCTCTCTCTCTCTTTCTCTCTCTCTGATTAATTCTACAGTATTCATATTATTTCATGAAGTCTATTGAAGTAATAGAGGCCAAAATTCGTTTTTTGCCTACCTATTTACAACTAGTAATATGATCTTTGGATATCTGACATTTTATCTGTACTATATCACACTCTTCACTTGCAAGGTTAGATAGGACAACAAGCAAACAGGTCAACCAAGATTCAAGTAGGAGACTATTTCACTAAAGCTGATCTCAATGGCAAGTTTCGTCACAGAGAGAAAATGTTTATAATTGTCAAGTATTCGAAAACTTCATGTTAACCAAAACCTTTTGGGTTTCGTTAGTATATCTCAAAACTTAATGTATTACAACTACAATCTCACAGGAAGCACAAATGTTGAGAGGTTTCTTTACAGTACAACTTGTTAAATAAAAGATCTAGTACTGAATGCTAGTACCAGGCAAACTTGGATGTAGCAAGAATCCTCCAAATATGTTTGATCACTGCACTTCAACATGTATCTCTTTTACATGGTTTTATAACCCCAAAAGTTAAAGGACCCACAAATCAAAATTGCTTTTATCAGCACATTTTGTTGTTGTTGAAATGCACATAATTATCATGGCAAACTCAAACACAAACATTGCTTTAAAACACTATCATCTCATCATAACACACATTGCTTCAAAATGCCATTTGGGCATCATAACAAATCATTTTTGCTCAAACATCCAATCCATATTTTAAACTGATGCCATGAAATTCACCTTTTTTACAAATGAGTGTCTTCCACCTCATAATTCATCAATTCTTCTTGAGTAAAGTTATCGTACGGCACAATCATATCCGATTCCATCTCTCCCTTTATGCTTGAAAGGTGGTTGCCGTTAGACACGTTCTTATCGTTCTCCGCCATGACGGGATTGTCGAATCCCAGCTCCAAGTCGCTGTTCCGCGGAGTATGATTGGTTATGTACTCACCGCTCCTACCTCGTTTTCTATCACAGAGCAGGTAGATGAGACCAACAATGATGATGATGATACTCACTGTAGCTATCACTACCAACGAGATGAAGAGACCAGGGTTGCTTAGGAAACCAATTTCTGGTGGAGGTTTGCGAGTTGATCCTTCCGTTGTATCTTCATCATCATCATCTCCATCGACTGGAAGGGTAAAGCTTGGTGATGTTGGTAGGGTGTTTAGAATGAAATCTGGAAGTCCGGCGGTGATGGATGGGGCTTGTGACGGAAGAATCCCAAGCTGTAGGGAAGAAAATAAGGACATATTGATATGAGTTTTCAAAAGTTGCTCTATAACACTACCTATTTTGTGTATTCTAGATGTTTGCTTGAGTTCTTGTCTCATAATATATAAAGACATTTTTCTAAAAATAATTATTAAATAGAAAGAAATATATATGATTTGTTTTTAAAGAGTACAGAAATAATAAAATACAAAATAATTCATTTGAAATGCCTATGTTTGTCAATGATGTTGTATTGTTTAATGTGCTTCTAAAACACTTCAAGTAGAAACAAAATATGATGTTGATATTGACTGGCATTGCATGGCTGATTGTCAACAAAACAAAGTTAAGTCTTTTGTCAATTCTGCTTGCTGCTACGGCAGGCAGCCAGTAAAAACGAATTTGTTTGAAAAAAATCATGGAAATACAAGCACTACTTTAAACAAACAGAACTTTGTCATTCCTTGCTCAGTTTTCCTGATTGAGGTGTCATATGAAAGGGCAGGAACTCAACTTTCTAGAAATGTGATTTTCTCTTTGAAATTCAGATACTGTCCGCCAAATGACTTTTTGGTTTTCTCTCTTCAAATTCATTTTAATCACTCATGCATGAAATATGCATCATATGAGTTGCATCAAATGAAAGAGGAGAATCTCAGGTTTCCAAATATGTGTCATTTATTAATTATAAATGCGACTAAGTTATGATAAAACATAATTAATTCTCGGTTTGGTTTTTTCTGGGTCGCACTGTATATGTTATACTTACTGCCTCTGTAAAAGCAGTGATATTGTCCAATGCGCCAAGAACATCACCTAGAGGAACAACTGGCTTCGTCGAACCTGAAGAGGGAAGAGAAAGAAAAATCACAGAAGTTAAAAGGAAAATCCAACCTTGATAGCAAACTACTCTAGAAGAAAGGAGACAAATCAGAGAAGTAGACTGGTGAAGGTTTGGATGAAATCAGACAAAGATATGAATTTTTGACAGTTTTAATCACTGTAGGTACATGTGTGGGCTGTCTCTGTGATGTAGTGTCAGACAGCTTTACCATTTGTTCCGACACACATAATTACTAAAAATTTGAATTTTTCAAAAATGTATTACTCACAAGGGTCTATTCTCTAATTCTCTTTAGAGGAGCTATAACGATATGTTATCCATAATATATTTTGAGTAGTGCCTCAAGGGAGAAGGCACTTGGGAGAAACACAGAAACTAATATTTTTGTACTGAAAAACAGGAGAGATACTATGTCACGATCCACTGACAAAACCGCCAATTTGAGATTCACCTAGACGTTTAGTGATCTCATATTTCAAACATTCATAACTTGAATTTGAATCCAAATTTCGCCATTCTGTTAATCTTATTTCTACTTTCATACAAATGAACTTGTTACAAGGTTTGGATTGCCCTTTAAACGTCTGATTTCATTATTAAAACCATAAAGCCTCTGTTGAGGGCCAAAAGGGCATTAACTTTGTCAAAAATGAGTTAACACCCTTCTGGTCCTCAGCAGATGATAGCACATCAAGAATCATGTAGGACTATAATATGTAGAGCTCCTCAGCTCATCAAATCAAGCACATTGCAATAAAACCAAGAGATCTCTAAATATTGAAGACACATTTATGCTAGGTACCGTCAACCTAGCATAAAAAACTGATTAAAAAGAAAAGCAAATACGTGTACATGTCTGAGCTAATAGAAACCAAAACATAAGGGCCGCTTGCAATGAAGCTGAAGGTTAATGCTATTGCTAAATATATTACTCATTGTGGATGTAGTATCAAATATAATATCGCTAGTCACATTTGTTTGTCTCGCAATGTCTCGCAATGTATGGTCAACATTCAACAAGGGATCTAAAAAGATCACAACGTTTCGTTTCGTGAGCCACTGCAACACTTCGTCAGGTGATAAAATCTAATGTAAGCAAGCGTGTTTTATACATTACATTTGTAGATTTTATCACCTGACGAAGTGTTGCAGTGGCTCATGAAACTTAATGATCTTTTAGATCCCTTGTTGACCATCATACATTGCAAGACAAACGAATATCACTAACGATATTATTTTCGATAAGTTGAAGGTTGGAAGCAAATGAAGGAGCCGAGAGTGTACTGGTTAATTAATTTATCAGATCCCCAATGTCAAGCCAAAGGGTAATCAACCACCGCTCTTGGAATGCCAGACATGATGATGATGATGATGATGATGATGACAGATGCATTTGCTGTTTGCTACTGCTTCTAAATCAAAGCCCAGTCCCACTCTATCAGGAGGTCTGGCAACTCCTTAGTATCCAATTACTAGCAATAATAACCATAAAAGTCAAAGTACTTTTTAACATTATTTTGGCTACCCATCTCATTCGTTCTGGAAATTTAATTTTCTATGTTATATTTTTTAAAGATGTTTTACTTTCAAAATATTTTGTACAAGTCTTGTGGAGTGTAAAATGTCTGTTCCATACTGCAAATTGAAAAAGGAATACTTTTAAGTGATTTAGGTTCAAATAATTGGGAAAGTTTTCCCCATATGACATTACAAATAGTGACCTGCATACATGTATACCAACATAGGGAGACCCCCATATTTGAAGTCATATTTTGCAAAAATTCAAAAATTCTTATGCTTTCTCTAATTTTGTGTCATTTCATGCCAATTTTTGTTTGAAGGGTCAATTCTCTTTATGAAATCACAATATTCCTAGTCTCAACACATACTCTATTACAACCATTACTATTTGAGACAATTTACCCAAAACATAAGCCCTAGTGCACATAATGTACTACATATAGCATATTTCATCTCGTTCACAGATCCCATATTCAAATAGTGGATTTCTGATAGGATGTCTCTCACTATACATATTACATGTACATACTAGGTTTAATGAACATACATGTATGTGTGTATGCTGCCATGGGTTAGTTTCTTTCTATTTCTGATTTGAAATGGTCTGACTGCTCAACTCCTTAACTCCTTGAACGATGGAATGAAAGCCCAATCATCACACTGTGTTGGTACCATTCAGTCTTGTACTGTATACTACTAATGAGGCCAACTATAGGGAATAATTAATCCTACCACCCATTGGGTCTGTATTATAATTGATGTTATGTGTCAAAGAATTGTCAAAGAATTATAAAAGGAAAATAATAACCAGTCCTTCATTAGCCATTCATTAATGAAGCAATGTAGGCTTCAGATGAAGCATTGTATCGAATGATGCATCTCCATAGCCATTAACTTTAGTTACATGTAGATTATTAATATAATAAAATTACATTTGACAAATTTGTATTTTCTACACTTTGTATACAATTAACATTTCATTGCAGTTTGATGCTATGGAACAGAGTACCAGGAAGTCTGTATTATAATCTTGTTCACAAACAAAATTTACAAATATTTGGCAGGATAAGAGGTTGGTTCTACAAGATTAACTTTCTTTGCATACATGTATTTGTGTTGATTGTAGGCTACTTTATGAAAATCTTAATCTGGTAATAGTACCTTTCTGCCTTTCTCCTTTCTAACCATTTTACAGATTACATTCAGCCTTATTCATTCAAAATAGAGTAATTTCAAAATCAGAAAACACAAATGATATTTATAGAATATACAATACTTCTCAATAAATCATACTCTCATTTTTGTTTGTTTACCTAATAGCTAGATAGAAGGTATTTTAAAGTGAGGTAACAGATTTCGTCAAAATACATCAAGCCAAGACTAAGCTACTAGTACATACAGACCCTAAATGAATGCCTACTTTGAATTTTGCCAAGCCCTAAATGAATTCTCCTAGATTAATCATTACAGCGTCTTGCTCAAACAGAGATTGTAGAGTACAGTCCAATTCATCTCAACATAGCATCTGAAGCAATCTCAATCAATTGTAATACAATGTATCTTGGGGTAAAGGTCTCTGTCAATTTTCATCTTATCAACTCTCCCTTCACCTACAATGCACTCCTCTCCTACACCTTACGACCCAGTAGATATCACTAGTATCCCAGCCTGGATACTGGTATAATATTACTTTGAAACGTATATGAAGGCATCCAGTATTCAACAACCTTGATTATATTTTGAAGAAATACAGTAGGTACAATCTACCATTCAAAGTCAAGTAATTTGGCCTACATATTAATTCTTACCCACTATCAATCAAACCTGTCCTTGATACCCTTCACTGTACTTTCATTTAGAATTGCTCTTTGTTCTTTGTTTTATTTAGTATTGTTACATTTCTTCTTCTTTTATGGGGGTGGGGTCTCGTAATTTTCCTGTTAAATCCCTCACTTTATCTTCCCTTCTCTTTCTCTCCCTCCTTCCTTTTTTCTACCTTCCCTCTTGCTGGTCAGATACATGTACCGGTAGGTAAGTTTTCCTGTACGGCTGTAGACTAAATATAACACAATCATTTTGTATATATTAATAAACAATCATGATGTGACTTAAATCAACAACTGTAAAAAGGAGGTGAATTCTACAACATGTGTAATTTGATATATATCTTTATAAAAACATCCTGAAATGCAGAAATAAAAAGAAAGGAGATAGAGAAAGAGAGAGAGAGAGAGAGAGAAAGTGATCAGGAGAAAGCAGGAGTGAGAGTGAAAGAGCGAGAGAGCATTGTGAGAAAGAGTCAGTCGATTTAGCCCCTGTAAAGGGACACCTGGCTGTGCATAATGAGCCACAAGGAGGATTTGGAACAAAGCGTAGACTCTCCTCTTTCAACCACAACAGGCTGTGAACCCTGAGATGTAAGTGGCCTGTAACCTCTTGATTCACGCATACTTCATCATGTGCTCAAAACTGCCCATACTGTATATACGAGTGTCTCTTATATGTCCATGCTTGTACATGTACATACATGATGAACTGTTCTAGAGCTTCTCATAAAAATCTATAATATATTTTTACTACAACGTCATGCCATCTTAGAACACGTCTCTGTTACAATCTCATTTTCTCCTCCTCATACAGCCTTTTCACACACAGCTAAAATTCATCGTATCTAGAGATGATTAGAATCACTCAACAGTTTTAAACATGTTTATAGACAAAATTTCCCAGTGTGAACATCGTTTATACGATGTTGGGATAGATACGAAGTCGCGATCCATACGCCCCTAAAAGCAGGCTGCAGATACGAAGTTCGTATCTAGAGAGCTTGACATTTTGTGTGTGAAAGGAAATTCGTGTTTAAACGTGTTTAAACTGGATGGAGCGTGCGCTTTGATTGATATGACATGACCTTCAATGCGCAATGGCACTACTGCGCATTTTACGAGCAGTAGTTAATCACGAAACTATTAACGATCGCAACGAAATTTCTGTGTGTGAAAGGCTCATGATTAGTTTAAACACGTTCGAAACACGTTTATACTAGTCATGTTTATAGAATTTTAGCTGTGTGTGAAAAGGCTGATAGAGACATCATTACACAGGAGCTACCAAACGGAATTTATTGTAGGCCCTTACGTACTCATTTTCTACACACAGATGCTTGTCTACTGTAGTTTGAGCAAACTTTTTTCGGCTTGCAGGTGTAGGGGTGTGAAAGAAAATAGGCATTGTGAAATATTGCTTTAATTCCTTTTATACTATTCTTAAAACAATGGTAAAGTAATTGTTCCAACTTTGTCTAGAATATCCTCATTCTCCTATTTGGTCAAGCACAGTACATATATTTTCTGAGGATTCCTGACATATCTTTTTACATTTAGGAACACTGAACCTAAGAGAAACGGTGAAGCTGAATAATTTAATCAAATCAAGGGAAACATTACTAGGATGATGGTTTACGGCATTATCAATATCATTGCCACTTGGTAGGGGGTAGCTCCAGGCAAGAATACAAAATACAAATGCATTTATGCCTTGTCAGTATAAACATTTCAGACTAAAGAATTTCCTGGTAATCACTGTTTCCTCTGAAAATAATCTTGGGGAATTCCACCAGAATCATTACAGCATAATTTATCAAAATGTACATGTCATGGATTTGAGGAGCTCCTTCTCTATACTGGATGAAAACCAACATCAGACTGAAAGATTTCACACGCATAAGAAACCAGTGGGGAATCCCAACGAATACACCCCAATAAAAGGTGTCTGTAAAATGGATATTGGCCTTCATTGGGACATCTCTGAAAAGGAGAATACAAACATACATAACAATTTTGAGATAGATGTAGCATTAGGAAATACTGAACTTGATAGTTGCTTCACAACTGATGCTAGTAAGATACAGGTCAGATGAGGCATTTCCAAACATGAATAGGACAAAGGCCTTACTAAGAATTGCAAGAAAGATTTTTGAAATTTGGATATTAATTACTTTAGGACTTCTAGGAATACGTTAGTCTTTTCTCTGAGGGATGCTGCAACGTAATAGCTCTCAGCTCAATTCAGAGTAAGCTTCCCATCAACAGTCTGGCAATTGTATCACCATCAGATACATGGTAAGGGATCCTCCCTCTATAACAAACCCACATGACTAATGGGAAAAGCATCAGAGTTTGACAAAGGTTCTTATTATATACATGTATGGCAATCTCAGACCCAACCCATTTTGTGGTTCATTGGTCAGGGATAGGACATACAGAGTCAAGGGAAGTAAAACGCTTGTTTATTTGGTTGTTTGTCAGTGGTTAATAAATTCTGTTTTCACTGTGCTCCCCAAGTAATTGGAAAATCCTTTCACTAGCAATTTTAGTGAATACAGGTGCACTTAAGCACATTTTAAAGGTATAGACCAGTTTTGGAAACGCCCCCTCTCAAAAAATGAAATGGAAGCTTGTATTACCAATCATGTGAAAGAATATGTTTTGACTAATACGTGATGATACAAATGTTGCCGGTACTAATTAATCTTTTTGGTAAATTATTATATCTATCCAGACTGGATAGATATGCCGTAGTCCCATAAACATCTTTCTGTGTACAGTGCTTGTAACTTTACCTACACTGTAGACTGGGCCAAATTTCTTATCATTTTGATGATTCCAGAACCTTGCAGTACATACCAATACTTGCTAGATAATCAACCTATCTGATCGATTCCACAAAAGTTTCTTTCACAATGCAAACGCGTCTATTCTTTCTGGGTATTTGTCATTGCTATATGTTTTATCTTGAACTTGAAGGCTAATATGGGTGGTGCCTTATAGTTGTATCAAAACTTGTATTTATCAACTCAGGGAGAACTAATTTAAACTTTGGCTAACGACTTTACAGTAGTTACATTGTATGTGAACAGACTCCAGTGATATAGACATCTATCCCATGGCCAGGCTGTGGCATGACTTATCATAATGAGTGCATTGTGTAGCAGAATTCAATCTGTAGCATCAATAAACATCACAAACAGGCTAGGGAACAGATTATAATATCAGCTGTGCTGTGCTGACTCTGCTTTAAAATACAGCTCAACTACAAATATACATGTATACGCACAAACTTCTAGTCCAAATTAAATTCCTATCAAAGATGAATGAAAATAACATAGCGCCTAATGAGGTGCTATTTTCATTTCACAAGCACTACTTGTTGGAGTAATACTTGTCTTGGTCATGTTGGGCTTGTTTTCTTTAAACACACACACACACAACAACAAATATTCAAACAATTTTATATCACTATGTATTTCAATAAAGATAATTCATTGATGATTGCATATCCATAGAAATATAGTGTATACTTACGTTTACGTGCAGATGAAGATCTTGCTATAAATGAGACAAAGAGGATGTCGTTCTGATCTAGAGGAGTTGGTCTGATGTAATATATGTCAGAAGACTCTACTGAAGTCAGCATATTGGATAGATACTGTCTAAATGACACATCATAGCTGTCATGCCAAGAATTCACCTGTACAGAAATGTAACAAATTTGAAATTATAGAAATCTAGGAATTATCTTGTATGACGCTGAGGACATCTTCACTAGATATTAACATTTTACATTCCTGTATATGATTTTCCAGGTGGGAAGAAACTAGAACAAAAATAAATGTTACCCAGTACTTATTTGGCCTCTTCCTAGCTTCTAAATAAAAAGTTTTATGTATATTGACATTTAAGTTTGAACAACTCAACATTGTGGTTAAAATAACTGAGAGACATACAATTATGTATAATACCTACAATGGTAGGCCTGTTGTGGGATTTCTTCACTTCGTATACACTGTTCATCATTACATGATTTACGAAAGGAAACAAACACTATCTAGATGTCTGCCTCTTTTTGCCGAGTTTTTTATAAAATAATAGTAAAGCATTCTCACTTCACAGTTATTTTTGAACTGCCAGCATGACATGAAGGATATGTGAAAGCTATAAACTTTGACCTTTCAGTAATTCTTCTCTACAGGGGTTCATTCCATGAAATTTCACATACCACCAACTCGGTATGCTAAAGGGGAGTACACTGTTTTTAAAGAGAACAAAACTGTACAATCATGTGGTCTGAATCATTTGTTATTGAGGGAAACTGGGAAAGGTTTCCCTAGTAGAGAGTGGTGAAGTGACGTCATCAGAAAATTATTTTTAGAGTTTCCAAATTTGAACTTCATTTTGAAAATCAATTGAATATGTTAAGCACTGGCCGAGAGATGTCTGTCCTAATTAATAGATTTCAATAGGAAATCACTGTTTTTTTCTCTGGTTCATAACATTAGATTTCCTATTGAAATCTATTTCATTTGGATGGTCATATACATGTATCCCGGCCAACACGTCACATATTCAATTGGTTTCAATAGTTGGACATTTTTTTTTATGCTCTTTCTGAAAATGAAGTTCAAATTGAGTTTTTCTAAAAATAGATTTTTATGATGCCACAGTGTCAGAAAGTACTCTATATTATTTCAGAAATTCAGATCTTGTATAAACTAAGGACGATTCACTTGTTCACTACATGTACATGTATATCAACGATTGGAATACTGATCGAGTACAGAAGATGAATTCAAGGCACAGGAATGCACTCTCCCTTTTGTCTACTATTTTGTCTGTTCGTAAAAGATAAAACTCTCCAGAAATGTTTAACTTTCCTGCTATCTACTTACCGTGATACCACCGAACTTGAGTGTCACAATGTTATCAATCTCATCTGATGACAAATCACTGGCTGATATCTGATTCAAATGATGAGAGACAGTATGATCACTTTCCGTCTGAAAACGAATATAACAACAAACAAAAATCATTTCATTTACATTTAAAATTTACTATGATTTATTTATTAAAAAACACATCTTAGAACGAAACAAACTCTCTACTTCAATGTAGGCCTACTTCAATGTAATCTTGCCATTTTATGATACCCAATGCAATGCCAAATAGGCAATCAGATCTTATTCATCCACAAGTAATCTATTTATTGTGTGTGCCACACTGTGCCTTTTAACTTGAAGCCTAGATGAATATGACTGGTTCAAGTAGAGAAAATTCAAATAAAAACAAGGAATATGATGGGAGTATCTAAAGGTTACAATACTTACAAACATTCCTATCATTTCCAATTGTCTTTTAAAGCCGAAGTTTACGGGGGCAGTATGAATAAGAAATAATGTTAGCCTATTTAAACAAATTTTCTTTTCATGGAACATTTAGTGCACACTTACTGATATTCTTCAGAAACTCTAACGCTCATTTACCAACATTTACCATTTTCAGACTTAAATTGCTATAACTTGAAAACTTATACCAACTTGAACCAAAATATTGCAGATTTTCAAGAAGTTTTCTGATTTATCAAATCACTTTTATCTTACTGTGAAAACAGCAAAATATTTCAAAAAGCCATCATTAAGTTACATAAACAATTAAACATACTACATTGTATCTACCTTTAAATTTTACAAGTGGTATACATGTACCTGTACACTCTTGAGTAGTAGTGGTTGCAGTTTTGATTTCTGAAAATCTGTAATTTCTTGTCTTGTTTGGAAATCTCTCATTTCACTTTTATTATAAGTTGAATGGTCTTTCAAACAGTATATAGTTTGTAGGGGGTAGCTTCTATGGTTGTCAAGATATTCTTAATTAGGGTGCGTTAAAAGGCAATATATTACCCCATTACCCCACTGCCCCCCCCCCCCCTTAAAGTAATTGAAGAATACAGTAGATCAACAATTAGGTAATGAGCAGTATTCACATTTATATTTAGAAATAGTTTTTCTCCTTTTCTTTAACTACCGGTAGCCTATATTATGTGTGTAAACACAAAAATGTATCCAATCACTTACTGTTTGAGCTTGACTTGTAGTGATTGTTGGTACTGATGTGTGAAGCATCGATGTGGTTGCTCTCTCTGGAGTTGCAGGTGGTAGCGATGTGTGGAACTCAGGTGTTGTAGGTGGTAGTGATGTGTGGAGCATGGATGTGGTTGCTCTCTCTGGAGTTGCAGGTGGTAGTGATGTGTGGAGCATAGATGTGGTTGCGCTCTCAGGTGTTGAAGGTGGTAGTGATGTGTGGAGCTCAGGTGTTGTAGGTGGTAGCGATGTGTGGAGCATGGCTGTCGTTGAGCTCTCAGGTGTTGTAGGTGGTAGGGGTGTGTGAGGAGTAGACTGTGGTGCTGAAGTGATTTGATCCACTGTGGTGAGAATTTCTGGGGTTGATGCAAACTGAGTGGTCGGATGCTCTCCAAGTACAGAGGTTACAGCAGGCTCCAGAATTTCTGAAGCTGTAGTCATCTCTTGCATCAGCGCAGTTGTACTGTCTGTATCCTCAACAATAGTTGGTAGAATTTCAGCATCTTGTCTGCTTGTTGGTAATTCATCCGTTGCAGTTATTATGTCTTCAGTTTCCTCTGTTACGATGGATAGTATGTCTGTAAGCACTTCAATCGCTTCTGTAGTTCCTTCTTCCGCTAAATCCCCAGCAACTGGAAGTGTGGCTGCATCAAGTCCATCTGAAGTTACGTCTAAGCCTTGAGTGGCCATCATCATATCTTCACCACCACCAGTGCCATCACCAACCATAGCAGAGGGGCCAGTTCCAACATCTGTTACAACGTCTATATCCATTGTTGTTACTGAATCAGGAGCTTGGCTGGCTTTGATAGGCACCACATTCGGTGTTACATTCTGTGGTGTGGCAAGTGTTTCATTTGTGCTTTCAGGTGCTGGTGTTACCATAGTCAGATTTTGACGGGTAGGAGGAGGTGAACCATTGTTGCTCTCTTCTGGTAAGTCCGTTGTACCAAAGACAGTCACAGTGATGTATTCAATTTCAAGTTCTTCTTCTTCTTCTTCAATAATGGGGCTTCTTGAAGCAGTGCCATCACCTCTTCCTGCTGATAGTCCCATTAAACAAACAACTGCAGAGACAAAGAATTGAACATAGAAAAGAAAATGTCAGTGAGGTTGTAATTTGAAGTTACATTGCACCATGAGGTCAAGGTACTATAAAATTGCAAAGAATTACAAACACTGTTTCTATAGATCTGTAACTAATAAAAGCAAAAAAGAAATTTATTATTTCACTTCTAAGAAAGCATTCTCTGCGTACAGATCGCACATACATTTTTAAGAACAAAGAGTAAAAATCAGTCAGATAAGCAATGAAAATAGAATATTTGTAAACTCTGCCTCTAGGCGCTAACAGCTACATGTACATAACCATATCAACTACATCTACACGTATGTGTACTTTTAAATAAACATGTGTATCAGTTTGTATCTGTATTCTGTATCTCACTTAAATTTTGAAAAAATCAATATAAAATAATGTATCAATATTAGACATACACTGTACATGTAGCTTTTTATAATCTCAACTAAGTTGTAAGTAATAAATGAATCCATGGGAGAAAAAGACATTGAATTAATGTATTTCAATCATTTCAAACTGTATACCAACGTCTTTACTGCTTGAATTTAAAAAAAAAAAAAAAAACTACATGTATTGGTCTTTTGCCATTATCAGTTTTTCCTCATAATTTCAAACCAAAGTGAGTTGACTCTTTAAACTCCTACCACCAGTTGCAAAATTAATAACTCCAATGGTGGTTGGACAAGAAAAGAGCAATGACAACAGCTGCATCCTTGGATGCGCTGCCTGCTGGAGAGGAACATTCACCTAGAGTATGTGTGTACTATATATATATACAAACTGCAATAAGGAGGTTTGTTTATGTGCTCCCACTGTTTATAGGTTGGTTGGTAGCTAGGGTCAATAAATCAGGGCAGATAGAATAGGGTTCAACAACAGGGTGGGGCGCAAACTGACAGGTCAAGCCATAATGACCCTGGGGGCTGAGGTCAATCTGCAAAAAGTATAAAACAGGGAAGTTTGTGGAATGTAAACATGTATGGGTGTGACCAGGGACTGAACCACAACAAACATGTTCTATAAACATGTTTGCTAAGAGGATCTCATTTATTGAATATAAATGCTTAATACATGTGCATGTAGTTTAGTACTGAATTGTTCATAGCATTGGCACAATTGAATGCAACTTGATTGTGTTGTATACATTTGAGAACAACCACAGAAATGTCAAAGTATTGCATAGACCCCTACATCAGTACATGTTTATTTTATGATTCCATTAAAATTCTTAGGAAAAACAATGCAACATTTGTATCACTCCATCAGGTCTATAAAAAAATATCAAATTAGCAACTTGATCTTGTGATTGCAATGTCAAACTCATTTTAAGATTATTATATTTTTTTTCCAGTGTGAAACTCTGAAAACACTCTCCCCATTGTAAAGTTCAAGACCTCTACCATATTATAGGTCTATGACATATGTTCATGCATGTGCACTGTATAACAGAAATCATCATTTCCATCACATCGATAACAACAAGTTATATTTTAGTCATTCTATCCATTTCTAGGCAGTCATTTGGTCACAGTAATGGACAAGGTTGTTTTGATTTTACACAGTGCAGGTGCAAATGTACTGTAGGTTACTTGTAGACATTTACTTATGAACTTTAAAAATAAGTATCAACTATTTTTCAACATTAAAAATACTTGTTTCTCTGGCCTTTCAATTTTCTTTTACAGAAGCCTGCTACCAAGGATGGTTATCTTTTCAACACATTTCTCATTGATAATAACTTGAGTAACTTCTTCAAATTGAGTTCAGCAAATAAAAATCCAAGATCTGACCAGTTCTATTTATTAATGATCTGCTTTGTTTGGAAACAATTTGACCTATAATTTCTGTGCATTGTGAACTGTTAAAAAATATTACAACCAATCTAAATCACATCGAGCACATAATTCATATACAATTACAAATAATATATATTCTTTAATTAGTTTGGCCTCAAGTTTTTTGTTAATATTCTTAGACATTTGCATTTAATGATCTAAAATGTATTACAATTTTGTTGCAACAAAATATAATATTAGAATTTTAAAACGTTTTTATTTATAATATTATCATAATATACATGTAAAAAACATATTATATTTTGTAGTGAATGCTTCTCAGTCCCCAAAAAGTTGCATTACATACTGTACTCTTTAAAACCTTTCTTTTAGGCATAAAACAAGAGAAATATCACTTCAATTAGAGGTTGTTTCTCTTGAGCTAGGTCCAAAGGCATTCTAAGAATGCAATCCCCTCTGACCTTAAATTGAAGAGAAATTATAAACCAGCTTGGGTAGCCTAAATAGGCCCGTCTTCACTATCTCGAGATTGCCAAATATCCAGCTATTTGAACTATCCCGATCAAAACTATCCTGCTAATTTGCATCTTCATTAGACCAAAGTAGCAAATTAGCTGGATAGTTGGTCGGGATAATATCCCAAGATATCTCGGTCTAGTTTGCAAAATATCCCACTATTTCCCAACTAGCGGGATAGTTTGCGACCGTCTTCATTAGACCGAAGTACGGAGTCAAATATCCCGATTCCATCATGCACAACGATTTCCGGCGCACATGCGATCTATACCGCTCAGCGCGCTAGTACAACTAGTAAACACGGAAAACCGGAAATCGTTGTGCATGATGGGATCGGGATATTTGACTCCATACTTCTGTCTAATGAAGACGGTCGCAAACTATCCCGCTAGTTGGGAAATAGTGGGATATTTTGCAAACTAGACCGAGATATCTTGGGATATTATCCCGACCAACTATCCAGCTAATTTGCTACTTCGGTCTAATGAAGACGCAAATTAGCTGGATAGTTTCCATCGGGATAGTTCAAACAGCTGGATATTTGGCAATCTCGAGATAGTGAAGACACGCCTATTCAGTATGACCCCCTCAAAGCTCCTTACACTTACAGCTTCATTGCTCTTCTACATCACCTTAATACCATCGCGTGTAAACATGTCAATCTCCACTCATTATGCTTGTAAATGTGTGTATGTTATATACATGTAAGAATGAAACATTAGTGCCAGTGGGAAGGCTTTCTGACAAACACAGCTAGAAAATTAAAGTTACTAGTTAATAAGAAAGGTAGAGGTAAATAAATAGCTGATGTTGCAACAGCAAAGTATTAAAGCAGTCATAGATTAGAAATACATGTAGGAAAAGCAGCAGTAGAAAAAAGAAATCAGTAACAATAACTGTTTGTTCTTGGACAGTGCCATTGTTTGTCCTTTTGATGCTCAGTCAACAATAAAACACCTCCGTTTAATAGCCCTGCTCTCAAGAATATGACCCTCAAACCTCTAAAAGATCTTTAAAAATCCTTACAAATACAAGCAGGCCTACATGATTACCACACTTGGGTCAAGACACACAAATGTATTTGTAAATTTGGCCTGACCATAATTACAGTATTATCCTAATCATGATTACAATTTACAAAAGTACCATTCATTCATTTTGGTTTACAGAAAGAAAACTCTTTATAACAGGTCACCGACTCAATACGGACAAAGACTACCGGTAAGTAATTATACAAAAACATTAAAAGAATCAATAAATTCACTAAAAATAACAAGGAACACAAATTTAGATTATACTATGGTTGTGGAGGAAGGGATGGGGGAGGGTGAATTGCATATTGTACATGTGGGCTAGTTTTTTGCTACTATAGATCAGAGAGGAAAGATGTCATTAGACGTTCATAAATTACCTTTTTATTCATTTCCCACAAAGCAACCACTTCTTGTAAAAAATGAATTTACAAATTAATCAGATTGAATGATAAAATCATAAAACAAAAATGTTGTATAAAATGCTACCTTTCTTTATCCTGCTACATGTACTTTATTGGTTGTAAGACAATTTAGGTCTGGATATATGTATCATTCAATCACAAATTATACAAAAATTATATCACCCTGCAAATATTAAGTTTGTTCTATAGTCTATACTTCTATTGAATTTCTCAAAATGATTGTAAAGCAGTTACCCTGAGGTGGTACTGCTACAATAAGAGTGTGAATAACTGATTTGTATCATTATGTTTCAATAGGCAAATATTGACTTTCTTTCACAATCCACTTGTCAGATCATTGAGATCAATAACTTCCTGAATTACCCAAGCAGGAAGACCACACAAAGCCGACTATTTACATGTGGACAATATCAATTCAGGATTGCTTGTCAATGGACCAGACAATTGGCTTGGCTTCAGCCAGGCTTAAATTTGGGATTTATAGTTATCTAGAACTTACAGGAAAGTGAAGGATTTGTTCTGGTAGAATAAGCTATTTTCCTCAAATTCTATAAAGTGTGCTAAACTAGTCGCTTCAATCTTACTCTAAAATCTTACTTAGAAAACTGCTACATGACAAATCTAACTGTTCATCGCTAGATGACAAAAAGATAGGCCTAATATTAGTTACGTAGCTCTTTCATAGCAACAACAAACAAAAACAAAACAAAAAATTGCAGTCAAGTTTGACAAAATTTAAAAGACAAAATTATATATTTTTTTAAATCTCCAGACAATGGCACAATTAGGAAACATAGGAAACCAAATACATGTGGATTTATTAACATAAACATGACAACAATTTCTAACAGTTATTAACTTTGAACATTCAGATTATCACTTTACATGTACAAGATGGCAATCTCTATTTCTCTGATATGGAATATACAAATAGATCTACAATTAATAAAGACAATTATAATTGTCTTTATTAATTGTAGATCTATTTGTATATTCCATATCAGAGAAATAGAGATTGCCATCTTGTATTTGTAAAGTGATAATCTGAATGTTCAAAGTTAAGCATGGGTAACAAAAAGAGAAATTTAGATATTAACGGAGAGTGCGGTAGGAGGACTGATGATTTTCAATGTCTACATGTGTCATGTAGGTCTAGACCTAGATCTAAGTTAATTTCTAGGACTATTTACTTAGCCTTAGGATCTACTTTGACCGCCTCCTCCATTTTAAAACCTGATGTACACTACTACAACTTGTTGATGATTTTGTTCTAATGGTAATAGCTGAAATTAGTTTCTATAAAATCTATTCAATTGGCAATGTCAACTATGCCCCTACTAACAAGAAAAAAAGGGGGGGGGGGTATCCTCAGATTTTCACATGTGCTGACAGAAGTTTTCTCCTTTCTTTTTTAAGCCAAGAAAAAAAGTATCCTTTAATCTTCAGCCTCACTCAGGGATACCACATGGCTATCAGTATCAGTATCATATAATCCGAATTTGCTGACATAATTCCATGTTTATCACTACATTCCACCCTTCATAAAAATGAGTGATTTATTAAACACATTGAACACACTCGTCACTACACAAAATGAACATGATGAATCTTCACAATTATAACTCTGATCATGTCAGTGACTAATTAGGCCTAGGGTCTAGACTCTATCCTAGATTCTAAATCCTTTCTTCCAATTTAAAACTCAAGTTGATTTAGATCTAACGTTAGATCTAACGTTAGACCCAAGAAGTTACAAGTTTATCTAGATCTAGATCTAAAGCTCCTTGACTTGAGCTTGGATCTACTCTAGATCTACAATCATGCCAATATGGCAATAGTCTCTGGGTCGTTTCCACCGGCCACCATCACCACACATGGTCCCACCCTCTTTCTCATTTCTGCACTGGATCTGACGTTAATTTTAATCCGTCAAGTGTCACCATCACAGCAAAACTGGGAAACAAAAATATAGGTTTTGCATATTATTTATACCCAAGAAGAGAAAGGATTTCTCCCACTCCCAGAGTGGCATTTCCCCTAAGTTCTGCTTGCAACAGTATCTCACCGATCAAACTCGATCAGTGCGTTCGGTTGCTCACATTGCTCAGCTCAGCTGCCTCAACTTCAGGGGCAAGATTTCTTGGACTCAGAGTTTGAACTTGAAGACAGCCCGAGTCGATGAACGGAGCAAACTCGCTACGCTCCATCTCATTTTTTTAATTTCAACCCTTACAATCATCTATTCTCTAACTCTCTAGACCTCTATAGACCCTATTCACATGATTGAATATAATTATACTTACCTAGGATAAGAACAATGATAATCCTTTGATATGAACCCATGATTCCTAATTGATTAAAACGATGATGATGATGGTGGTGATGCGTAGATCGGCCAACAGTTGTTCACAAAATTAATGATCAGAATACGCGAAAGGCGAAACGCATGCGCAAATTGACGATGACGATAGTGTGTGTATAGCAGCTAGCTGGAGCGGCTGTCTGCAAATTGTGCGTATACCGTAATGCACTACAGGCGCGATTCTCAAAAACTGTTTTTATAACAATGAGATGAAATCCATGTTTTTCCTGTTTTCATCCTTCGTACGACACTTCACATTTGATAAAAATTGAAAGAGTATGCTACCTTATAAATGAACAATGTAATTTACTGATTAATAGATCAATTTGACATCTCCCAAAGCTCAATCTAGCACACAGTACCTGCAACAATCAATTATCATCAGGGTCCGTTGACAGTTACCGAATATAGTAAGTTTGTTATGGACATTTTGGGAGGATTTTTGGAAACATACATTTTTGAAACAGAAATCTTAAAACTAAAGCCGGGAACTAAGGCTATGACCGTTCTTTTAAAACAAGTATTCAAAATCATTTAAAAAAGATCAACATCCAGCCAGTGCCTGATAGGTAACTTTATTTAGGCACTTTTAGAAATGGCTTGATTTTGATGGTCTTTTAAAAATGATTTTCGAAGAAATTTTAATATGAAATATTGTAAACAGCACTGGAATATGTCTTACTAATCTGTGTACACTGTTGTTGTTGTTGTTGGTAAATGTTTAATGGCGTTCATTCAGTATTGAATATATACGCCATAAATATCTTCAATTTTATAAGAAAATCAGTTTTAGTCTTCATAAGAAAACTGAGAATAAAGATTTGTAATGAAATAATTAATTAATAAGTAACGCAATTTATTCAGAGTCTCTGGATGGTTTGCAACTTCGTGTTTCTGCTTTTTTAAAGTTTTGTACACTCATGATATTAGAGATGATTTAAATGAAGAAATCATGCAGAAAAAAAATGATATATAATTTGCAGCGGTCTCCAAACCTATATATTTCACACGTCCTCTACGGTGAGTGTGAGAAGTTGTTATCTGCGCTTTGTTTTAAGAAACTTTTCGACAGTGTTTGACCTTGATCGTCATGTTTATTAGTATTAGTGACAAATTGTTGATAAATCGCTTAATTCAGCGCTTCTCAACCGGTGCCTCGAATCTCTCTCTTTTTTAATAACATGAAATGTGAAAATATAAAATTGTGTCTGATATCTTGCATGGCCAAGGAAGGAATTCAGCATATCAAAACCATAAATAAAATGTTTTCTTTTTCTGTTGCTCGCTCGCTAGATTTCCTTGAATGTTATAAAAGGCTAATACAAAACTTGATTGTCTGTATGAAACATTTATGAAACATTTATTTTCATAAAGCACATTGAGCTCATTGCCATATACCGTTATCAATACCCCCTTCCCATGTATCTTTCGCATCCATTACACATTGAGAACGAATAAAGTATCTTCCTTGTCTTCTCTGCAGAATTTGCACGCTGAAATGTAATTCTCATATTTCTGTAATAGCATTACACTTTCTTTTTTCTTTCTTTCTTTTTAAAACGTGTTTCGTAAATTGGTTCTAATTGCATTTCGGCTTGACATAATTTAGTCTAATATTTAATATAGGAATTCCTTTCGATTGTCTACGTTACCTTGTCTTAAAATATGTAATATAGTCTAGGCCTCTATTTGAATGAGTGAGTAAATTAGTCAAATTTCATTATACCAGAAATAATCGCAGCAGTGTACGGCAGCTTAATACAGCCTGTTTTCATTTCAGTAAAAAAAACATGGCTTTATTCCTAACTTCTTTCGAATCGTGTAGTGGCTATATATGTTTTTTTCTAGAAAGAACAGCATGTACTCCTATAATACGTTCATGTATAATAATAATAATAATAATAATAGTGAACATTACATCACCTTTTATTAAAATAATTTGAAATAATAATAATAATAATAATCTTCTAATAATCAAATGCCTAAAACCCCTGAGATTTCGTGGTTACCGCACTCTCGACCCCACCAGGGGCCCTAAGGCGGGCCCCTGAATGCTTATCTGACCGTAAGTTATTGCCTTAAACCCCTAAGTTTCCGAGGGCGGACAAGGTATCAAAATATGTTCATCTGACCGCAGGCGCGTAGCCAGGGGGCGGTGGGGCGGCCCCCCCCCCCCAAAAAAAAAGAGAGGAGAGAAAAGGAAGAGGACGGTACAACATAATTTATCGTCTTCTTTCTCTAATGATTTAATGTAAAAGCTTCCGCGCTTTGCGCGGGAGGGAGGGGGGTGTAAACTGAATTCAGACGAGGATTATTTTCGAGAACGGTACAACGAATCGTCAAAGCTTCCGCGCTTCGCGCAGGAGGTGGGGGAACTGTATTCAAACGAGGATTAAGAGTCGAGAACGGTACAACAAATCCTCTTCTTTCTCTAATGATTTAATGAAACGTGAAAACTTCCGAGCTTCGCGCGGGAGGGGGGAGGGGGTAACCTGAATTCAGACGAGTACAACGAATCGCCTTCTTTCTCTAATCATTTAATGAAACGTAAAAGCTTCCACGCTTCGCGCGGGAGGGGGGGAACTGAATTCAGAGTTTCAGACGAGGATTATTTTCGAGAACGGTACAATGAATCGTCTTCTTTCTCTAATAATTTAATGAAACGTAAGAGTTTTGGCGCTTTGCGGAGGAGGGAGGGGGAAATCACCCCTCCCAGCACCCCCCCCCCCCCCCCCCCATTACGTCAATGCTGGTCACCATTACGTACCAATATTTGGCTCGCATAATTTCAAATTTAGGCCCCCATCCCTAAGAAATCCTGGATCCGCGCCTGGGTTGTCAAGAACAAGTCAATAATGCATAACATTCGAAATTATGTTACTAAAGAGTAAACCGATCCATTGACAACGGACGGCAACGGACTGTGATCTCTCTGATAAGTTGGTCTACTGCCCTCTCCGACAATAATCACTACACATCTTACTTTATCTAACTGGGTATCATTTTGAATGGACCCAAATCATTTGTGAATTGTGAATTGTGAATTACTATAAATAATCATGCATCCGTTCCCCTTCGCAATCGGGCAGCTTTGTGTATTACTCAGTACTTTTTGGGGTAACGATATTCGACAATATTTCACAATAAAATATGTATGTTTTCTCGTTTTCTTGCAAAATATTGGAACAGGAAATTAAAAAAAAGTTGATCGGAAAAGAGTTACCCCCTTCCCCGTCGTGCTTACAATTTACAAGCCTAGATTGATTCCAACCCATTTACTCAACTCAAACGTTCCTGCTCTAAACACTGCCCCTTTAAAGCGCTGAAAAATGAAGCTGTATTCAGTGAACATGCTTACAAATTAAACAAGATAATGGCGAGAGAAAGTGGGAGAGACAGAGAAATAGAAAGAGAAAGAGAAAGGGAAAGAGAAAGAGAAAGAGAAAGAGAAAGATAAACAGAAAAAGAGTAAGAGAGAGGGAGAGAATGAGAGAAAGAGAAAGAGAGAGAGAGAGAGAAGGGGTGGATGGGGGAGGAAACATGATAGGAGACACTATTGATTTTGATAACACCAGAAATAATCTATAGTTTAGGAAAATCAGATTTATAAAAAGAAGAAGAAAAAAATGTAAAGTTATAAAGTAGTAATAAAGTAGTATAGGCCTAATCCACTAACGCAAACTTGCAATTTGAGAACCTCTCTAATTTGCCAATTTCATAGACGTTGGTGAAGGATAGGATGTACTTTTTTAAGTAATTTATTAACATGGTAAAATTGTTATGTGCAACCTGATTTTGTGCACGATTTTACTTACTATTAATTTCATTATAAATAAATATATTCATTAAAGGAATTAGACATTCATGAACGTGCCCTGGCACCAATGCAGCTTTTCCAATATCAATACAACAAATCTCTTCATATTCTCAACTTTATAATCTTGCATTTTTAATTTTGGTCTGCCGCCCTCTTCTCCAGTAAACAATTTACACTAAAGGCGCCGGTTAGCGCCGCCGGTTAGCTTCTTGTTAACTGAAACAACATTGAAACAAAAATGTTTTCCACTAAAGACGACACTTACGAGTATTTCATTTAGAAAGGAACTAAATCCAAAAACATTTAAATATGGTGAGTTTATTAAAACTTTGCATTGGTTATTTAGACTGGCCATAATATCTACAAAAATCGTAACACAAATTCCTAATCGACATAGTGGATTTAATTCCTTTTGTAATTAAATGACTTTGGATTTAGCGCCTTTTTGGAATGAAAGAGAAACATGAACTGGATTTTTTTTACATTTTGCAAGAACATTTAAAAAAAAAAACATAATCTGTTTATTCAAATATCAAATGAAAAAAAAAATCATCATATATCAATTATTAGTAGGCGGTTTCTCGGCAAAATTTGTATCATCACGTATTAGTCAAAACATATTCTTTCACATGATTGGTAATGAGAGCTTCCATTTCATTTTTTGAGAGGGGGGCATTTCAAAACTGGTCTTTACCTTTAAACAAAATGGTCAAAAGTGGATTTAGCGTTTTGGGAAGTAGGCCTAAGTCCTTCATCACAATTGTAATTCAATAACATAGATACCGGTAATAGAAATAAATGTGAAGCATCTAAATAAATGTACTTTTAGCTGTCCATTTGATTGCAATGAAAATTCAAGTCATTTGAAGTCACGTTCATGAAGAAATAGGCTTTTGCTATGGAAACAGTATGATAAAAAGATGAAAAGGATGAAATAAGCAAACAAATCTGTACTTCATCAATATTATATTTAATTTGACGTTGGTCTCTGAAGAATTAAAATAATGTTAGTCATAGCAATAAACAAGCCATCATAATCTGCCTGTTTGCCACAAAGTTGGTGATGGACGTGACTGCTAAGGCTGTTACCATGGTTACATATCGTAATTACTGTAAATCTATAAATACCATATTATTTACCAACATAAAAACAAATGGAAGCATTATGAACATAACATATTCATAGCTGCCCATCTGATTGTCAATATAATACAAGACATTGGAAGTCATGGTAAAGTAGAGAAAGAAAGAAAGAAAGAAAGTGAGAGAAAAGGAGAGAAAGAGAGAAAGAGAGAAAGAGAAAAAAGAGAAAGAGAGAAAGATAGACAAAGAGAGAAAGAAAGAAAGAGAGAAAGAAAGAAAGGAGAATGAGAAAGAAAAGAAAGAAAGAATGAAAGAAAGAAAGTGAGAAAAAAAGGAGAGAAAGAGATAAATAAGAGAGAAAGAGAGAAAGAGAGAAAGAGAAAAAGAGAGAAAGAAAGAAATAGAGAAAGAGAGAAAGAGAGAAAGAGAGAAAGAAAAAAAGGAGAATGAGAAAGAAAAGAAAGAAAGAATGAAAGAATGAAAGGATGAACGAAAGAAAGAAAGAAAGAAAGAAAGTGAAAAAAGGAGAGAAAGAGATAAATAAGAGAGAAAGAGAGAAAGAGAGAAAGAGAGAAAGAGAGAAAGAAAGAATTAGAGAAAGAAAGAAAGAAAGAAAGAAAGAAAGAAAGAAAGAAAGAAAGAAAGAGAACGGTCCGAGCACCCTGGTCCGAGCAATGGACTGCGATGTTCAGGCTCAATACCACCGCGCCCACCCTAACACCCCTATACCGGAGCAGGGACGTGATAGAGAAGGACTGGAATCAAGCCGCCCTCCTTTGACCCCATGCTCCAAGCCGCCGAAAAGTTATGCGCTAATCTGCAACTGTTGACCAGGTGGTGAGATAAAAGAGCGCATGAAATTTCAGGAGTTAGAATTCCTACATCAGAAAATGGTATCACTGCAACTGTTCGCTGTCCCTTCCAATGATTTCTCATCCATTGTTGAATGTGTAAAGAGTAGAACAAGCGAACACAAACTTGTGTACTTTCATCCTTTTTTAAACTTGAAAAATACAAAAAACACGCGAAAACACGCATTAGCAAACTTAATGTTATTGAAGATTGTAAATCATGGATCAAATAACGGGACATTAAAGCATGCACAAATTAGCGCATCATCCTAAAATATTGAGTTTTTGACAGGATGTAATTTTTCTTTTACCAACTCTGGCACACAAATTAAAGGAAGGACGGAGTTCTAAATTTGAAAATTTGTTTGATGCACTATTCCCAATAAAATCCCCATATAAAGTTTTTGATTTACACTGAAATTTTGCCGGTAATTTAATATTTTGTAATAAATGTAAAACTGGTGCCTGGCTTCCGAAAGTCCCCGCAGTGGAAGGGCGGTTCGGAGCATGGAACTTCAAAGCCAAGTGGAATGTTACACATCCCATTGTTACGCTTTAGAACTCAAGAATGCGTTTGAATAAATTACAAGAGTTTCGCCTCCTTTTCTTTCACCTCCCTGACCGGAGCATGTTCACAGTGCACCTGTTTCACGGAGTTGGCAAAGTTTTGGAGCTCGATCATACATGCGTGTACGTACGTAGGTGTACATCGCAGCATACAGTATCCGTACCAGTGCAATGTCAAGTCGATGTACCGTGGGAGCATTTTGTTCAAGAAGTTCATGGAACTAAACTCTAAAGGCAACATTATCAACTGCAGTCTTATAATGAAATGAGATTAATGGTCATAATCTCCGGTTTCCTCACAATGTAATATGGCTACCAGGGACGAGTTACTGTTCCGTTACTTTAATCCGATTCTAAGTCAATAAAGCTCGCTTAGCTTCGGTTGTCTCCCAGCAACCCAACGCTTCATGGTCTTATGCCAGTGCTTCCCCACTACAAGAACGGTATAATCCGACGGCCTGCTAGCTGCTGTTGTATTCGACCGACCCAAATTTGTACTCGCTTTATAATAAAGCCTCCGATCTGCCGCTATTCGAAATTAGTTTCAATGTTGGTTAAAATTGCATGAACAACTGATACATGGATGTATACGCTCGATTTACAATGCATCACGATGAGTTTGCCTGAAAATTCGAAGTAAAAAGACGTGAGACCCACTCCCATTTTGTATTATTCCATTCTGTGGAGCTGTGTGAAGCAGACGAGTTCGCTTCAACCATGGGGAGTAAAATGAATGAGGTGAGCCACTGATAATTGATTTATTGTTGTATTGCTGTAGTATGACGTTTTAAACTGAACAAAAATGTGTAATAAAATCTTATATCATGTTAACAAATGAAAGAAGTGGGAATCCATTGATTTTGGATCCTGTCAAGTACCGACGTAGAAGTAGAAGTAGAATACCCTTGAAATAATAGTTAACAATTTAGAAAATTTGTCCCTTATGAAAAGGATGATAATAATTGGATAATGGCTTTTAGGCTTTGGCTATGGTATGCATCATGGCAATCCTTTGAAATTGTTTCTCTAATCAAACTACATGTATAATGGTTTTTGTAATGAGTATGAGGAATTTGTATCTCATTGTAGTCTTGTAGTACAAATATAATTCTAATTTGTGTGTCAACATTTTATCATGTTTTCTTTAATAACTAAAACCTAGTAGAAGTAAAAGTTAAAACTTTTTGTCAAAGAGATACATATACTTTCAGTGATTTTTGTCTTGCATTTCCAGATGAATACAAATGTATGTTATAACCTACCCATGTATAAAGGTAGTTCATTAATGTAGTATTTGATTGGGAGGGGATTGGTATAATCTGTCATTCAAATTGTATCTTGTGTTCCTGAATAGAAATAATTTCATACCTGTGGACAAAGTACATCTACATGTCAAGCATAGCAATTAATTCACTAGTAAATGTATCATAGGCGCCAAATGTACAATGTATGTTGATGTACCGGTAAGTAATTTGCTCAAAATCATTGAAGATCACACTCTCTTGTTATTCTTTTGACTAACAGCATTCTTGGTACAAAGTATGTGAAACCACACAATATGTTGTAACCACATACAAGGTTGATATTATATTCAGCCTATTATAGGAGCGCTTAATTGCTTCATTATCACAGCCTTCACAGGGCCATTGTAACCACTGGACACTCAATCTATTGTTCATAATGAGCTTGAAGAAGCTAGTACAGGAAGGCAGATTGTGCTTAATTGGTAGATGACTATCTTCATAGAACTTAATCCCCATGTGTTACTAACTGTGAGAGTAGGGCCTGTCTTTGATTGAACCTGAACAAGGGTTTAAACTCTTCGTTTGCTATAAACAATATAGCTGTATACCATCTTTTTATATTCTTAGAAGTGTGAAGTGTATGTTAGCTATCTTAGCCTGTGAAATGTATGTTTCAAACAAGTTAGATCTGCTAAATTGTCATCAAGAATATAATCCCCATGTTTTACTACACTGTTCATGTATGTGTAAGTGCAAGTCTATGAACAGAAACAAGGGCTTAAAGAGAAGGTTGAGTTCTGGAAAGAGGTGAAAAATAATTTGTGAGCGTTATCATTCTTATTATGCAAGTGTGGAAGAACATCAGATAAGACATGTTCCCTGAAAAGCATGGCTCTTCAAATGCCTTCATATTCTAAATATGTCATGTAAACATCGTAAAAATCCAGGGTAGGATTTTAGTCCCATATATATCTTTCTTTGTACAGTTTTGTAACTTTACCAAGACTTGGCCAAATTTCTTATCATTTTGATGATTCCAGAACCTTGCAATACACACAAATTCTTATATGCTAGATGATCAACCTTTTCTGGTCGATTTCACACCACTTCTTTCACAATGCAATCGCATGACCAGAACTCAACTTCATCTTTAAGTGCAAGTCTTTGAACATAAACAATGAAGGGCTTAAAGTGACTCTTTGTTTATTGTAGTGGAACTATAAACAAACCAAAAAGGAAATGAAGTTTTACGATCTTTTGAACTTCTACTGTTACACCTCTGAAGATACTTGTAGTATGTGTTTGATCTGCCCCAAGAGGGGCAGATTCGCAATGTCAATAATCCAGAAACCATGCAACATTTTGTTGTGATCTGTGCTGGGCTGCTGGCTCTCAAAAATAACACTGCCTAGACATCTACATGTATGTTGCGTCTTTTAACTTTTCAAGACTGTAAATATATTCTTCATAAGCTTAAAATTATACAATCTACAATGTATACATACATGTACAAATGTATATATGATTAAAGACTATCTGTACATACAAATGTACTTTTAAGCAGTCTGAAGTATGATAAAAATACAAGACTTTTGTAATGTTATAACACTTCTGCTTGAAAAAAGTGCTTATATATTTCAGAAAGATGAATTTAACAAAATGTTGAAAATATAGAATATTGTTGATACAGTTATCTTTATGCTATTGAGTTGCAAAAACTGACGGATGTGTAAGTGATCGCCTACATCTAGTCATTTAGTTAAACAGGGTGATATAAAGTATATGTGACATACTTTCATTCTCAACCTGACCTATGACAATCTGTGTCAAGTTAAATCAAAGACAAGCTCACTTTACAATCCCCTCTCCATAGTGTGTAGCTTTCATTGTAACATGACCCATTGTCAGTGCATGGGGTAAAATTTCACGCACTGTGTATCATAATATGATAAAGTAAGAACAAAAACTGGTGCTGGATCTATTCATTAAACAAGCAGTCATCCACATCATGACAGCTCTGTCTCATATTGTACTTTTATAGTCATTTTTAGTTGATTAGGCATATATCAATAAAGACTCATTGCTACAAAGCTTTGGACTACTACTCATGCAAAAGCTCTGCCAAGGGCTTGATTGCTCTTTGCGGTGTACATGTAATTAATGTATAGTTCAATTTTATGCTGTTTGAACAAAGTCTATATCCATAGTCCAATTTGGTTGTAAAGTTTTGAAAAGGAGATTAGATTACAGGTTGGCATTTTTATGAATCAGTGGAATATATGTCTTGTAGTAAAAGGGGTATCTTTTTTTTAATTGAATTTGCAATGTGTTTACAAGAAAATAAAACTTTAGTTACATCCATGTACATGAAGATCTTTTTCTCTGATTGTTTTTGATACACTTCAATACAGAGTACAGACGTCACACTACATGTAGGTGAGAAAAAAATCAATACCAGGACATGTGGTTGAGTGCCGATCCCCAATTGCTAGCTGTCCCACAAGTTAGCATCAACAATGGGCAGAGCACAAGAGATCCCTTTTTTATAGCTGCATAATAGGTTATTGATTTCATCCCCATCCCCCTGCTCATGTAAAGAGCTTGGTTTCTTTACACTCATAAAAGATGTAGCTGTATTGATGATACGGTATGCATCGACCTTCGGGTTACTTGGAGGTGTGGATAATGCAACCTAGGGATCTTTAAATGTTTATCATCTCCATCTCCTTTTTGCTTACAAGATCTTTAAGTATTTTTTTTAGGCCAAAAGAAAATGGGATAACTTATTAAATTTGATTTTTAATTTGAAAATACATTTTGGATTAATGAATTATTACAAAAGGAAAGAATGAAAGATCATAGATCATGGTCACAAACTGTCTATATTGTCTGCAGTAATTACAGTGTGTACAGGGTATGTGTAAACATAAATATTTTGAAGGCTAGACCCATCTTTTCCAACAGTGAAACCATGCAGTATGCATGTAAAGTTCATTGAAAGGTGTCATTACATAAATACATGTACGTACATTATAGTTAAACGTGAAAGTTATGATTCCTATCTACCCAGGGTGTTTTTATATGTTTTCAATACCACGTTTATTGTGCCAAAACAAAGAGAAATACAAAATTTTACATTTTCTTTTCTTTTCAGATGTCACCAAGGCACTTTCCAGCCCAACCCAATCAATTTGAGCTTCAATACAGACCTAATGTAATCAGCCATCTGCCTCCCCTTAGTGCACATCAGGTGAGAAACATCTATACCTTCTCTCTGAAGAAGAGTATTAACTGAAAGAAAATATATAGAGATTGATTTGTTTGGAACCTCTACAGTGTATGTGTAAAATCATTTGTGGCAAGAACAATTTGCTACTAAAAAGAAAATAATTCAGTTTGCCATATTTTGATCACTTATGAACAGAATTATTACAAAAGACTTACAGAAGAAATACATGTCAGATATTTTAATTTTATAATATATGTGTTTATGTGCATGTATAACATTTGCCATTGCTTGAGATAAATCCTTAAGAAGAGTATTGAATATTATAAATGTTTTAATTCAGTGATATATATTTCCATGAAATCTCTTGAGTAATTGTGATAATTCTAATAAAAAGACTTATAACTTTCAATGAAATGCATTTAGATTACACCGGTCCAATTTATATTTAGCTCCATGTCATATCAATAATTTAAAACATATATATCCGGGTAGAAGACAAAGGTGGTAGAACCTGGCAGTTCATTTACTACCTGGGGGCATTTGCAAGTCAAAGGGTTTTTGAGTTCATTGCATACACCGTAACTATCATCTCATCTCTCTGCACAATACATATGTATATACATTTCAAAGAAGTTTTATCAGATCATCCCTTGGAAGGGGGCATAAAGTTATACAAAACTTATTCACCCCTCTGCAGCCATGAAGATTAATCATATTTTATTTGAAAGGCTTTGTGAAAGACTCTTTGCAGTTTTTGATGAAGAGGAAAATTTAAAGGAACCAATAATATATCTTCTTTTTTGTAATGCTATCTAGTCTATTCATGTAAATGTAGCATACAAAATATTGTGTTTGCAAACTTGGCAACCATTAAATCAAACATCATTTATACATGCACACTTTCTGTATATATGAGCAACTGAGAGATCTACTGTTTCAGGTTCACTATAAAGCTCACTGGCTAGACATTGATTTTGTGATGGCTCCCAGTCTCCATGTCTAGCTGAATATTATATGACCTGACATCAAATGCTTTATTTCTAGGGCATTAATGTCTTACACTTCAGACCTTCATCGGGCCTTGAGAAAGTTTGTAAAAAACATTGCACTTACAAGTACGGCCTCCCAAACCACCCAAAGTATAGTCCGTATGAAAAGTGCAAAGTTTCGGTTTGCTCGTTCTGCTAATGTACACTTGCAATATATAGTGAATATACCAGTATGTGTATTTATCTTCATGCTTAATGTGGCACGATTAGTACATCTTCAAATATTTGAGTTTGTGGGCAATTACCGTATGAATACAAATATGTTTTGGAATATTAAGATTTGGGTGTTACAGAGAAGATAATTTTTTAGAAAGATATCATTTTTTGTTATCAACATTCTCTTTGAAAAAATGATCACTTGAAGTTTGATTGCTTTGACATTGAATTATTTTCATCTGAAAGAGAAAATGTGAGAAAAAAATGATAAAGGAGTCTGAAAGACTCTGGTAAATAAACAAAACAAAAACAAACACACAAACACAACAAACAAACCAACACTGGTAAAAAAAAAAACCAATAAAAACACTTGAAGGAAATTTCACCTTTTTAGCAGGAAATCTAAAAAGAACTGATGTGTTAAACAAAGTGGTATTTTTAATATTTGTTTAAATATTTTTTTTAAATATTTATCTCTGCAATGGATTATATTTAATCACATAATTGCGTTGAAGTAAAAGACTGTTTTGCTTAAGTTGCACACATTACACTTTTATGATGCTTGTTAGAATTGATTTTAATCCAGAATTTCTTTATTTCTTTATTCATATATACATATTCTGAAATTGTGAGCACCCATGTACCAACAAGTGATGATGCTGTACTGATTTGAGTCTACATGTTAATGATTTTTCGTTGTGTCTACAATACCATGGCAACCAGAGTAGAAGTAATTGTTTTCCGGTACGTCGTTTCTGATGAATTTCATAGTGATCTCATGGACTGGTTGCTATGCTTTTCAACCAAGGACTTCTTCTGTATCATTTTATTGCCATCTAGGTAAAATATTTATGTGTTCCAGCATAATTAGTCTGAACATCAGCATGGACTCCTATTTGTATTTTCATGAAAAAGAAAAGTACTTGACTAGCTTTGTAAACCCATTACAAATATTGTATACCAGGTAGTGAATAAACTGTACACATATTTACATTATACGATTTTAGAGTCAGACCTGTAATAATAGGCCAAGTAATGTGTCTTAATTTCATGTTCATGTACAGTATACATATATATGTCATTAAGCTAAAATCCTTCAAAAGGGACTCAATTATTACAAATGAGGGTTGAGCTCATTCTTTATTAATCATTGCAAAGAACTATTATGCTAAACTCTTCAGAGATTTTATAAAATCATTATATTGACCATCTCAATACCTTCTTATTTTCCTTAATTGCAGCCTGCATTTAGTGAAAAGCCAAAGATAGTCCAACCAGGAGCATTCACGAGAGCTGCTCCAACCAAAGAAGTCAAACATAGTCGCAGAGTCAGTGATGCCATCGCTAATAACTATACTCCAACCGCCCGCAATCTAACATCTTCGTACATTTACGAGATCCTACGCAGACACGGTAAATATCTTATGAATGCTGACGAGGGTATTGATGCTTCCAGGTGCTCTACCAGAGGCCCTTTGAAAGAATCACCTGTTACAGAAATTCACAAACAATCTATAATTGAAATTGAGACTCGGACACATGTATAATTGATATATCTAGAGGAATTAGAAAGAACTCTTGTGCATTAAAATGGCTATAGACGCACAGCTAGTTCTAAAGATGTTGCTTGTTTACGAGCCAGAAAGGGGTTAACTCTGTAAAAGGTCTCTCAGCATTTCCTGCTAGATGTGAACTGATGAAAACATGTTGACAAAATGTTTGTCTACATGACTTTGAAAAGGACATTTTTTGTCAAGAATAATTTTTCAATTTTTAAAATTTAAGTATAAATTAAACAGATAATTTCAATAAATTTCTTGTCATGTAGCAAGTAAAGAACAGTAGGAAAACTTTTTAGTCTGATAATATAGGCCAATAATCACCTTGTCCCTATATTTTTCTATTTTTATATGCGTAATATTGCATATTGTAGAAATGACAAGATTTTTATAAATTTCTGAATTTCATCTATTTCCTATTTAAAAGAGATTACATTAAATTTCATTTGATTTTGATTTAGATCGTCCACAAATTCGGAACGGTAGGAGGTCGCCATCTCCCAACCACCGAGGCCCCTCCCCTTCACATAGGATGCCATCACCTCAGCATAGCCGATCACATCATATACAATCTGCCAGTTTAGATAGACATTCATCCGATAAATCTAACAGTCGTGGGACTCCTTCACCAAGAAAAAGGTGAGTGTAAGAATAATTGTACAGTCAAACCTGTCTATAGCAACCGCCCAAAGGAAACACAAAAAGTAGTGTTTGTATACAGGTTCCTTTAGTACATGATTCAATGAGAAACCGTTTTCAAGGGAACCAACAAATGTGGCCTTTATAGACAGGTGGTCACTAAAGCAGGTTTGACTGTATTTTGTAAAATTTGATATTGAACACGATGTACAAATGTATGAGTGGGCATACTTTCTTAACTATTAGGAAATAAGAATTCTGCTTCCACTTGTTCGAAGGGATATTTTGTATCTCTTATAATTTGACATCCAGATTGTATATAAGTACAATAATACACACATATTATTGAGAAGAAAAACAAATTATATTTACTGTTTAGATATTGACACACCTCTTCAGAGTATGGATCAGACCTATAATTAGAATTCTATGATATTTCATTTTCTGATTTTACCATCTCTGAGAATATTGTCTTCTTTTATGAGATAGCACTTCACCAGGTTGTGTCAATTGATTTTGTTGAGACACTATGTACAACACTTCAGTGTGAGTGGTAGAGCCAGTGATATTGGTTCTTCAGTCTGGTCATTATATAGTTACTGCAAATATTATGACATGGCTCCTATGTGTGCATAGTACTCACACCAGGTCAAGAAATATTCCAGGATCGATCTTTTATAGCTTGAAGTGGTGTACAGGGTGGAGCAGAAAATGGAGTATACACTGAGAAAGAATGAATTCATAGCATTCATACTTGTTTTTACTACCTGTATGATGAAGATAATATAGTGGAAGATTTAAAGTAGTGAAATATTTGTTATCCAAGTGAAACAAGAAATCTGTCCCATATACATCTGGGCCAAATTTATTATCAATTTGATGATTCCAGAACCTTGTAGCACACACCAATACTTATATGCTAGATGATCATCCTTTTCTGATAGATTCCAAAACGTTTCGATCTCATGACTAGAACTCAACTTTGTCCTTAAATGCGCAGAGCACAACATTGATTGATTGGCGTATTGGTTCATTTATTGATTTTATTCACATTCAATAACATGTTTTCAAATCATGTTTTTACAATAGGCAGAGATATATGTTACAGAAGTGCTCAATGAAAATAAAAATTGTTATATTGAAAAATAGCATGTGAAGTTGTGAACCTAATTAGATAACAAACAAGTTATTCAGTATTCATAAAACAAAATATATCCCCACCTGCCTTTTTGGATGTGTAATTGTGTATGCATAGATGTAAAACGAATTAGAGAGAAGAGAGAAGGAGGAGAGAGAGAGAGAAATAGAGAAAGAGAAGGGGAGAAAGAGAGAGAGAGAGAGTGTGTGAGAGAGAGAGAGAGAGAGAGAGAGAGAGAGAGAGGGAGAGATAGAGAGAGAGAGAGAGAGAGAGAGAAAAGGGAGGGAGAAAGGGAAGAGGAAAGCTGAAGTTATTGAATAATTTTTTGTATTGTCCTGAAGCTTGAAGATTTTGAAACACTCTATACCTGTACATGTAGTTACCATCACATACTTATGCTGATTAATTAGACCAAGAGTCAGAAGCCAATCTCATTAGTTGGATGCAAGCAATCAAAGGGTCATTAACTTTGAGATAGAGGGACTTTGGATCCAAAGTGATTTCCATATTTATTATTTGGCTATGATTTGCATAACAAACAAAGCCAGACACCTAACTCTGATTCTTTGAACACCATTATTTGAGAGTCAAGGCAAACGATGGATTATTCATTAATTAATGACTGCGTTTTAACTGACAGCTAAGTACATGTAGGTCTCATCGCACTCTTCAAGTTTAATTGTAATTAGTACCTGCTTGAAAACAAATTATACATATTTGTTTCACGAATCTGATAAAACCATATGAAAAGTGAGAATATGTTATACCTCACCGCCTGTAAACAGTAGTAGTTTAAATGTTCTTTTATATTCCATTTTAGGATTTGTCCGGGTAGCTTTCAGTTGCTTTTTTTCTGAAAGGAGTGTAAATCTTAAAATGTTATGCAAGTTGTTCCAATATTTGCATAACCTCACCCAGTCCTTTTCTTTATTCCCTGTGAGTAAGACAGCCATTGATTTTGTTTGCCAAGCCTTCAGGCATCCTAACCTGTTTTAGGCAAAGCTATAATTAACTCACTTTGAAATGAATTGAAATGGGTCACTGGGTGATAACAATATCTATGTCTTCTCAAAAAGAACTCTTCCTCAAATTATATATGATTTCTTTGCGCACAACTTGGACAACAACCGTTCCTCATCCGATACCAATGTAGTCTCTATAATGCAACGCCTTAACATTTTAAATTTTGTTCTCAAACACATAATACTTTTGTTGGAAAAAGAGTTTCTTACCTTGATGACAACCTTTAACAATGATCATTAAAGGTAAAGAACTGATACATCTGTTTATCATCAGTTAATGGCATTATTATTGAATGAAAAATAATACATTTGTCGTAACCCTACTGTGATATTGTATAAAAAAGGATGAGCCTATTTTTATACGTAAAACTAGTAGAATTTCAAACATTGAACAAATCCACAATTTTATGTTCGCCCTTTGACAACTTACAATGGACTGCAATTCATTAGATAAAAATCTTTCTAACGGATACATACATTAATATATACATGTCTACTCCGTCTCATGTTCAACATCATTAATGTGACATCGGATGGCATTTTCAAAATATTTATGACCATTGCTCAACAAGAAAATTGAAATGCTGCTCATAAGTATTGGCTTCCATGGTGATGTAGATATACAGTAGGCTTAAGAACATTAAAATGGAAGGAGCGAGTGGAATTTGATCTTTAATAGACCTCGGGCAGAGCGAGAAGACAAGTGTCATCCATGTAGGTGAGATATAATTAGAACACTTCCTTTAGGATGAATGAACCGATGGGAGCCCTGACAATAGGATGAGTGTGAGGAAGTTTTAAAAAGGTGTCTCAAGTACCTGTCTCTGTTTGCTTTACCAAGTTGGTGATCTACTCTTCTCTCCTGTATTTACTCTCACTCTCTTTTATGACAGGGATTTTATTTGCATGTAACGGTTGGTGGAAAACATGTAGGAATGCGCAACAGAGTGGGGATACTTTTCTTTAAATGCGAAAACTCTGTAAATGAGTGTAAACAAACATCAACTTTTGTGTGTGTGTGAAGCTGAAATTGACTGAGTTAATGTATATTTGCACTTCTGTCAGATAAATATATGCTATCACTTCTATCATACAATTTTATATTTCTTAAGATCTTTGTGAAGTATGTTTCCTTATATTTACTATCTCTGATTTTGAACCTGTAAAGAAATACTAGTGCATTTAACATTTATTCTCTTTCCTCTTCTTTGTGAAATGATCGGAAAAATATATGTCACCAGTTTCATTACTTTTGATGGAAATAGGATTTTGAATTTTGGTTTTTGTTATCTCATGTCATTTTTTTATGTGAGTGTGATTATTCTCTCACTTTAGCATTTATTGAAAATGATTTTTTTATATTTTGTTTTTAGAACAAATGCCCCAGTATATTGACCAATTATCTGCAACTACTGGTAATCAAGTTCTCGAACTGACAATTTTTCAATATTTCATATCAGTGACTGAAATTTAAAAAAAATCTTTAATCCTTTTAATTTTTTTCTTCCACATTCTAGTCCAAGATCATCACATCAGTCCTATGCTGAATATAAGAAGAGCAGAAGTCAGACATCATTGAACAACAATGGTTCAACGCCTTTACCCACCGTCCAAAAATCACCATCTAATGGTCCCTCAACTAATAGGAGTCGTCTGCCCCCTATTATCACCCCTCCAGCAAGTCCAAGGGACCATTCAGACAGTGCAGTCAATGGACATGATAGGACTAGACCATTCAGCAGTAGGGAGGGTAGACCTACAAGAGGGACGTCTAGTAGTGGTAGCGATCCCATGGTACCTGATAGCGGTAATGGATCGTTGAATGCAATACATTTGTCACCGACGCCAGTTAATGATGTTCCGACACTTAATCTTCGGTCTGTGACATACGCAAGCTCAGACAGTAGTCTTGGTAAGTTCATGTTTCAAGCTGTATCATTGCCCATTCTTTGAATGATCCTTAGTTAGTTCAGCTCAGGTTTCAAGCAGTAAAATATAGCCTAATCCTCTTGAGTTTTGTCAAAAATTGCTTGTACAAATAATTCAAACTCTTTGGGGGGTACTTCATGTTCCTTTTGTATGAATGTCACTATTGATTATAACAGGTATCCAGTTTAAAAATCAGTTTACTCAAAGAGTTCATGCACTTTTCCTTGACAATCAGAAAGTCAAGATCATGAACCTTTTCAGTTGAATTCACATTTACAGATGGGTAACTGATACTTGCATTGTTGCTGGAGAAATGATGTTTTGTTAAAACATAAACAGCCAACTCATAAACAATATCATATAACACAATATTTGCACAAAGTAACATTTTGTAGGGTTGATGTTCTCTTTTTAAAGAAAGCAGTGTATGATTGTATGTACAGTGTATATAACAATATTACCTGTTTATCAACATGTAGATCATAATCAATTGATAGGACACCAGAATTACTTTAATATGTGATTATAAGAATTCAGAGGATTTATATACAGAGTCAAACCTGCTTTAGCGACCATCTGTATAGAAAGACCACTTGTCTATAAAGACCATGTTTTTTCATTTCCCTTGAATATGGTTTCTCATTGCAACCTGTACATAAAAACGACCAGCCTATGAAGACCATTTTTCATGTTTCCCTTGAGCGGTCTTTATAAACAGGTTTGAGTGTAATACTTTTTACCCCTCTTCTTAGATGGCCTAGACCTTCCTCCATGTATGCGTGAATATGATCTAGAGATGGAAGCTGTGATGAGTGTGCAGTTCCCAGGGTATACCTACTCAACACATGGGTTATCAAGACCACCTACACCGGACCAGAAGGATGTAGTCAGGTATATTGTCTTCTTCTTCTTTTCTTCTTTTGCCGCAATATTAACAAAATATAATGTTCTAATTCATTCAATCATGTCTCTTCTCTGTATCATTGAAGAGAAATATGTATTTATTTTGAGATAATCTTTTTTGACAATGTGAATTCCAAATAAAAGTTATTAACAAACAAAAAAGCAAAAAAACTAATCAAAATCTAATCTCTAATTTCAGAAACAATTTATTTATTGTACTCCTAGTAAATTGTCTGCCTGATCTTCTAAGAAAATCTCATAGAGCTTTCTTGTGATGAAGGGAAAAAAAGGATTTTCCCACTTGCAAGAGAAGAAGCTTTCTTGAATCCCTCGATAACTGTGTGTGAGTGTATTGAGCTCTTATCAAGCAATCAAGTGTAAATTGTCATCATTTGAAACATAGATTTGAAAGTATATAGCACATTTTAATACATTTTTATTACTATTGTTATGACAGAATTCATTTGACTTTTTAAGGATTTGATCTTCTAAGGAACCTTCTTTGATCATAATGCTAGTCATTCCTGAGAGAATCACAACCCTTTTACGTGGTAGCTGGCGGGGTATTCAATAAACCACACCAGAAGCCATTTAAAACGTTCCTTTGATACATTTTGTTATCATTCTCAGTTTCTCACGATGTTTTGGTCATTTTGGCCACTTCTTGTCCAAAACTGACCATTATGGTCACTTTCATTATCTTTTTATTTTCTTCCTTTAGATATTATGGTTTGATCGAGGGCTCCATAGAAGATTCCTCTGTAGCACCGCTAGATAAACAATGGATTAAAGAGATGTACAACTTCCTACCTGCTAGACTCAAGACTGAACCTCTCAAGAAGTGTATGAAAGAAGTCACAGAGGTAAGAAAATAATACTCTCTTGAGTCGCTTCTAGTGCATCAGTATCCATCACTACACTCTAAAGACTAAAATGTTAAATTTCAATTTAAAAGGGCCAAGGAGTGATCACTCTTTCGAAATGTCAGATTGTAACTTTGAACATGCTAGATTTAACCTTTAACGTGCTGTTTTCAGCATGTTCAAAGTGTTAATCTACCATTTTGAAAGAGTGGTCACTCCTCGGCCTTTTAAATGGTGATTTAACATTTCAGTTGTTTTAGTAGTAGATAGTCGTAGTAGAAAGTCGTGGCATAGTGAAAAGAAAAGGCAGAAAATATAGCTAGTTACATTGAATACAACAAAATGTAGACTGAAGCTTATTGGTTGGAACAAATGTTTGATTAGCAACCCACACAAAGACCCTGAAAATATTGCAACAAAGAATGGTGAGAATAAATCAACCTTATTGACATATCTAATGGTACTTGTCAGATTTATAAGTCATGTGTTAATATATCAATTTACAACACTATCATGCAGAAAATTATAAATTCAAAATTAAGCATCAACTAAAATGCTTGCATTGTCATGTAAATGACACGGTATTAACAGCAATGATAGATAGCAAATGTTTTTAGGATGATACAGTACATGTAGCTAAGTGCTTAGGGCAATAGGCTTGAAAGATTGGGCCAGTGTCGTAATCATGACAGTGCCACTTGGAAATCATAAATCTTCAGCAACTTTATAAAGCTGTAGTTCTTGCCTTCATATTCAGGTCTTTTATACAATTTTTTTTTACAACAGTTACATGTAGTTCAGGAAAAGAGTATGAATTGAATGTTCATCTGTGTTGACCTTTGTTAGCATGTAAACCTTAAATAGCGGTACTGGGAGTAATCTCGCAATTCACTATGAGCCCTGTCTTGCGTAGATCTGTTGTGAAGGCCAAACTTTTCAGAACCTAAGTATCCTTTAAGAGAATGATAGAGATACTATTCATGCACTAAGAATAGCTAAGCCTGGGATGTGTAAGGTATCAATGGGATAATAGAGGATTTAAATTGTGCTCTTTCTTTGATCACATCTCCATCGATTTAAAGTTTTCTTTTTCTGTATGATAGTGTAAATTTAAATATTATCATATAAATCTGACAAGTCGTATTAGATATGTATATAAGGTTTATTTATTCTCTCCATTCTTTGTTGTTATATCTTCAGGGTCTTTGTGTGGGTTGCTACCCCCTCCCCCATTCAAATTAAGCTGGTCACTTACAATGCATTTCATGAAACAATGATATATTTGAGACATTTTGGCAGATTTTTTGTTGTCGTCAGACAGGATTCCATATGGTTGATAATACCTGGGCAAAATCTAACTGTAAGTTCTATTTGCTGACCTGGGCCCCGTTTTACAAAGAGTTGACATCAATTGCAAACTATTTGCGAGTGATATCAACTCTTTGAGACTGAAAACTTGAGATTGATTTGGATCAATCGCAAGTCTTTGTAAGACGGGGCCCTGGTGTATCTATTGATGTTTCTAGAACTGGGTGTCCCCAAAAGGAAGCAATTATCTTCCATCTCGTTTTGGGGAGGTTCAAGAAACCTGATAGGTGCTATATATAGTCAAAGCCCAGACCACTAGTAAAGTGCTTGATTCATTCATGCAATCGTACGATCTTCCATTACGTGGGAATTAACACTACTAGGTCTTCTATTGACTCGCTACTGGGAGTCTTGTAATGTACAACGCTCTCAAAATGTATAACGCTCTCGAAATGTTACTCCCAGGGCAGAAGGCCTTCAATCAAATATACAATCATACCTCAGGCCTATCAATGCAGCTCTTATGGGCTACTATTGTTACCTTAATGGATGTTTGAGTGCAAGAATCTATTTTTAGAACACGTGTGAAAAGACCTTTGTTTTTGTTGATGGAATTGGAATGTGAGACCAGTCACAGAAGATAATAGATGAACTGAAATATAGAAAATAGAAAGGTAGAAAAACTATATCAATATGAAAGGCAAGCAAGTCTATGTATTGTTGGGTTTCTTAGTTACAAAAAACATTAATAGAATTAAAGTGTTGGAAATGAATTTAGGCATTTATATAGTATATGTTAAAAAGGATGCTTTACTGTTTAGACGTTTAGTACCATAGAATACATTTGTAAGAGATCAACTCTTAAAAATAAAACATTTACAATTATTTATAATACTCGGTATATGAAATAATACTTACGACTCCAGCCCCTTTTATCATTTGTCATAATTCATCTGTTTTTAAGTGGCATGTAAGTACATAAATTGTAGGCAATTTCTCTGCACTTTGAAAGTGCCTTGGAAATTATTTCCCTAGCTCTAGCCCATATTGATTGATTTAGCCTATTCAAGAGTAGTATACACTGTACAGAGGCAATAGTTATCATTTATTTTGTCATGCCTTGGGCTCACTCATAAAGTTGAAATGACTCATACAGTTTGTAAGTGATATTGCATTAAAAATTCATATTCTAACCCCTTTTCACACTTGGCGTGACTTTCTAGGCAAAACAAGGATTAAGCCCTTCATGGACTGTCGCCCATGAAGTTAGAATATGATTCTTATTCTCTTTTCATGAGGTGATTGTGACAATTGTGCTTTATTCTCAGTAGATGAATTTTTTATCTTCTCAGAACTTTGAAGATCAATTTAAAGAGTCATAGAGAATGATCAGAAAAGTGCTGAGAAAATAATAAACAATAATCTGTTATTAAAGAATAAACCATATTGTTGCAATTACTCAATGAAAAGATGTAAGCAAAAAACATTCTAACTTCATGAGCAACAGTGTATAAGAATGTAATATTAATACAGTTAAGTTAAACCTTTCCTCAGCGACCACCCAAGGGAACACAAAAAGTGATCTTTGTAGACAGGTGGTCTTTGTAGCCAGGTTCCTTTTGTACATGTTTTAATGAGAATCAAACCACTATTTTCAAGGGAAACAACAAAAGCAGTCTTTGTAGACAGGTGACCACTAAAGCAGGTTTGACTGTAACATTATTTTATTCCATATCCTAATGTAGGAAGCCAGATCTGTGTATACAGAGAGCATCAAGAAGGGTATCATGGACTACATCCTGCAAGACCCCGTGGAACAAGAGAGACTTGGTGTTCCCATGCCAACCAAACATTCTAACTCGGCCGGTAGAGAGTGGTATCCCTGGAGTGATGCAGTGGATGATGCAAGGGACTTCATGGAGAACTATCTCTACATCACACATCCTATCATGACTACTATCCTCTATAAGTGGGAGACCCAGTGAGTGCATACTGCTATAAAACAAACAGATATGGGGAATTTCGTTGATGGGTTTTCGAGGACCAGTGGATATGAGATTAAGCTATTAAAAAAGGAAAAGGAAGAAGGAAAAGAGGAGAAGGAAAAACAAAAAATATGATCAAAAACTAGAGATTTAGGAAGAGTACGAATTTACAAATAAACAAAAGAAAGAAAAAAAATTGAAAGGCATAAATATTCTCTAAAAGACACCAAAAAATAACAGCAACAACAACTACAATATGATAGAAGGTGTATTTCTCTCTTTGCCATACGATATACATGTACTGGATATTGCTGTAGATTATGGAAATTCTGGCCAGCTGGAAATGTAGATTTGGAAACCATTCATGAGCAATTCCACTTCTGAAATTGGCCACAGGAGCAGGGTTTTCATGAAGATCATAGTTGCTCAATTCTTAAGTAAAGAATATAACATGAAACATCAGACCATTTTTATTTATCATCCCAGAATAGTTCAGCTAAGGTAGTTTCCCATGAACAAACAACCACAAACTGAAATGACTGCTCCTGTACATTCTTTACAGAGCATATCCTTTGTTTCCTATAGTAGAATTGAATATAATATTTGAATTTTGATCTTGCTTTAGCGTTTAGATTTCATCTTGTAATCCAAATAAAGGAAGTTAATGATGAATTTTGTGTGTCACTCGCTACCTGCCATACATCATTGGTCCTTTTTTCTTCTTCTTCCAGATATGCCCATCTCAGGATGTTAGACAGACCGGGTATGGAGGAGATAATGCCTCTCACTCCAGAGGTATTCCTTGACCACATCAAGAACACAACGAAGCAGACGAGAGAGATCTTGATGAACGATTGGCTTGAGGAATGTGCTGATATGATTGACGATGAAAGAGATGAGATTGAAAGATGGATGCCAGAGAATCAGGTGAGATTGATGGTTTAATGCCGTTTCACTATCCACTAATTGTTTTCTTTATATTGATGATATAAATTTCAAATTTTCCCCCTTAAAATTTAATTTTCTCACATCAGCATCCAAGTTATATTGATAGTAATATGTTTATATGTGAATGCACTAATATAGAGTTTTTTTCTTTTCAGTTAAATCATGAAAAACATGAATTTTGATGAACTATTTATATAAAAATCCATGATTATGACATGAACAATATTCAGAAAATAGTTTCAATTCTTCAAAGTTCATAAAAGATTTTGTGAAATGTCATGCACGCAGTATGATACAAATCATATAACCTGGGCAAATGTATGGGGAAATCAAGTTTTGGGGGATAAAAATATATAAAGCAATTGATAAATAGTGAGGCAATGACGTCACAACCTGATAACCAAAATGGCATTTTGTGTAGGGATTTACTAAATTCCATAGTTTTTCATACTTTACAAAATATTCATAACTTCCTTATAAGTTATCCAATTTTACCCAAATTTGTTTTTTTCTGTTTCTCTTGTTTGCTGCTTCTATTAAAATTAAATTATTTTTGGAGCAGACTAACCCTTTAACCTGTGCAGAAGAAAGTTGGTTGTAGCTCTATATCAACTCTTCAACATGCAATGTATACCAATTCTGATTTCTCCCTCGATGCAGGATGGTAGAATGGCCCAGATGGATCATTTCTTCAAGTCCCTGTCAACACTCATGTCCCTCTGCTTAAGAAGCTGTGTAGAGAAGTCCATTCATGATCTTGTGGATTGGTTTCAACTCTACGATGATGGAAACTATTATGATTGCGATTATGATGGATCTGAGCTCAGCCTACCAACCATACCACAGCCTCTCAAGATCTCCATGGTAACAGATACAAATGTTTAGCGTATTCATCTTCTAATCATTGCATAGAATACAAGACCTCTCTATAAAGATACTTTATGTACCGGTATACAAAGACTTAATGTTGCTGGCAAGGTACAAGTACAAACATACCTTTCTCCCAGGTTTATCTAGAATCTTGGTGTCTACAAATGCCATTCATTGTGTTCCAGTTTATTACCATGGTTACACACTTGTCAAATACAGGGAATGCAACAATCAAATGATTTATGAACTTTATGCACTGATTTTAACGTTGAATATATATTATATATATTCAAGAGACAAAACATCATGAAACTATTTTAAAAAGTTTAACTACGAACATCAGGTTTATAAATTAGAATAGTCACTGTAGTTTGATTGTAGTAAATACAGGACTTGCCAGCACTTTAAAATGTTAATGTATTTAAGTGTGTATATCAATATTAAAAAGCTTGTAAATTGTTGCCTAAAATATGGTATGTTTTTCGAAAAATTTAAGGGTTTCTCAAGGAAATGTTTCAATGTGTTGAACTGTTTGGTATAACCTGTAACAGTCCTTGTTGGTGTCGTGGTTGAGTGGATATGTCACCAAACTGTTGATCACAAGGTCAGCAGTTCAAGTTCCACCGCGGCACTAATGTCCTTTGGCAAGGCATTAATCTTCTTTTGCCACACTTGACCCAGGTGAGGTAAATGGGTACCTGGCAGGAATTAAATCCTTGAAATGCTAGAGCGCTGTAATGGCAGCTAGGCTAAAGCTGGGGTAAAATAAAATGCGACTTGGAATAGAATTTCTGGATAGACGGCACTATAGAAATGCCTATTATTGTTATTATTATTATTATTATTATTAATGTTTTTTAAAATTGTATTCCAGGGTCCTGAGATGTCCAAGGTGTCCTGTTCGTTCACCCCAGACATCAATGGTGTCATCGACATCCTCCATGGGTGCATCCAAACCATGGTTGACGGTGTGAAGGGCATCCACCGGGTCGAGAAGCGTCTTTTTCATCGGGTAGACGCCGTGGCCATCGCTCACATTCCCGCCGTCAGGGACGATGAGGAGGTCGTGGAGAGGGCAAAAGAGCAGGTCAAGGAGGTCATCTTGCATAACTATCATGGCCCTGTCAGGTTAGTTGCTGGATACATCACGCATTCTTGTTGGCTGCCAAAAATGTTACAGGACTTTGTGCTAGATCTTGGCTTGAATGATCAGTTTTCAATTTGTTATGTGTTCAAAATACAGACAATATATCTTTAGATATTGTAGAGCTATATTTTTAACAGAACATTAACCTGTCCATTTGTACCCTTCTATATTTATAGTCCATTTGATTCTTTCCATCACATCCCACCGCCGCCACCATTTTCTTTACCTTCTCCACAAGATATGGCCACGCCTAGCCTTAGCTCCATAGGCTACAGTGCTAACATGCAGTATATTTCCAGGCTCTCAAGACCTTTCTTTTTGTGCATGCTGTACTGAGATTCCTACAATAATCGCGCCTTGTTCCTTTTAGTTTCCGTTTATAACGTTCTATTTCAGCTTGCCGTTCATTCTTGCATTATACTCTGATGAGTGCAAAACGAAAACCTTAAGTATGGCTCTTTTCAACGCGATTCTACAATAAAATTAGCATTTCTTTCATGGCAGTTGGTGCTCTTAAATGTAAACTTTTTCTTACACTTACAGGTTTAAGATGGTGTATGCTCCTTATGCCTACCTGCTGAAATCATCCTCAGACTCGCAGGTCGAGAAGTTTGTGAATAAAGACCAACATCTCAGGGACTATGTCAGAGAGATTGAGAAACTCAAGAAGATGGCGGCTGAAGTTGGTCTCTTTCCTCTCAATGTACCCATGCATCTCTTTGAGTTGGACTGCACAGATATCAATAGGGTAAGTATTGTAACTTCACCTTTCTTTGGGGAAGGGAAATAGATTTAGGAGGTTTCAAGTTCAAGTTTCAAGTTTCAGGTTTATTTCACATTTCACTAATAAAAAGAATTTACATAATTGACAAAATTAGAACATAATATGAAATATACTAAAAAGTGTCACATTATATAATTAATTTTTTGCAAAGACGTCAAAATTAATTGTAATGAATAGAAGGTTGTACAGAGTGAAATGTGAGGAACCTATTAAAAAGCTCAGCTTGTAGATTATAGGTTCCCATAAATAAAACTAACATTTGGTTGAAGTGGTTGTAATGGTAGAGGATGTAACAGTAATAATAGGTGGGCAAGAAGCCTTAACATAAGATGATTATACAAGGTGAAACAAGCAAAAATAGCAAATACAGCAAGCAAATTAATTTGTTACTAAAGAAATAAGACAATAGTCACTTTAAAATATTGAGGTCATTGAATAAAGACATTGAACGAGGTCACCCGAGCGAGGCAGTAGACATGAACAATCATGTTACAGTAATGTATATAATAATGTAGGCTGTAGCCCAGACGCAATCCTGTTTGCAACATGCATTCAAACCCACGCACGTCTGTTCCCAGAGAGCCCCAAGGCACGCAAAAATTTGATCATTTTGATCAAACCGCGAGTCTGGTGTATTGAAGACATAGAACACACATATATTACACCTTATGTGTAAATTTACTGTATATTGCTGTTCAGATTTATGTTTTACAATAATATGCCACACTAGTTAACATCTTTCAATTAGAATGTTATAGAATAATTACATTGTAGTCCCAGGAGGGTACAGAAAATACATGTATAATCTAAGTTTTAATGCTATTATGCTCTGCTTTAGAAATGAACTGCTATAATAATAATCTGGATTTATATAGCACTTAATACGAAATACCGTCTCAAAGCGCTTTACAGATTTATTATCTCGGTCATCTCCATTCCCTGGGGATTATTCCTACCATATGTACACTGTGAGGGCATATGGCAATTACTAACCCAAAGGATTTCGTCATCCTACCAGGCCCCCATATCTCTCCTGGGTATGGAGTGGCAAATGTAGATTAATGCCTTGCCAAAAGACATTAGTGCCATGTTGGGATTGAACCTACGACTTTTGAATTTCAAGTCAAGTGCTTAAACCACTCGACCATGACACCTCTATGACCGTATAATGTTGTCTCTTTACAGTGGCTGATCCTGAGGTCAAGAGATTTGGCAGACATCATGATCTCAAAAATCGTCAATACTAGTCGAGTGTTCAACCGTGGCATATGTGGGCAGTACGACCAGATTGTGAGGAAAATCACCAGTCAATCAGAGACTACGCATCAGTTGGTCAAACTACAGGAATATGTGGATAGACTGACCACTGGAGAGCTACTACAACTCAAGGTAAAATTGTTTTATTCCATTTTTATCATCTTAACCAGTTACAGTTACACTCTCCTGTTCACTCTCTCTGTCTCTCTCTCTTACTCTCCTCCCCCTCCCTCCTCCATCTTCCTTTCTCTCTTTTTCTCTCTGCCTCAGTTTTTATCTATTCATTTGTAAAAATTGTTTCAAAAATATATGTTTTTGTTACTTATAATGGATGGTCCATTTCACGTTCAGTTGTTAAACTTGGTTTGTTTTGTATCGACTAAAAATATGAAATCCAACAAAATACAAATAGGTTTTAATTTTAGGATATGTTATACATGTATTATGAAGTTTGGTTGTCCAGTGCAGCGATGATTGCAAAGATAGAAGCAATGTTCTGTTTGTGTTCTTTTAAAAGCATTGTTGTTTCGACGAGTTTAAATAATTTTCGAATTATCAAAGAGAAGATCTGTAGAAGTAATTTTTCTGATATGTTTGCTATTCAGGAGTATTACTATTCTTTATCTTTTTCTTTGTTTCTTACAGAAAAAGCTAGAAGTAGCAGGAGGAAACCTGATCTTTCTGATGGACTATGCATACTTGAACAAAGAAGATTTGATGCTGAATGATCAAACATTCACCTGGCCTGATAGAATCATGCCTATCATCAGAAACAGGTCGGTTTTACATAGTTTGGACCATCATATCTTTACTTGAGAGTTTTCGTGTTCGAATCTAATAATAAATGAACACCTAAATTATGCATTTTTTGAACAAAATTAAATTGTAAGACAAGAATGGAGGACAATTAAGGAAGAAAACAAGTATCTTTTTGATGATGACTATTAGTTTTAAAATCTTCTTTTATTTTGGAGATATCAACTTGTGCCACCACAGTGCTTGAAGACATCATTAGAAACAAAAGATTCATTTGTTGTACACGTGCATACTTCAACGTTATTCATAATCCCATTTCTATGTTGATTCTTTCAGTGAAATGAAGCTTCAGAAGGAGCATGACTATGCCGTGTCCAAGCTCAACGATTGGCAGAAGAAGTTTGCTGTACGTATCAAGGAGGTGATGGATCAGGTCAAGGCATTCAGGACCAAGGATCGGATGTCAGAAGCACAGGATTATCTGGATAAACTGATTGATATACAGCTCAAACTGGACGATTTCTATTCTGAGGTGAGTACTCTATTAAAGGGAGTGTAGATTGACGAGACTACGTGTGTTTCCTGTGGCCTGACTCGGGGCCAATCGAGTATAATACGTCTACGGACGACGCAACCGCTGCAATCACGTGCGTGCAACATACGCGAAACTGAAGCGTGAGGAGAACTTTGGTCTGTTTCGCGAATGCTGACCATGTAGAGATTAAGTCACTGACTACCGATAATCAAGTCCATTCGTTTACATGCAGTCGTCCCAAAGAAGACGTAGATGGCGTTAACCAGTATTTGCCAAGCTACACTCCCTTTAAGAGTCTTTGGGTTTGTTGTTTTCTGGAACTATCATTAGAATATTAAAAAAATCCGAAAAGAAAGAAACTGTCTTCAGACACATATTTCCCTTAGAGATATTTGGATTGTTTCCTGAAAACAGTCAAGTGTGGGCCTTAGATTACAGAAGAGTCAGAAAGTTAAAAAGTCCAAGGAATTTGTGTGTAATTTGTCCTGTCACAGCCGTGATCTAACAGAAGCCTATAGTGCTAATGTTGTTACCTGTTTAAATGGTAAGTGAGAGGATTCAATCCTGCTATTTCATTTTCAGATTTAAAATGCAATCTGTTTACATCTAGAAAGTATGAAATTCTGTCTCAAATAAATATGTGAAAGCAAAGAAAAGTCTCATAATAACAATGAAGCAATCAACACTTGAGTTCATTAGCGAAAATTTTGTCTGGTGTAAAGTGGTACTCTCTTATTTTTATCTAAGCTATAGCCTCGATATCAATTTGCATTTTGTTTCGCTTATGTAAGGATTTCTGTTCCTTTCATCTGTCATTATGATAATAATAATAATAGTAGAGTTTTGTATAGTGCTCATGTCTTGCACATTGCCACTTCTGGCACTCCATCATATTACCCTGGTTTTAGCACACCTGCTGTTGCAGCGCTTGACATTTCAAGGAACTAATTCCTGAGAGGTACCAATTTCCCCACCTGGGTGGAGTGTGGCAATTGTAGATTAATGTCTTGCCAAAGGACATTAGTGCTGCAACAGGAATTTGAACCCTGTAACTTGTGGCTCATGGTCCGGAGACTTATCCACTGGACCAGAACACCTCTACCTTATCATTCCTGTGATTTAATATTTTTCAGAAAGGAGCAGTGAACCAGGAGCAGAAGTTACTTGACGTTGGTCACATCAGTCCGTACCCCGAGCTAGATCAGATCAAGGAAAAGAAAGAACCTTACGATAAACTCTGGAATGCTGCAGTCAAGTTCCATCACATGTATGACAAATGGATGAATGGACCGCTGCTGGATGTCAATGCTGAAGTGGTGGAAGAAGAGGTAGGTAGATGAGACAAGGATGGAGACAAGTGGTGGTATAGAAGGTGGATGCGAGATATGAATGATTGTGTAAAGGAATATATATTTTGAATTCAATTGAATTGACACTTATTTCCATTTTCATGACAATATATACAGAGATAAAAGATGGAATGACATAACAGATAACAATATCAATATTACGTATAAATTGACATACTAACATTCAAAATTTAAAGAAAAAATGACATTAAATGGTGCTTCCGTGAAAGCCAGTAAGGCTTGACAATTGAATACACCAGGCGCACAAGTAATAATAACATAGTGTGATTTTTGTGTAGAAATTTATCTCCTAATGAATCTATGGTATGGTATTTGGTATGGTATTTATTGAATCGTGCATCGCAGTTACATATACTGAATTGCACATGGATATACATTGCATTTTAAAAACAAGTGTACAATTTAAAACAGTATCATTTACATAATCATAAGTAAACGTATATATCACATGTTTATCCTTAATTTTGTACCAAATGTTAAATAAAGCAAAAATACTAACAAGAAGGAAATGGGAATATGTACATTAATGATAGATGAAAGTGAGGAAGAGAGAAGGGAAAGATGTAGAGAAAAGAGGTTAAAGAGAGAGAGAGAGAGAGAGCAGGAGAGAAGGAAGGAAAGTGTGAAAAAGAGAAAGAGGGGATAAGAGACCGAGAGATATAGTGAAGATAGAGAAAGAGCTAAAAAGATAGCGAGATGGAGAAAGAGAGAGAGAGGAAAGAGGAAAGAAGCTGTTTTTATGAGGAATGTTTGTATCAGATTTTCCACCATCTTAATTTCTTGTCCCCCCATCAGGTCCAGAACATGTGGCGTACTAGCTACAAGCTGACCAAGGTGTTTGCCCACCCTGACATGATGGGACCAATGAGGGCGTCGACCACCATCAAAGCTAAGCTAGAGAAGTTCAAGATCAACATGCCTCTCATCAATGCCCTCTGTAATCCTGGTATCAAACAGAGACATTGGGATATGATGAGTGAAAAGGTAGGTTCACATTAAAGCCCCACTACTTATAGCTACTTGTGACCTCTATATAGCAAACAATTCCTAAAGAGTGACCAATGGTTTCCAATGGTCCCCTTTTTCTTATGTTAATTGAGAGCTGATTGGATGAGATAACCACCTATCAGTGACCATGCATGGAGGTCTAATCCCTCCTGGCCAAACTAGTGCAGATAGGCTTTAAAGGTTCCAAAATTAGATTTCAAAATTGGAGACAAAAATTTAATTTTGATTAATTGCTATTAAGTAGTGCATTATCAGTCTATTGGTTCATTTTAGGATTCAGTAAATGTGTGACTTATTAAAGAATTTCAAAGAAATACTGACTAAAGTTAAGAGAATTTGATATTATTCTACAGTATGTAAGCTGTCTGATATGTAGTTGTTGCTTGTAGTTCATTGCTATTGTATTATACCGGCATAAAACAATATGGCTAAGACAGATGATTTTTAACTTGCTTGAAGTTAATTAGTTATGAATTTCCCATGTTCAATCTGGGAGAATCTGATCCAAACATTGAGTGTTTAGTGTGCATTTATAACCTTCCATGTGACCCCCGACCCTCAGACATCAGGATGGGAGAAGAATAAATGAACAAGCCTTCCATGATGTTCACTTTTATTGACTTCTTACTTTATTGTGCTAGGTTGGTTTCAACATGACCCCTCAAGATGACACTCCTCTCGTTGAGATGCTTCAGATGGGACTAGAGAAATACTTGGAGGATCTATCAGAGATTAGCTCACAAGCTAGCAAGGAATATGCCATGGAGAAGGTGAGTCCGATGATAATATCTGCCGTCCTTATTTACTTCTTGTGTGATCCTTTTCAGCTAGGAGTTTTATTGTTGTTTGATTTTCGCCTGTCTCTACTTTCTTTCACCTTTGCATTATTTTGGCATCTTGTGCATGTGAATTTTCAAATCTAACATGTTTGTTTATAGTGCTGCATTGCATTTAAGGCACAGTCAAGCCAATTGTTATGTTTAAATCTACATGTATATCCTGAAGATGATGAATGACTTACATCGGATTCATTCACGCACAATGTGCACCATCTCCACTCCTACCATATGTTCACAGTTATGGCATACAGCAATTACTAATGCAAAGGCTTTCGTCATCCTACCAGATCCCTGTTTCTCTCCTGGGTATAGAGTGTGTAGATTAATACCTTGCCAAAGGACTTTAGTGCGGTGTCAGAGATCGAACCCAAGACTTTTTAATTTCAAATCAAGTGCTGAAACCATTTGACTACCATACCTCCTACGAATACTGATTCAACTGATTTAACTGTTTCTGTGTTCATGGCAGGCCTTGTCAAAGATGAAGAGTGATTGGGAGACAGTACACTTCAGCTTCACTGGTTACAAGGACACCAACCTGTCTATCCTAGGAGCACCAGACGATGTACAGGTCTTGATAGAAGACCATGTCGTCAAGACAGCTACGATGAGAGGATCACCGTTCATTGCACCATTTGAGGCTGAACTCAAAGAATGGGAAATAAGACTGGTAAGACGTGAAACACAGTTTTTTCATGCTCCTTTTCTTGAAATCAATCCACAAGAAATAACTATATTTATGTCTTGCTGTTGAAACAGACTTATACCACAAGGTCTACCTCAATTCTAACTTTTATGATATTCTGCAATGTATGCATACTACACATATAAGGTATGACTTTTATTGAAAAGGATTGATAAATTGATTTCATAATACATTACGTTAAGTTTGCTGTACAAAAAAGTTTTTTATTTGTCTTTAGTTTCTTTACCTTAATTCTTTAAATGACAATTAATGCAGGTTTAATGCACGTTAATGTACATATGCCACTCTCCACCCAGGTGTAAATGGGTACCTGCTTGAGCGCTAGTTACTTTGGCAGCTCGGCTATGACAAGGGTAATATGTGTAAAGCGCCATGAGCGTTAGAACCTGATGGATACCGGCACTATATAAATAACCATATTATTATTATTTATACAAATGAAACCTGGAATAACTAATCATGAAATGTCCTGAGACAAAATCAGAAAAGACCAATTATTCTTGTTTGTCAAATTCCCTTAAGAAGAATGTGGGTGTTCAGAAATTAGTACAATGATTTTGTTAATATTATTCTGTGCAAAACAAAATAACAGAAACACATGTCCCTATAAGTCAGGTAAAATGCCATTTATTAAACCACTAGTATGCTGAATGTCTGAATAATTGTTTTCTTTGGCAGCATCGAATCAAAGACATCTTGGATTCGTGGCTGAAGGTCCAAGCAGCTTGGTTATACCTGGAACCTATCTTTGGATCAGAAGACATCAGAAGACAGATACCTGTAGAGGGAGAAATGTTCACTACTGTAGATGGTCACTGGTATGTCTAAAAAACACAAATCAACCTTCATTTGTATTTATTTCTGAGGCCAATTTTTTAAAAATCATTTAATAAAAAGATGTATCTTTCTATGTGCTATTTCTATGCACCTGCAACTAAATTTAAGAAATGTTTGAAGTCCAGGGCTCCGTCCTATATAGAGTTTGCGATTGATATCAGTTGCAACTATGTACATAAGACATAGGAGACTGCAAACCTATGATTGATTGATCCAAATCAATCGCAACTCTTTATAAGATGGGGCCCTGGTTAACTTGTATTTTCACTTGGATTCACAGCTGATTGATTGAAAATCAATGTCTTGACCATTGTCTTGACTCTTGTTTCTGTGTTTGGTTTGTAGGAGAGAGATCATGCACACATCAGTGAAGAACACTTTGGCATTGGTAGTGACCTCACAGAAGGACATGTTAGAGAATCTACAACACTCCGAGGGACTCCTGGACACTATCCAGAAAGGCCTCAATGACTACCTGGAGAAAAAGAGACTCTTCTTCCCAAGGTTAGTACTTAGCAAGCCCATGCAGATTCCTGAGACAAATCATGGAGAGAAACTTGTGTAGGGAGCTGTACCATGCTCTACTGAACATTAGAGGGTTTGCTTTCATTACTGCATGATATTTGTGACCGAGTCCATACATATGCTTGGTAGACTTTGTAGATACATGCAAAGTTCATATTTTGCATGAAGTAGAAACATCTCTATATCCAATGTCAGTTACTATGTTAACTTTATGTGGTCAATAATTCTCTTTATATCTTGAAGTTGATGCCAACAAGTTATTATTAGCTAGTATCTGAAGCCAACACTTTCTCAACAAAGTCACTACCTGTGTGAAATAAAATAATGCATGTATGTATGTACATAAATGTATATAGACAGATCAGTTAATCAAAGATTGGTTCTCTGTCTTATGTCAATATGAAATCAAACCATCTTGCAATGCTTTATCAAAACAGGTTCTTCTTCCTGTCCAATGATGAGCTGCTGGAGATTCTATCAGAGACTAAAGATCCTCTCAGGGTACAACCTCACCTCAAGAAATGCTTTGAAGGCATCGCTCAGCTTACCTTCACTCCGGAGAAAGAGATCATCGCTATGGAATCAGCTGAGAATGAGAGCGTAGAGCTTTGTTCTCGTATCATACCAGCCGATGCACATGGTCTAGTGGAGATGTGGCTCATACAGGTTAGATTCATGTTACAGATCTTTTATTTAAATGTATCCAATCTATTAATTCATGACAAATAAACCATTGTTATCAGCTGAAAATGAGAGTGTAGAGCTTTGTTCTCATATCATAACGGCCAATGTTCATGGTCTGGGAGAGATGTGGGTCATACAGGCCAAAATCTGTTTTTGTCCAAGCTGATTCCAGCTATTTCATTCTGTTTTTTTGTCCAAGCTTCTATTCTGTCAAAATCTAGTTTTTGTTCATCGGATAGCTGCGAAGAGTAGAGTTAATGTTTCATCAGGAGTCGTATGAAAAAGTTGATAGCTACAGAATAGTTTTGACCAGGTGTGTCCAAAGTTCTCACTTGAAATAGTATACTCATAATTAACGTAATATTGTAGATTATGGACTGTATAATATCTTTGGCGTCTCCAGTATTTATCAAAAACATGAAAAATGGTCTTTCTATTCATTCATCTGTGCCGGGAAATATTTTATTAGCCCAATATAAACAACCTTAATGATTTATACATTGTAAATATTGGTATATGGGTTTTATTTTTTTTTGTACAATATTTATTCTGAAGCCCTGATTTTGATGTGTTCTATAGGTGGAGGACCTGATGAAGAAGAGTTTGAGGGATGTCAATGCCAAGGCAGTGGTAGCCTATCCTAAGACTCCTAGGAAGTCTTGGGTCCTGAACTGGCCTGGTCAGATCGTCATCTCGGCTAGCTCCATCTACTGGACAGCTGAAGTCACCAAGGTATGTGGGCCAGGGCAGGGGGACGTTTCACAAACTTGTCATCAGTGACAAATGACAATTTGTGTTATAGCTACTGAAATCCTTGCTTCTGATTGGTTATCAGCAGATTTGTCACTGATTTTTGTTACTTGTCATTGAAAAAAGGCTTTGTGAAATGCCCCCCAGAATAATGATAATAATGATAATCTGGATTTATATAGTGCTTAATACAAAATACCATCTCTAAGAGCTTAACAGATATTACTACCCTCATCGTATCGTTCACACAATGTGCACCACTCCCTGGGGAGTATTCCTACCATATGGTTACCGTGAGGGCATATGGCAATTACTAACACAGAAGCTTTCGTCATCCTACCCATTCCCTATTCTCTCCTAGGTATGGATTGGCAAATGTAGATTAATGCCATGCCAAAGGGCATTAGTGGCATGTCTGAGATCAAACCTACACCTGTACATAGATCCATAAAAAGTAAAGTTTCTGAATTTGTCAAAATTTAGGGATTATGATCTTCACTATTAAAAACAGATGGGAGTGTAAATTTACACATGTATTATATAATGATCCATTCTAATAGTATATGCTTTAACCAAATTTGAAGACATTTTTTGTTGCAGTGAATGGTTCTAAGGTACTTATGGCTAAACGTGTTAATGACAAAATTTTGTACAAGACATACAGCAAGTCGATAAACAATTTGGAAAATGAATTATGTATAACATGTTTTACAGGCTATTTTGGAGAAGGATGGTCTAAAGAAATACCTGGCAACGTGCAATCGTCAGATTGAAGAGATCGTTGAGCTTGTGAGAGGGAAGCTGACCAAGATGGCACGTATCACTCTGGGCGCACTTACTGTTGTTGATGTTCATGGTGAGTAGAGTACTTCACCTAAAGTAGGATTCATTATAAAACAGAATCTGATTTGAATGTCCAAATCCCATTGTGCATGTGACTTTGTACCTGCATTGACTTTGGTTATTTTGGAGCTGACACCTCTCTCTCTCTCTCTCTCTCTCTCTCTCTCTATACCTCTCTATCTCTATCTCTCTCTATCTCTCTCTCTCTCATTCTATCTTTATCATCTTCTATCTCCATCTCTCTCTCTTCCCCTCTCTCACCAACTCTAGTCTACTACCCTTAGTCATCAATATACTCTACGTTTACCACATCATTCTCATATGATAAAAACAAGACTTCTATTTTAAGTTATTTTCACTTAATTAATCATTCTGAAGTGTTGATTATCTCATATATATTATCTCATTGAACTGTGTATCATATCTGTACAACTGTATGTTTTATGTCTGTATGTGATGCCCTGCTTTGGCAAATACATTGTCCTGGGCCATGTGAGTGTGATACAAGAATATATTGCTCAGGCTATGACAATATTGAATGAGTCGGAGACGAGTCTAATATTGCCATAGCGAGAGCAATATATTCTTGTATCACACGAAAACAAAGCCATATAATATGATTATTATCATCTATATCAGGCTGACTAGCAAAATAAGATAATATGAATTACCTCGGTAAATATTTGTGTGTGTGTGTGTGATATCAATATGGATAGTTGAAGTTCCCGGATGACTGAGCAATACAAAAACAATATTGGTCAGTCATCCAGGTACTTCACTAAAGATATTGAGTACACCGATTTATTGAACTACTTGGAAGCCTTATATAGATAATAATGTGATATATCTCCCACTAAAGGGAAATGGGTATACAGATGTGGATGAGGGAGACTGAAACTTTTGAGTAATGCCATAACCCCCTTCCTTGTTTGTCTAGCTCGTGATGTGGTGTCCAATCTCTACAATGAGAAGATAGAAGATGTTCTCAACTTCCAATGGATTAGTCAGTTAAGGTATTACTTTGAGGAGGGTAACGTGATGGTGAGGATGATCACCACGACCGTTCCCTATGGTTACGAGTATCTAGGAAACACAGGAAGGCTGGTTATTACTCCACTCACTGATAGGTGCTACAGGTAAGAATATCCTAGCTCTATCATTCTGCAACTTTTGATAAAGATGTATCGGATTAAAAGGAAGCTTAAACTACTTTATTCAAAGTCAGTAATAATAATAATCTGGGTTTATACATGTGCACTAAATACAAATTACCATCTCTAAGCGCATTATAGATACTATAACCCCAATCATCAGATTCATTCATGCACAATGTGCACCCTCTCCACTCCCTGAGGAGTAATCTGGTTACACCCAAGGCATATCGTATGCAACTCTGCTTCATTTGTAAATGAATACATTCATACATTCATTCTTTTATTAGATAATGCTTTGTTTCAGGTGCTTTTCCCAATCAGAATCTGCTTGCATTGGTTGATCTGGTTTTTAATCACTTAACCTGTTTAGTATGGTATGAGTTTAAACAGTCTGGAAGTTGATTGCAACTCATTGTGCCTATATTTGAAGTAGACAAGTTTTGTAGTAAGATACAGTTCTTTTTCCTTATGTAGTACTAAGATGTCAGGTCAAATGGATCAGGGGATAATGCCTTTCCATCATAAAGATTTCCTATTATAATAACAAATCATTTATATAGTACTGTTACACATATAAAACAGTTTAACAGCGCTTTACAGACTTCAAACAAATTAACTTACAAGGTGCAAAAGTTTACGATAATCATTGAATAGGAGAGTTTTGAGAGTCTTCTTTGCAGGAGACGGGTGAACAGATCGTGGCATGTCATTCCACAGTCGTGGTGCAGAGGCCTGAAAAGTATTATCACCAGTGACAGGATGAAAATCAATCGTAATTGCATAGGGGCCATATCAAAGAGTTGTTATTATTATCTCTTGTTTTAGAACATTGATGGGAGCCTTACTGCTCAACCTTGGTGGAGCCCCTGAAGGACCGGCAGGTACCGGTAAGACAGAGACCTGCAAAGATCTGGCTAAAGCTGTAGCTAAACAAGTAAGTTTATGGAAAATAGAAACAAAGGTTCCCCTAAATGAAATGAAAACAAAATAACTCTAACATAACCAACATAGTATTCTTCAGAAGTGTTTGAGCAAAGTAAACAGTATAGAGGTAATATATATATATATATATATATATATATAAGGTATCATAACCCTCTTATGATAATGATTAAGAAGTTTCACTATTCTTGATATTTTACTTCAACCAATATGATTTTTGTCTTGAAAAGTGCATTTATGTTTCATCATTCAAGATTCTTTTATAACAAGTAGGAGACTAAAGAAGAGATATACTTTTATTTTCATCTTGCTAACAGCTAATATTCTTTTTGATTTCACAGTGTGTAGTGTTCAACTGTTCTGACGGTTTGGATTACAAGGCCATGGGAAAGTTCTTCAAGGGTTTAGCCCAGTCAGGAGCGTGGGCTTGCTTTGATGAATTCAACAGAATAGAGCTAGAGGTAAGATATACAGTACATGTACGTACCTTCATCAATAAAATATACATCTGTGTAAACAAAAATACCTTTTATACGTAAATATTATCAATATTATTATTCCATTGGAAGAATTTAAATCTTGCATACCCTAAATGAATTTCTCTCACACAAGACACTAGAAATTGTGTATTATTTTATTGTTTGTCCCAGAAAACACAATAATGTGTCCTGCACAACACATATGCTTAGGATAGATTATTGTCCGGGGGGTACATTCTCCAATGTTTTACTGTAAAAGCATTGATAAAATAAACTTTTTATTGTATTATTGTAATGATTTGTATTGTGTACTTTCTGTTTAAAGATGTTTACTGAGACATGAGCTAACCATCTATTTCTTTGGATGATATGATACTTTTATGCTCTACTGAACTTCAAGGTTTGGCTCTTTTGGAAGCATTCCCCCAAAGCAATATACGTAGGCCTATCCCAAATGAAGGTTACATGGTTACCTTTCATTTCTACTAGTGTAACAAAATTTATATTCTATATTCTTGTACTAGGTGCTGTCCGTGGTAGCCCAGCAGATCCAGAGCATTCAGAGAGCTGTAGCAGAGCAGCAAACAACCTTTGTATTTGAAGGCACAGAGATCTCTTTGGATCCATCGTGTACTATGTTTATCACCATGAATCCTGGCTATGCAGGCCGAGCTGAACTACCTGATAACCTCAAAGTAAGCAATAATAATAATAATAATAATAATAATAATAATAAACACGTTGCTTATAAAGCGCTTACCACCCAAGTTTCTAAGCGCTATAACAAACAAAATACAATGATAAACGATAAAATATAGTAAAGTAGCTATTTAGTGTGTCAAAGGTAGATTTATGTCTTGCCAGAGGACATTAGTACCACAGCGGGATTTGAACCCCGTATTTTGTGATTCACAGTCCGGAGACTTATCCACTAGACCACAACACCTCTAAGGGTGCGTTTAATCGACACTTTTTCACCCTAGAATCACGGTTTCTAAAGACGTTTAGTTTAAAACGCAATGCGTTCAAGCGATTTTTTCGTCGGTCGTAAAAATAAACGTCTTTGAAAACACAAACATGAAACGCTGAAAAAGATGCGTTTTGAATCATGATTCTGCAGAATCACGGTCGCTAAAATTCGATTGAACGGACGGAGTTTTCAATCATGATTGTATGACGGAGCCTGTTCCGGTTTGGGCAAAAACCGCGCGCCTGCTTTTCATGCAATTTGCGTTTACTATACCATGCTCTTTATCGTGGCCTGTTCCGTTATGTTATACCTTGTTTTCCTTCTATCTTTTTCTCTTTCTGTCTTTCCTTATGTTATTCTTTGTTTCTTCCTTCTATTCTTATGTTATTCTTTGTTTTTTTCTTCTATCACCTTCTCTTATGTTATTCTTTATTTTTATATTTCTATCACTTTTCTTTTGTTATTCTTTGTTTCTTCCTTCTATTTTTATGTTAATCTTTGTTCTTTTCCTTCTCTCAGCCTTTCTTATGTAATTCTTTGTTTTTATAATTCTATCACTTTCTCGTTTGTTATTCTTTGTTTCTTCTTTCTATTCTTATGTTAATCTTTGGTTTTCCCTTCACTCACTTCTCTTATGTTATTCTTTGTTTTTATCATTCTATCACTTTCTATTTCTGTCTTTCCTTATGTTGTTCTTTGTTTCTTCCTTGTATCACATTCTCTTTTTGTCTTTCATTATGTTATTCTTTGTTTCTTCCTTTTATTCTTATGTTATTCTTTGTTTTTTCCTTCTATCACCTTCTCTTATGTTATTCTTTGTTGTTATAATTCTGTCACTTTCTCTTATGTTATTCCTTGTTTCAATCATTCTATCACTTTCTCTTTCTGTCTTTCATTATGTTATTCTTTGTTTCTTCCTTTTATTCTTATGTTATTCTTTGTTTTTTCCTTCTATCACCTTCTCTTATGTTATTCTTTGTTGTTATAATTCTGTCACTTTCTCTTATGTTATTCTTTGTTTCAATCATTCTATCAATTTCTCTTTCTGTCTTTCATTATGTTATTCTTTGTTTCTTCCTTTTATTCTTATGTTATTCTTTGTTTTTTCCTTCTATCACCTTCTCTTATGTAATTCTTTGTTTTAAGCATTCTATCACTTTCTCTTTCTGCCTTTCCTTATGTCATTCTTGTTTCTTCCTTATATCACATTCTCTTATGTTATTCTTTGTTTTAATAACTCTATCACTTTCTCTTTCTGTCTTTCCTTATGTTATTTTTTGTTTCTTCCTTCCATCACCTTCTCATTCTTTGTTTTATTATTGCGATCTATGCTCAAAACAGCAGTCGACAGTCGGCCGTAAACAATTCCAAAAAGCGCGCGCCGAAGTTGACCTTTACTTCCTGGGTCAAACTGAAAGTGTGATCCGCAGTGGCTGGGCTCGAAATGAGCTAGAATCAGCGTTGATAAAAAATCGCTTGAACGCTAACCGCAGTGACCTTGTTGTTTTTAATGGCGTTTTGATTTGTGATTCATGTTTGTGATTCTAGCTTCGAAAATTCGATTGAACGCACCCTAAGTTACTTGATGAACAAGATTAGATTCCATGTGAGGCCGATGTAACATGACTCGACCTCTTTTGATATTTTTCCATAAACCAAATATATTTTGCATTGTAATTATTTTGAAAATGATCAGGAACAGAATAACATTAAGAATTCTGATTTTATTTTTTAAAATTTTATGATTCTGGTAAGGATAGAGTCATACAATTACTGGAAGGACTAAGGATGCATGATTTGAATCTTTCTTTTACTCATTTAGTTTTGCTATTTTAAGGACGTATAAATAATTGAAATGGAGTTGGTTTTGAGATTGTTCCTGCTTGTACAAAAACCAACATTAAAATTTCAAATGATTAATATTATTATTGTCATAATTTAACTTTAACACTTTCCACAACTCTTCTTTAGGTTCTATTCCGCACCGTAGCCATGATGGTACCTGACTATGCGTTGATTGCTGAGATCAGTCTCTACTCCATGGGGTTCGTGGATGCTAGGTCTCTCTCTACAAAGATTGTGGCTACCTACAAACTCTGCTCAGAACAGGTACAATATGAACCATTTTAAAAAACCTTATATGTTAACTTATGTTGATTAATTCTTTGTAGATCACTAAGTATCTTCAGTAGATATTCAATGGACACTGGTCTGTTCAAAAATTAATATAAAGATTTGATGTCATTCTGGAGTGGTGCATTGACATTTGTTCCTGTGACGATTGCCCCATGCTTTATTCTGTCAAAGACATAGGGTAAGCATTTCAATTAGGTTTTAGGGTTCGTTTTAGGGTACGTTTTAGGTTAGAGTAAAGTGTTTTAGAGTAAAGTGTTTGGTCAAGGGTGGTAACAAAGAATTTGATAATGTAGGTTATAGACCATGAATTATTTGTTACTAGAGAAAGTTTCATTTCATTGAAATTTAAAGCAATTCAATCAAAGTTTTATGTAAACATGCAAATACAAATGATAGGAGATAAAAACCAAATTTCAGAAGATGTCACAAATGAAACAATAGTAAAACATTGAGTATAAGAACCACTAAATTACACATTCTATTCTACACATGCCTTCCACAATTTATTTATTGTTTTATACACAGCTATCATCCCAGCATCACTATGACTATGGTATGAGAGCAGTGAAGTCTGTCCTGACTGCAGCAGGTAACCTCAAGCTCAAGTTTCCTGACACGGCTGAAGATATTCTCGTTCTGAGATCAATCAAAGATGTCAACCTACCAAAGGTAATGTATGGTGGATTTTGTAAACATGTATATAGGATTTATTTATTTATTTATTTATCTATTTATTTGTTTTTATTTAAAAAGGGTAGCCCTGTCAGTAATCAAAATACTGTTTCCAGGGGGCCCTGTAAACAAATCCAACATATATGAAGATACAAACTACTTGAACAATATAAACAATATACACATCATCGAAAATCTCAATACATAGCAACATATAACAGAAATAAGTAATTGAGGATTAGCTGTATGTGTTGGCACCGAAAAAGAAAGCCCTGATGTGAGTAGAGAAAACGTTGTCAAATCCATGATCTAGATATGTTTGTTGTGATCATAATCATGTGTCCATTATGGGTGATGATTGATTAAATTGATGGTTGATTATTGTTTTACCTAACTGCTAAGAAAGCATGTATATGCTTGCATGTAAGCAATCAGGCTCTATAAGTCCTCACCAAGGGACTTGGTAATGGGTATTAATGCCTTAATTACCAAATGGCACAATCACATTGACTTGGTTTTGAACCCGGGACCTCATGGTTACAAGACCACTGCTCTACCACTGAGCTATCATTCCTACAAATTCTAACTATTATTACGTTGCAATGTACAGAAGTAGACTGATATAGTATTTCTAACCCTCTTCCTCTATTGCTACCAGTTTCTGTCTCACGACATCCCGCTGTTTGAAGGCATCATCTCGGATCTCTTCCCTGGCGTCGAGCTTCCTCGGCCAGACTATGGTGTCCTTGAAGAGGCTCTCAAGACAAACATTGCCAAACGAAAACTACAAGCGGTGCCGTGGTTCATTGAGAAAATCATCCAGGTATGTAGCATTGGACAGAGTGACACAATATCAGGTGCACAACCTCTTGTTATTTGACACTTCACTGTCCAGGGAGCTTTCTTTTATGTTAAAACAGTAAACTTCAGGTTGGGTTTCTCTCCCTTCTTAAGTAATGTTAAATATATGACAGCTTTTTTGTTTGTTTGTTAGTTTATTTTACCTGACTGCTCAAGAAAGCATGTGTTTGCTTGTAAGTAAGCAACCAGGGGACCAACGGCTTTAAGTCCTCTACGAGGGACTGTGTTTTATCTTTAATCAAATGTTTGTCCTCTCCGAAGGGCTTTGTGTTTTATCCTTAATCATATGCCTCTTTCAACTTTTTCCTCTCTACGTCAGATTTATGAGATGATTCTGGTACGTCATGGTCTGATGATAGTAGGTGATACCATCGGAGGTAAGACCAGTGCCTTCAAGGTTCTCTCAGATGCTCTTGGTGATCTGGAGAAAGCCAAACTCATGGATGAACACAGGGTAAGATATATCATGGTTCTATGGATGAATTATATGGATGTACGTGTCAGGGGTTCAAGTGCCTGTTTTCAAAGCAAATGTTTTTTATAAGAAAGTTACACTAATTTCATTAATGTAATCATCTAGCAAGGCGTTATAATGCAGACTCAGTCTTGTATGAATGTAGGTTATTAACTCTTTACCAGTTACAATCAAATAAAGGAACAAATCATAGACTGCCACAGCCAACTTTTTGTCACTCGTCAAGTGTATGTGTATCTTATACCTTAAACAATATGGCAATGTACAGTTTTAATCCATAATGTAGTGAAGAGTTAGGTAAGATGAGAGCTATGACAATACATAGAACTTCAAAATAAAATAAAATAATTATATTTCTTCTGTCACAAACATAGTTTGAATCATTCAAGGTCTGACTTTTCAGCTTCATCACACAAACTATCTATAGATATTATATACAAAGTACAGTGGTTACACGTTACTTCCCTTTGTTTAAATGACAGGTTGAGTATCGTATCATCAACCCCAAGGCCATCACGATGGGTCAGCTGTACGGCCGATTTGACCCTGTCTCACATGAATGGTCTGATGGTGTATTGGCTAATACATTCAGAGAACATGCTTCTAGTACATCGGACAGTAGGAAATGGTGTATATTTGATGGACCTGTAGATGCTGTCTGGATCGAGAACATGAACACCGTACTCGATGATAACAAAAAGGTAGTGTATATTTTGTGTATTTAGGAGCCTTCCCAAATTCTGAAGTTTTTTTAAAGAAATGAAGTATAACACATATCCTGCTTTAATAGAGAAGGTCTATGGAATTGTTAATCTTCCCTTTTTTTCTTCTCAAAGAAGTCTTTTCATCGACTTTATTATTCAAGTTATTTTCTTCTCTTGAAATGATCATGGTTTTGTTAAGGTAAGCTTAAACAATATGATTGTCAAATGTGACAAATAAAATTTATGACAGTATGTGTAGAAATATATTGAAAATTTTTATTTCTAAAATTTTGAATTTTTGATTAAATTTAGGATGAAGTTATGAACTCTCTTTCTGTCATATAATTTGGGCGTATGCGATCCGACACACCTTAAATTGTGTTTTTCTCTTATTTCCAGCTATGTTTGATGAGTGGTGAGATCATTCAGATGAGCAATAAACAGAACATGATCTTTGAACCAAAGGATCTAGAACAAGCTTCCCCGGCTACTGTCAGCAGGTAATTAACACTCCATGCTAATCTCTCACACAAGATCAGTAACTGTCAACATATTCACTTAATTCTATCAAAGCTTAAACTTGTATTATGTAGTAGTTTTATATTTCTTGTCTTTAATGTACTTTTGTTAATATAAATGGATGACATTCTCAATGGTAATAGTCACATTTGTATGGTGCTTGATACTATGTTCTAAATGCTTTACATTGTAATTATTATTACCCCGGTCTTTGGATTCAATTGCTAATCTGCATGTGATAGTACACACGTTCCATTCCCTGGGGAATATTCTGGTACACACATGCCAATCTAACCACACTAATGTTTGCATCATTCTGGGTACCCATCAACACCTAAGTGGAGAGTGGCAAATGAAGATTAATGTCTTCCCAATGGACATTAATCCTGTGGCATGACTTGAATCATGAATCTTGTGATCCACAGTCTATTGACCTATCATATAGACCACAACACCTCTACTTGAAAATTATTTGAAGAATGAAGCACATAGTTTTGTTCCTCGTGCCTAGTATACAGCTGCCTTAGTCAAACTTCAATGGATAATTAATAGACCATATTTCTTATATAGTCTCATTTAAATCTGTATGAAAGTGCTCCCTTGCACCACACCATACTCATCCTGTCTCTAAGCCGTTGAATACTGAATTCTCGCTTTTCCATGGGTATAGTACAGGGACAACTCAGTTCCAGTAGGCAATGGGTTAACATCCCAGAGTGTCATTTGTTTTTTTGTAACGTTTAATATTCTTTGATTTGATTTAGATGTGGAATGATCTACATGGAACCTTCTCAGCTAGGTTGGCAGCCATTGGTAGCATCATGGATGGAACATGAAGTACCAGACTTCATTACTAAACAACAGAAAGAAACCATGCAGGTTAGTCATGTCATCATTGTTATAATACCAGGAGGTTTCTTTTTGTAAAGTCTTTAAACTCATGTAGTGATGAATTTATCTCTGTCATTAATTGGCACCTATGCCTAAGTCACATTTGCTCTACAAATAGAATACGGCTGCCGTAGGCCCCCCAAATCGAAAGATACCTGTGGTGGCCGCAGAGGATCTGCAGTGGCCTCAGGGTCACCCTAGGGCGTATCCCTATCTTTTACAGGCCGTAGGGGTCGCCGCGGGATGACAGCGTCGAGTTATAACCTTTTTCATTTCTAGGTTCGCAGTAGCAATATTAGACACGCCATAGCTATGTCGTAGAGCAGTTCCACAGCAACCAATGTGGGGCATACGGTGGCCTTGCGTTTGGCGTGCGGCTGCCCTAGGGTCTTATGAATTACAATTGTCTTTTGCGGACCAAAAAAAATTGCAGCGACTGCAGAAATTTCACGGGTGCCCTACGGTGGCCTTGTGGCTACCTTGCTTCTGCCTTGGTATTTGTCAAAAACCTACGGCCTCCACAGGGATGCCCTAAGGCGATCGTGCATTACGCTTCAAAGGTACAACAGCCGCAGGTTTTCTGTCTTTACAAATTCAAAATATGCCATGCAGCTAACCCTAACATATGTGACTGCTAGCGTATGTGACCGTGAGAATGCTGATGCGGCCCTATAATTGCTAATGGTGGTAGATATTTTAGACCCCACAGCCGCGGTGGCAAATGTGACTTAGGCATTATTGATCATAAATAGTTTCCTCTCCCACACTATAAGCCAGTCCAAATCAACAACATTAGATTAACTGAAAGAGTCTAAATGAAATATAGTTATTTGTTCTACATCTGTTATATTATATATTATATATTTTGTTCTACATATAAAAGAGTTGACTCTTTTCTAAAGCAGGTCGTGTTTGTATATACATCAAACGCTATTTATACCATAAAAGCTCATTTTGCTTATACATGTATTTCCAAAGAGGCCTTTATAAACTTGAATGCTCCTTCTTACATCAATACCATTCTGATTGAGAGCTACATTCAGACTATGGACAAGTACTTATGTAATAAATGTATGATATGTTTATAATCTCACTCAGTAGCTTCTGTTATCATTTGTCTTCCATATTTAGCCAAAATTTTCCTACAGTGTAGTTGATTGCACAAAACAAAACAAGTTCTTTAAAAGCTGTCTCTGTATCTAACCACTCAAGCAAAAATTTAAATGAAGTAGGTGCATGTATCTTCTCCATTCTTTATAAATGAATGTATGCTCACATAGTCCCTGCATTCTATTATGAATGTAACTAACATTGATCGCAATATCTTTAGCAAGCACTTTGGCTAAGCACTGGACATTGTAGAGAATATTGTGAATGTATCACATAAGATATACCACGCCTATGTCAGTTACATTTAGATCAGCAGTTATACAGATCCGGGCCCCATCTAATAAACAGTTACGATTGATCGCAACTCATTTGCTTTTGACATCAATCGCAACTATGTACCTAAGAGATAGAAGACTGCAAACTTGTGATTGATTGCAGAACTTGCGATCAATTCCGATCAATCGCAACTTTTTATAAGACGAGGCCCTGTCGTACAATGATTGCATTTCCCTCCCCATAAGATGATGTGATGTGATTTTATTGGTGACGGTTATATTCTATCTCTCTTGCACTCAGATGTTGTTTGAATGGTTGCTACCACCGTGTTTACTCCATGCTAGTCGTACCTGTCGTCAGCTTGTACCCATGTCCCCTATGCACATGACTATGTCTATGCTCAGGCTCTACAAATGCCTCCTCACAGATGTTGGGTAAGATCACAAACACAATCACAGTTACACACACACACACCCACACACACATACACGCAAGTCTACAAGTCTTCAATTTGCCTTTTAATGACACTTTTTTTTGCAGTTTTGGTGATTAACCACTATTTGTTTGTGACTTAATTGAGTGAACCCAAATTTTGTTTGTGTTTGTCTTTTTCCTCAACGATGTGGAATAAAATTGTTACAAATTGTGTAAGTTTATCAATTAAGTGTAATGGAAAAAAAAAATGGAAAATTGGCCATGTAGGCCTACATCTTTTTTTTTGTTCCCTTTGATACCAAAATTGAAAGAAGGAATTATTATTATGTAATAAGATATTAATATCTCTGATATAACAAACGCTTTGCTTTTTGCTCTGCAGGTTAAAAGAAAAGGAAAATATAATTCTAACATTTTTAATGCGTAGCTTTGCCAATTAAAATTATTTTGTATGTGAACTTATTAAATATTGGGTTCAAATGCAAATCATAATTTCATAGTCAGTTACAAACATCTGCATATTCTTTATGTGATATCTGCTTATGTGGGATTTAAAAGAATAGACCAAATATCCATTTTAATTTATATGATATGATTACATTCATGTTTGCTATTTAACTCATATTTTGTGTATATTCACTAAATTCACATTTATGGCTTTAAATTTTTTCTTCAACAAAACATGCATGGATATGTAAGATTGCAAATTTAAATCCTGTTTGTACAAGTAAAGTTACACACACCATATTTTTTTAGAGAAAATACATTATGTTTGACTCATAAACAATAATGACAAATTAAAGGTTTTGCTTTTAAATAAGAGATGAGGTACAGTTGATGCATTAACATTGGGAAAATCTACCTTTTATAAACATTGCCAAGACTAATATTTTGTTTTACATCAGTTTATAAATGAAATGGAATAATGTAATTTTGTTGTTTGCAATTAAACACAAGCATATTCACTATCACCTTCACACCCGAAATCCAACGGTTATTAATATGACACCTTGACCATTAACTGTTCCACAATATTTGTTTAATTTCACCATTTTGTCATGATTTTTGTTTTTTTGTTTGTTTTAAAATTGTATTTTTTAATGGTTGCTGTGGTGCTGGTTGCATAACAATTGACCTTTGGCCTTAACCCCCATATTGATGGTGACCCCTTGCTGCTAACACAGGGCTATCAAGAGGAGGTATGATATTTAAACAATACATGTGCTAAAGTAAACTAGTCTTCTTTTTTTTTCTTCAAAGGATGATTAGTAGACCTAGTCAGGCGTAAGCCAATAGATTAATATGTATTTCTAGTAATTGATACAATTTGACACATTTGTTCTTCCTAGAAAATGATAAATACATTTTCAAAAAAATAAATTGAAATTGCAAGTCAGTATCTCTACTAACGTCAACATATTGTACAGTTTTTTGTAAGGCTGCATCAAAATGAATATAGACATGCAATCCTAAGTAATTGGAAACAGGTTGAATAGAATAAATATCTATATGTTTCATTCGTTGTATGCACTGAATATATAAACGTTCTTAAGTATAAACTTCTTGCAATTAAAATGAAATGGGTGGACTAAATACAAATATGCAGTCCCATTTCTTAGTCTTCACTGAATATATGGAAGTTCATTCATTAAACTCATATGTAGTCACTGCAGCTGAACTATTTGTTCATATGTTAATATAAACTCGATCACTGACTTTAGGGAGGAGACTGAAAGTGACATTGAGGATCTAGATGAGGAAGATGATCCTGATGCCTCGCTCTCTGATCAGAAGATCCTTGATGAACGTTCTAACATGATGATGTGCTACTTCTTCTTCTCACTCGTCTGGTCTGTCGGGGTCTCTGTCGATGGAGCATTCAGAGAAAAGTAAGTGTGGGTCATGTGAGGTCAAATATAGAGAAGCTGTCTATTTCCTAATTTCAGTATAAATATATATACTGTAAAAGTAGAAATATTTGGAGTACATTAATTTTTCACGAATTTCGCGCTAAGATCGGCAAGCGCAAGTTTTAGAGCTCGCGAAATAATATGCATGACTTCTTATGCGTGTTTTGAACGGGCTGAATTGTGTGCAACAGGAATTTAAGAACCAGGGAATATGTTTTGGGTCGCTCAGCATGAAAAAATACCAGCTTATGTGCTCCTTCTTCCTCTCATTCATCTGATCTGCTAGTGTCTCAGTTGATGGAGCATTCAGAAAAAAGCATGTGAGGTCAAATAAAGAGAAGCTGTCTATTTCCTATGTTGTAGTATATCAGGCCTGATAATTGCCTGATTATTTTTTTTTCTTTCCCAATTTTGTTACTCAAAAGAGGGAAATGTCTTTTTTCCCTGTATCCTTTTTTTTTTTTTTTTTTACTCAAGGGGGGGGGGGGGGGGGGGGTGATTGAGGAAAAACAAAACTTTTTTTTTTAGTGCTCAGTATCACCCCTGGTATATACGTGTACAGTCAGGTATTGAAAACTTTGTTAAGTGCTCCTTCTTCCTCTCATTTATCTGGTGTACTAGACTCTCAGTTGATAGAGCATTGACAGAATAATTAGTGGGGTCAATTGAAGATGATCTTTTCATGATATGACATGAGATATGACCCTCTCATGTTTCTTTGCTCATAGTTTCAGTGAGTTCTTCAAGCAGCTCTGTGACATACCACAGGGAAGCTCCCTCGTCCTAACGAACTCAAGTTTGCTCGTAACCTCTTGAATCCTAAAAGACGTTCATCAGAGATGATCTAAGATGTTTAAATGAACCCATAGAAAGATTTCTGAACATATGGTACTCTTATGTTTCTTTGCCCTTAGTTTCAGTGAGTTCTTCAAGAAGCTCTGTGACATGGATACCACAGGGAAGCATCCTCGTCCTAAGGAACTCAAGTTTGCTCGTTATCTCCTGAATCCCAAGAGAGGTTCATCAGAGATGAGTCAAGATGGTTAATTGAACCCGTAGAAACGGTAGAATCTGCTCTGATATATGATCCCCTTTATCTTTCTTTGCCCGTAGTTTCAGTGAGTTCTTCAAGCAGCTCTGTGACATGGATACCACAGGGAAGCATCCTCGTCCTAAGGAACTCAAGTTTGCTCGTAACCTCTTGATTCCCAAGCGCGGCTCAGTATTTGATTATGTCTACACAAGGAAGACGTTCGGGGCTTGGAACCAATGGGCGACCTTCGTCACTGCCACTGAGATCGCTGATAATACTCAGGTATGTAGATTGGAAAGGTATTGAGATATATCTAATACAGTCAAGCCCGTCTTAGTGGCCACCTCTCCATAAAGGCCACCTGCCTATAGTGGCCATTCCTTTTGTCTCCCGAGAGAGAGAGAGAGAGAGAGAGAGAGAGAGAGAGAGAGATTGAGAGAGAGAGAGAGAGAAAGAGAGAGAGAGAGAAATGTGTGTTGAAGAACGTGTCTAGAAAGGCCACCTGTCTACAGTGACCATTTCTTCATGTTTCCCTTGGATGGCCTTAATAGACAGTTTGACTGTACTATACCTACCAATGTTCTCACATGGAATGGCTTTTATAATTAAAGCTTTGGTTTATGACATAAATGATCAATTAATCTTTTTAATGAATAGATATCTACTTTCTCTATAGCATGCTGTCACACGAATTTGGATTATGTAATGTTTTATATCACAATTCTGCTATTTATACAAAATGTTTATTTTATGATTATTTAATTATTCTTTTCCTTTTTGCATGCATCACATTGGACTATTTATATTTATATCCCAAATTCTGCACACTTTTTTAAATAGATGATGGTAAGATATTGTGTGCTGTGCTGTTTTTTTTTTTTTTTTTGGTCTCTTGTTCTACAGTTGATATGAATGGCATCTGCAATAATCTGCATTCACATGACTTTATTGTGTCTCTATTTCTCCCCTGTTCTCTCTTTGAATGAATGTCAATTTGTTATTGATATTGGTATTTATTTTGAAAATTCCACATGGCAGCCTCGTAAATGTTGTTGTCTGAAGTAATTTGTAATACATGTATGTTGTAAATTGCAGTCAAACAAAAGGCTTATATTCTGCTGTATTTAAGATATTATATGTACACATTGTAAGTTACTGTGTTGATGTGTTGTGTTAACTGATACCTGCATCCCCCCATTCTTAAACTTATTAATAATAGGTGAATGAGTTAATCATCAAGACGGTTGATACAGAGCGACAGAACTTCTTTCTCAAGAAGTTACTACTCCAAGGTGAGAAGGTCCTGTTTGTAGGTCCGACAGGTACGGGCAAATCGGCCATCACCAACGCCTTCCTTCTTGACCTGGCCAAGGGGGATTACATTCCAAACAATCTCAACTTCTCAGCTCAGACCTCAGCCAATCAGACGCAGGATATCATCCTATCTAAGCTTGACCGGTGAGTATAGAAAATAACCCTGGCACTATCTTTCTCTCCTTCTCTCTCTCTCTCTCTCTCTCTCTCTCTCTCCGTCTCTTTCGTTCTTTTCAGGGCTCTGTAACATTAAAATTAACTTACATTCAATGGTAATAATCTCGTCTATTTTGCTGCTAGTATCTTACCATGTATAATTGTATCTATCTGTAACATAAAATTAATTGGAAATTACTATCCATTTTAATGTTACAATTGATTGAAGGATGCTACAATATGATTAATTGTAACGTTTTATGTTACAGGGCCCTAGTCCTACATATTACTGTTACACATCTGCTTGATATTTTATGAAATCATTTGTAAATTTCAGATTGGACGGATGTAATTTGTTATGTTGTCTTGCACAAGATTGCACAAAATTGGAATACAGGAGTAATTCAATATTACAATACTAGCAGGACCCGCGGAAATCCGCGGGATTCTAGAGGGGGGCGGGGGGTGTAAATAGATATATAGAGACTGTCTAAATTAAAACCACCGAGAACTTTATTTGCCATTCAGGCCATTAAAAAATATACATGTTTAGCGTCCCCGCCCGCTTCCTTTTTGGGGGCCACCTCCTATATTTTTTTTTTTTTTTTAAACAGCTTCCCCGCCCGCTTCCTTTTTGGGGGCCGCCTCCTATTTTTTTTTTTTTGAAATTTTTTTGATTTTTTTTTTTTTGTTGAATTTTTTGATAAAAAAAAAAAACAGCGTCCCCACCCGCTTCCTTTCTGGGGGCCGCCTCTCCTATTTTTTTTATTTTTTTTTTGAATTTTTTTTTTTATTTTTTTTTTTTATTTTTTTATTTTTTTTAAAGAAAAAAAACATGAAAAGCACTGCTAAAATGTATTTCTGATCTTAAAAAAGAAAAGAAAAAAATTGTCGGCTGCCATCTTGAAAAAAAGCCTGAATGTCAGGGAAAATGTACGGAGCAGCCATTTTGAAAGAAAAAAAAAAAAAAAAAAAAAGGGCCTCCTCCTTCCCATTTTTCAGAAAAAACAGGACGCTAAACATGTTTTTTTTAAAATTTGGCCTTATATAAAAAAAAAAAAAAAAACGATCCAACTGTACCGGTAGTTATTCTTTATACCACTGGAACTGCGTAGAGTTCCGTAGTGTGGCGTACCGACTACGCAGAAATTAGGCTGCGTATTAATGGGAAAATAGTCCCTGCGTAGGTTATGCGTAGGCTGGATTACAGGTTTGCTTATATGGTTGCTTACTGTGTGGAAAGCTTTTACTGCTTTGACGATCTGGCGTAGGGTAGCATAGTGTTGCGTAAAAAGGCGTACTTTCTGCGTCAAGTTTCTACGCTGAAAGTACGCGAAAAAAATTAAACATGACTTGTTTTCGTTCATCTTGCGTACCCCTTTCTGTCCCACAGCATATAGTAACGTAGGCCAGCGTAGTTGGTAGAACACTACGCAACTCTACGTATTGACCCCACGCCAATTAGTGACCCGCAAGTGTCACAAATAAAGTATTAAAAATATGCTCATCTGACCCTAATTAAACGCCTAAAACCCCCAAGCTTTCGGGGGTTTATGGCCCCTTGAAACCCGTGGACCCCACGCCTATATTGTATATACACTCAACTCGCTGCGATCTGATCTCTCCCCCCCCCCCCCCCAACTTTGAAGAACGTAACCCTTGAGCTTTTGGGGGTTTATGGCCCCTTGAAACAAATATACACTCAACTCAGGGTTTCAGGTTTCCTTCTTCATAATTGTCTATTTAAAAAAAAAATATTTTTCTAGTTCAATAACTAAGTTTTCATGCATTGATTTGATGCAAGAACTGTAACATAATAGACCCTAGATTGTGATTATTTCTGACCATAAATTTCGATAATTATTTTTCAAAGGAAAATTTTCACAAGAAAATCAGACAGTCGTTTAAAAACGTAGACATTAGTAATACTTTTACTAATTCTAAGCTCAGGTTTCGTAAATCTATTCACGAAATTATATTGAAATCGCGGCAATAATGATGCAAACCAACAGATAACAATTTCAAAGTGTCAAATCTCTTCGACTCGAGCTCAGCTCAGCTGTACTCACACACATAACACTCCAGCGCCACTCCATGAAGCTCGAACACCGGCGCCGCAGGCCTCGGACGCCTGCGGTGCCCGGTGCCGGTGTTGGAGATTCCTGGAGTTACTGCACTGTGATGTGTGGTGACTGAAGTTAGCTTGCGACTGAATTGTCAGTCCAATGGTTTTCTTGTCAAAACTTTCCTTTAGAAAATGATAATCAAAATTGAGTATACATGGCCGTAATAATCACAAAATAAGCTTTGATATCATACCTCCATTCACGAAAACTATATAAAAATCGCGGCAATCATGATGGAAATAGGTCTCTAAGTTTGGACGTCGACGGGAAGCCCCGTGTATCTCTTGTGCAGCTACTACATGTATGCAAGGCACATCCTAGCTACAACAAAGCACATCCTATAGAAAGATGCTTTACTCTCGGTAATCCCGCCCTTTGCATAGAGCATTTAGTACGCAACTTAATGTGAGTGGATGGTCATCGGTCGTGTGTCTACGGATGTTATGTTGAATATCCATGAGGTATCTCTGTCGTCACGCATATCCTGCATTATGCATGTCGCGTCTGTTTTCGCCCTGGACGTCGACACGGAGGAGGACCTCGGGCGGAGTATAGCCAATTCGCTAGAGTAGACTCTCCCGCGGACGATGGCACCGGGCACGGGTACCCCGAGGGGAGGGTTCAGGAGGAGATAGCCGCACCAACTTGGGTCGGCGATCTCATTAAAAAACAATAGAATACAAAGGCTCGCGGAGACGTCGCGCCCCCCGCGGAGCCTTAGCGTATTATTATTATAGATGATTAATTAGACTTGCAACCCCTTTGAATGTTATTGGCTGTGCCCAACATTGGCTCAAAATTGTGTATACCTAACATGATATGATACAGTGAAACCTGTCTATAAAGACCACTAAAGGGAAACAAAAAATGTGGTCTTTGTAGACAGGTGATTGCTAAACCAGGTTTGACTGTGTATACCTGTTGTTTTTGTGGACCTATGGATTGTATCCCTTTACAAAATATATGTTTTTTTTTGCTAAAACAGGAGAAAGAAGGGTGTGTATGGTCCCACGCCTGGTAAGAAGCTTGTGGTGTTTGTGGATGATCTGAACATGCCAGCCAAGGAGAAATATGGTGCACAGCCTCCTATAGAGCTTCTCAGACATTGGGTGGATCATGGCTACTGGTTTGATAGGTAATTCAGCTTAGACACCTGTTTGTTCGTCTGTTAATTCTATATAGCTTTCTGTATCTGGGCATCTTATATCTTTACTGTTATTATTGTTATCATTTATTACTATTCTTTACTATTTTTATTATTATTATTAATATTGTTATTATTATTGTTATTATTATTATTCTTTACTCTAATTATTTTTATCATCATTATTATTATGATGAAGATGATGATGATAATGATGATGATGATGATGATGATGATGATGATGATGATGATGATGATGATGATATTAATGATATTAATAATAATAAGAGTATCTGGGCGTCTTATCTCAAACACCATTGTAATACCATAATATTAAATCTGAGGTATACTTGCTTAATAGCAATAGTTAAGAGTACCAAACTATATTTACCATTGAGCTCCCATAATGTATGTTATATACCTCACTTAAGAAATCCAGCCATCTGATTGGTCGAATTGCATTCATAAACTTCAACTGTTCCTGTAAAATTCTCGGTAACCATGCATAAAACATTTCAATATTTTTAATAACCATGGTTATTAAAAACAGTTGGTCAGCCTCCATGGTTACCCCATAGGTTTACATGTTAAAAAATGGTTTGAGCGATGGAGGATGCCGTATGTGTGCGAAGGATTGGTCGGTAATTTCAATACAATTGAATCTCGATCGATCTTACCGACAATTTTATCTTGCATTGTTGACATGAAGACGAAAATAAACTTCCAAAAACAAAAAAACAACATCTGCCGATAGATCTTGATCTAAGTTCGTGCCAATATGCATTGCAAAAGTAAAAGAAGAGTCCGTATATGGAGCTTTTGCGAAGCATTCATCACACGCGAAGCCGGTTTCAATCCATTTTAATGTATATATTGGAGAAAACTGCCAAGCATGTTAACGGCGGGCCATAGCCGCGTGGTCTAAGCGTCGGTTTTCGGTACACCTCTTGTTGTACGCAAGGGTTCGAATCCCGTCTTCGACAAAATGGTAAATATTTTTAATTTTTCATTTTTTAGTCTATTTTTTTTCGGCATATAAAAGTATTAATGACTGCTTTAATATTCGAGAAATAGTTGTTTTCATACGCTCTCGGGAAGGTTACAATTGGGCTATTCCCCTCGGCAAGCCTCGGGGAATAGCACAATTCTAACCTTCCCTTGAGCGTAATAAAACAACTATTTCTCTCAAAGCAGTCATTAATACTATAATATAGAAGGGTGGAAAATATGGAGAGCTACAACATAGAATGCACAGTTATGAAAAAATATGGCACAATTTTAATGCACATTGTAGAACTTATGTAAAACGTAACTGTGATACCTCTAAAACTAAATCATATTCGAATGCTCTGGATTTCAGGAAAGATACGAGTGTGCTGTATCTTGAAGACATCATGCTAGTATCGGCCATGGGTCCACCCGGTGGGGGTAGGAATACAGTCACTCCTCGCTTCCTACGTCACTTCAACATCCTCGCCATAGACACGTTCAACGAGGAGACCATGAAGAACATCTTTACTCCTCTCCTGGACTGGCATTTCAACCGAGGCTTCGAGACCAATCTCAGAAGATACTCAAGGGTAAAAGACTATTACTGAGTAAAAGGTTTTTAAAAAATGTAGGCATTAATTTGATTTTCGTTGAATCAATCGCAAATTAATCAAAAATCATTTTCCTAATGAGACCGGGTCTATAATTGTTAAAAAAAATATATGTTGTTGCTTTTGAAGGTACACGTAGTTGTAGGAATAGGGTCCTTTTATGGATATCAGTGATATGAAGAATAAAACATTGAATTAAATTTGTTGTCCACTATGAGACCTTGTTTAAAAAGCTTTTGTACATTGTGAATTGAAAAACGTGTTAAAGACAACCTTATTTGGTAAAAAAGCAGATTTTCATAAATCATTCAAAAGTATTGACTAGTACTTCAGAGCTTCCCTGTAATTCTTAACCCAGTGCCTGCTGAAACCGGGTGGTTCCTGTATTAAAAATATGAGGAATATGACAATTCATTAGCCAATGGGTTAATTCATTAATCTATGTTCTGTCATGTTTAGATCATGGTATACTCTACCACTGAGATCTACATGCAAGCCATATCCAGCTTCCTGCCCACCCCGTCCAAGTCCCACTATGTGTTCAACCTACGAGACTTTGCCAGGGTCGTGCAAGGCATCCTACTCATCAAGCCAGCCTGTATCCCGTCGGGAGCGGACGGAGCCAAGAAACTCATCCGACTCTGGGTGCATGAAGTCTACAGGGTCTTCTACGATCGCCTGGTCGATGACGAGGATCGGCAGACCTTCTTCACCATGGTCAAGGTATTCATGATTTATCTAATGCATTTTTTTCTATTCATTTTATGAACAATCATGTTTGTTAGATGCATACCTGCCAACAGTTCAGATTTTCTGGATTTTTAGGACCTGAAAATTCTGAATGACCCAATTTTTTATTTCTATTTTTTAAATTTATTCTTAAAAGCCAAATTTTAATTTGTTTTACCATGTGCCGCGATTTGAGAGTCTGCATATTGCGTGCGTTGAATGGTTGCACGATCGAGCAGCTAATTTGTATTTGCTTCTTTGTAAAGATTTACCAGCACTTACACTGCCGTTGCATACATGGCCATGGTAAGGCAGTGCGATTGCCTGTTAAGGGTACCGATTTCTAATTTTCAGATGTTAGCAGGTATGCAGATGAAGTGATGAAGTGTACTACCAACTTTTATGTTTTCTATCGTGAGCCAGAAGAACATTAACTCATTACATACTTTAAAGTGGAGTTGACATCCTTCTGGCTCTTGACAGACACTATGAAAAATTCTGTGTGGTATTTGATGTGTTTGATTGTCCTGCCATTGCACATACGATACCAAAATTCTTTTTACAAAGCTATATTTTGTGTATTTGAAAAGAAATGAGAGCCTATTTAGACTTTTAACAAGTGATTTTTAGCTTGCTACCATTATGAGGATTCACAGCATTTGTATGGCGCCATATATCTGTTTAAAAAAACATTCAAAGGCAAAAAAAAACTACAATTATGTTCAAAGAAAAATATATATGAGTGGCTGTGACCTTTCATGTCATGAATTGTGTTTCTGTGAACCCCCCCCCCCAAAAAAAAAAAAAAAATCTCTATGTATTATTCACACCTGCTTGAGTATTACTTTAATAACCATACAAGTGTTTTGTTATCCACCCCCTCCCAATCCATTTTGATGTGATATGGACTTCTTATACAATGTCCTTAGTGTGTGTCATAATAACGAAAATGCATTGATAAATGAGCATTTTTGTGCTAATTTTGTTTGTTTTTCGGATGTAGAGTGTTGTTCAGAGTCAGTTTAAAGAGAAAATGAACACAGTCTTCACTCATCTGACAACTGGTAGAGAGGTTACTGACACAAACATGAGGAGGTACGTTATTTCCTTTAATTTGTATTATTATTATTGAATTGGTTTGTTAGAAATACTAAAAATAGCAGCCCTATTTATAGAGCTGAATTACATACAGTTTACAATAAAAGCACATGAAATACATAGCAATGTAAAAACAGTTATCACATAACGCTAACGAGAATAGATCCAAAGATAAAATGAATAAGATAAAGTATTATACCAAAACTAAGTATAACCAACACTATTCATCAGTGTACAGTTGACTCACCAACAAGAAGAGCATGTCCATTGGGTTGCTTAAGAATTCTACTGATCCTTGAGATATATGTTTAATAGCAAACAGGAACATCACTTTGTGTGAATAATAATTTATGTACTTACATTGAACTTCTTTTACCTTATCCAAAGCAAATAGAATAATATACTAAGGACACTTTTTAGTCACATTACTCAGCAAAAAAAACCTGAAAACTCTATTACAACGATAGAAGTGTGTTCTTACAAAAACATGAAACAGATTTTCCTAAATATGATATCCTGAATATATTTCATGTGTGGAAGCAGTGGAAGCAGAATTGAGTTCTGATATGTATGTCTAATTTAGACTTATTGTGCAGAGCATAAATTTGATATTGAGAGTGAAGTGATATTCTTTCAAAGTTTCTAATTTGTTATATATGATGGCCCTGTTAGCGCAAAAAAAGTGTGTGATCATGCATGTAGAAAAGTGAATTATTTGTCTGCAAAGAGATAAACCCTGCATTATACCCCCAAATTTGTTGAAAAGCATTAAATCCTGTTCTTGCTTTGAATAGAATAGAGATTTATTATTGTATAGATGCTCGGCAATGTAAATGTATCAAAATGTTGCTTTCATCATTATATAATGTCTGACAGTGTTTGTGCATAGAATATACATGTTAGCTTAGATTGCAAACCAATATGTATCTTTCAAACCCCTTCCCATCATCGAGTATAAACATTATTTGCATCCATTCCACCCCTGCCTTCCCATCATGCAGCAGTAGCGCACATCCCGAAATACGAGATGAACATCTTCGCAGGTAGTCTTCTCACGAATGCAGTTGAATTTGTCTGAACTATTTTAATCATTTCACTTAACATGTTTAGTTTTTCCTCTTTCACACTTAATTTTCTATTTTTGCATGAGCATTTTTAATAGCTTGAATTCTAGATTGTGTTTTAATGAAGTGACATTGTCCTGATGTAGGTGAATGAAAATATTTTATTGACACATATGAATACTTCTATTTTTGTGGTTGCGACCCATAACACTTTGGAATGCTTTAATTTGTTTTAATTTAAATATGATTACTAATTATTTATCACTTTAGATGTGAATACATCCTGCAACCCATTTATCTATATAGATTGATGTAGTTGCACTTTCTTTAAGTGTATATAAGATTCCTAATGTTTTATGCTTAACCAATGAATGGATTAGCAGAATAGATCATCTAGTTTGTATAGTTACGTAGTGTATGATTAATGCATTAAACCTAGCACTAGTTTAATATTATGCAGTTTTGTTTGCATGCTTGCTCACATTTGAATATTGCATGTTGCATGTGCTGTTTAATATTTTTGGGTAAATATATTAGTAATATATATTTTTATGGGTAAGTATATTTTGCCATCATGTTCATATTTCAAGTAGAGAATCTTGCAACCCATTTATCTATATAGATATGTATAGTGAGTAGAATCATTGACCTGCTATACAACCAAATATAACTTCATCCTCATAGAATTACTCTAGCAATTCTCAAAAAATTAAAAAAAGATCAGTTTAAACAGAAGGAAAAAAACAACTTATGTTACTGCAAACTTTCAAGGCAACATAAGTTTTTACTGGTTTAATGATCTAGTTCCACCAATAAAAATCAGAAATATCTGCTTTCTATCATGAATCTGAGCTGAATTCAAAGCAGCTCACTTTAGTTATCAAAGATTCAAATGATTTTCGTGTCACCATGTATAATCTTGCTTTGTATTTTACTGCAAACATCTTTCATATCTAAAGTTTACCTTTTTCATTAATATAATTTATGCTTTTGTTAGAATGAGATAAAGATTGTTCTTCTCATTGACATTGTAGCTTGTTCTTTGGAGATTACATGAGGACCAAGGATGAGGAGAAGAACTATGATGAAATCACTGATCTGGAGGGGCTCAGAGAGGTAAACTTAAATCGTATCACGGCTCATTAGGATTGAATCACCAACTTATCCATTAGAAGGGAGGGAAATGTGCTGAATTACCAAACTCTTTTTTTATAGCTCTGCTATCTATCAGTGACTCTGATATTTATAAAAAATCAATCAATTTATCATTATCTATTCACTTTCAACATGAGAACTGATGATTCATACTTTGTATTTCCAAATCCTAATACCTATAGGACATGAAGCGCTACAAGATTCCCTCCCTCCTGCATATATATCAAAAAGTATTCACATATTCAATGAAAATGATTTTGCTTGAATTCATTTTGACTGCTGTTTTACAAGTTTTGTTGTTGTTTATTTCAGAATGTTGAGAAGTATCTAGAGGAGTATAACATGATGACTAAAGCTCCCATGGATCTGGTGATGTTCCGCTTTGCTATTGAACACATCTCAAGGATCAGTAGAGTTCTTAAACAGCCCAATGGACATGCTCTTCTCGTCGGTGAGTCAACTGTAAAACTGCCCCTAAACTTGTCTCCACATTAATATTGCAAAAACAGTGTAGTAGACCATTGTCAAATCATGCATTTTTTTATAGCTCGGTAGAAGCTGAAACCACATATTGTGCTTACCCAAACCAATGAAAATTTTTTGTATCAATAACAATTCTGTTGTTGTCACGGGCAGCGATGTCAACAAGCTCCAAGATTTTCAAGCAGTCAAGTACTCTAGGGCAGCAGCGATGTAAACAGGTTTACATAAGAAAACATTCAAAATGTTTCAATCTGCTAACACACATGTACATGTTTCAAGGGGATATTAAATTAACTTTTGAAATGAAAAAGTACAATATTGTTATATTCCCCAAGAAATCTGTATTTCAAAGTTCAATGTTCTTCAAAGGAATTTGTACTTTAGAACAACGTTTTTAATGACCTTATAAGTAACAGTTTCAACTATCCAGAGGTTCTAAACATTAAAACTACTTTGCTCTCCCAGTGTTTTAATATTATTATCTATGGGACGTTTCCAAGAATTAATCCATCTTTGATTGCCTTTTAAATGTTCTGAATGTTCAGAGCAGTTATTTAGACCTTCCAATAAACAAAATTCCTGTGTTAAAAGACAACTTCTGATTGTTTTATCTTATCTTCTCCTTCAGGTATTGGTGGCAGCGGTCGAGCCAGTGCAGCCCGCTTAGCATCCTTCATGGCTATGTATGAACTGTTCAGTATTGAGATCACCAAGAACTACACACAGGCCGATTGGAGAGATGATATCAGACAGCTGATGAGGAAAGCAGGAGATGAAGGGTGTAGTACTGTCTTCTTGTTTGGTGATCATCAAATCAAGGTAATATTGTCTTTTTTAGTAAGTAGATGATTAGCATTCATTGTCTAAGAGCTGTATTAAACACCAGGGAGGTGTTTCACATAGACTAAGATCGACTTTAAGTTGGACTTAACTATTTCAGGCCGTTCATGCCACTGTTTGCTCTCACCATTTACTGACATTGGTCTCTCAAGGGACATACAAATAATGGTCACATATCTACAGACTTTATATTTCTTTGATAATTCATTATTAAAGGAAAAAATATTATCTAAAGATTATAATGGTGAGAGCAAACAGTGGTATGAACTTCCTGCCATATTTAAGTCCAACGTAAAGTAGATCTTAGTCTTTGTGAAACACTCTCCAGGAGACGATTTGGGTAACCTTTTTAAACCTCCTTCTATTTCCTTAGATGTAATTTTTTTAATTTTTTTAAAATGTAACTTAATTGTTATAATTCTCTAGGTAGAGGGAACATTGGCCTTTTTTTGTAGAGAATATATAAGATCATCAACATGTGTTCTCTGTTGCTTGGTTCTGTTATTTATTTGATTATCAATTTTATTTTGCAAGTTTCCATCATTTTTCTCCATATTTTGTGATCTTAGGAGGAATCCTTTCTGGAAGATATCAACATGATCTTGAACACAGGAGACATACCAAACCTGTTTGAGAATGAAGAACGTCTTGAGATCATTGAGAAGGTGAGTGATATTGCCATGTAGAGTACCATAGAAGAAGAAGGGTACCTTAAATTATACAAAGAAAACTAAAATTGGAGCATATGTCACCTTTCTCTCTCTTTCTCTATCTTTCTCTCACTGACACTTGTTTACTGCCCTTGGTCATCATATATATATATATTGTCCTTGCCTTGGCCATGTATGCTATATTGTGATATATGTCTGTGATCTATTTGTACCATTGTCTACTTTGATTATGAAATAAAGAATATATATATTAGTCATCAGTGCGTTAACAGCCTTACATGTACTTCCTTCTGCATTCTGCTTTTCCCTTGCATTGAGTCTTATTCATCTTTCGACACCAAGTTTACACAAATCTGGACTACCATTGCAGAGTTGCACTTTTTCTGATGAATGGTGCTTTCCTGTTGTAGAACGTGAATTAATGAAATTAAGAAATTGTATATTATCATTAATTATGCAGATGCAACAAGTGTGTGTAGCAGAGAACATTCAGATTGAGATGACACCACTCAACATGTACAACAAGTTCATAGAGAGAATCAGACGTAACCTTCATGTAGTACTAGCATTCAGTCCTATTGGAGATGCTTTCAGGAACAGACTTAGGATGTTTCCTTCTCTTATCAACTGCTGTACCATCGATTGGTTCAAGGTAAAAGTCATTTATAGCAGTTTGCAAATGATGCAAGTTAGTTCTTTTGCCATGTATTTGAGAGGAAGGACAATGCTTAGTTCTTTATTTTTTATTTAAAAAAGAATTCATTTTGGTCAGTTTATGAATGCACTCATTAAACCTGACTTGATCATGAACCGAAGTAATTTACAAAATATGAATTAAAGCCCACCCCTTTTTGCACAAGAACAAAGAGAGAAGGCTGTACACCTGTATGGAACTGTAGTCTTGTGCATGAAAACTGGATGTAGATTTATGATGTAGTACATGTTCATTTTTCATTTTATAATGTATTGTGGCATTTAAATTATTTCATATTTTGGATTTTATTTGGTTTCTCTTGTTTTTCTTTCCAGGCTTGGCCAGAGGATGCTCTTGAGATGGTTGCCCACAAGTTCTTGGATGATGTTGAGATGTCAGATGAGATCAGAGCAGAGACGGTCGTCATGTGTAAACACTTTCATGAGAGCGTCAGAGCTATGTCAGACAGGTAAGTGCTTTTATACATACATGACCTATAACGACTAGTCACTCTTGATGGTAATTTTTGAGAATTCTTATCGAAATCATTATACTTATAAACTACATGCAGAAGCTGATAAACAGTTCTTACCTCACCAGTTGGGCTGGATTGCTTTGTATTATACTCCTTTCATGTGAAGCTCTTGTGCTATCCATGTCTTCCGTTTTTCACTTGATTTAAATTTATGTAAATCCAATCTGGCATATGCATATATCTCTTTGGTAATGGAGGACAAACATGTAAATAGCGCTAGCAAACTCTTTAAAAAAAGTTTGTAGGTATTCTGTGTGAAAATTCTAGGTTCAGAGTTTAGTTAGTTTTGATAAATTGATAGATGTGTATGAAAACTCAATAATTTTTTTTTTCAAACAGGTTTTTCACCATACTGAGGAGAGCCAACTATGTGACACCAACCTCGTACCTGGAGCTCATCAAGACTTTCAAGACACTTCTTAATCGCAAGAGAATGGAGATCTTTACTCTTAAGAATAGATACATGGTGGGACTTGAGAAACTTGACTTTGCTGCATCTCAGGTCAGTATCGTTTTAGACTTGGTGCAATCATTCTTGTTTCTCAAATGTAGTCAAAGGAGTGTATCTGTGAAAGCTACTTTTATGTGCAGCTATTTTTGTGTTCTTGTTCTCTTATATGTGACAGATGGAGGTTCAATTTATTTTGAATACCACCATATGGTATAATGAAATACAAATCATAATATATTTATATCAAGTACAAGTATATGAATACACATTTGATTTGATGTTGATCAATGTTTTCCTCAAATTAATATGTTTCCTGCTGTGGTATTTTAATCTCGTGGTGCAAGACGAATTAACAAAATATAGAATAATAATAACAATAATAATGTATGACATTTATAACGCGCCTAATACTTGTTTCTAGGCGCAGTATATATATTATTACCCCGGTCATCAGATTCAGGCTGACCCGCACACAATGTCGCCATTTTACAAGCGCACACTTGCTCATCCAACCACATTAACTTTTGCATCCTACTGGGTACCCATTTAGCACCTGAGGGGGGGGGGGGGAAGGGAAAGTGGCAAATGTAGATTAACATCTTGCCAACGGACATTAGTGCCGTGGCGAGACTTGAACCCCGTAGAATTTCTTTTGATGAATTTCTTTCTGACACATTAGTCATCATCCCCTGTGATGCAAAGGGAGAAGTGCCATTTTCCTCGACTTATCTTTTTTCTTCTGATTCTCTTGATAATTAGATCTCTGTTATGCAAGAGGAGTTGACAGCCTTACAACCCAAGCTGATAGAGAACAGTAAGGAGACGGATAAACTGATTGTGATTGTACAAGAAGAGACTCAAGAGGTTGATGCTAAGAGACAGATTGTTGCTGCTGACGAGGCAGTAGCTAATGCTGCTGCTAACGAAGCTCAGGCAATCAAGGTCAGTCCAATCTTGATACTATTCTTGCTAGAGTTGTATTTATAAAATAAGTCTTTAACAAAATGAATTGAAAATATTCTTATGTGTACATTTAGTTTGTAGGCATACAGACTGCATAGTCACACATTACAAGTGTCATTTATGCACATCTAACATGTGAAATTGTACAAAGAAAATCTTTGGTTATGGTTAAATACACTTTTTGCAACCATGTAGTGTGGAATATTAGTATAAAAGTTTGAACGCCTTTCAATTGTTTCAAAGTGTTACAGTTTTTCCTTTAGTAATATTTTGTTCAAATTCATGAATTTAAGCTAGGTGAGGTTATATACTTATGTACCAAAATCAATTTTTATGCCTCCGCTACAAAGTAGCCGGAGGCACTATGTTTTGGGGTTGTTCGTCCGTTTGTACGTATACGTACGTCCCGTTCTCGTGATCGCGTTATCTCCAGAACCAATTGATGGATTCCTGCCAAACTTGGGTCATGTATGTATCTTGCAGAGCCAATGAACTGATTAGATTTTGGGATCACAAGGTCAAATGTTGAAGGATATGGGGCTCATTATGTATGCGAAAATAGATTGTGAAGGTATTATCAGTAGAACAGACGGATGGATTAGTATCAAACTCAAAACATGTATCTTGCAGATCCAATGAAGAGATTAGATTTTGGGGTCACAAGGTCAAAGATCGAAGGGTCAAACATGTATATGAAAAATAACTTGTAATCACATTATTCTGAGAATCTTTTAGTGGATTACAATCAAACTTGAATTTAAAAAATTGCTTCTGTTTTGGTTTGTAAAATTGCTCCATGGCGGAGGCATCATTTTCGACTGCGCGTAGTTGAAGGTCCATCTAGTCTTTATTCATCTAAGAATGTTTTGTTTCTTTGTACATCTGCAGGAGGACTGTGAAGCGAATCTAGCAGTTGCCATGCCAGCTTTGGATGCTGCTGTGAGAGCGTTGAATACACTGAAGCAGCAGGATATCACCATAGTGAAAACCATGTTGAACCCTCCGGCTGGTGTCAGGCTGGTTATGGAAGCCATCTGCATCATGAAGGTTAGATATACATCATCATTGTGATGTTGACTATGGTGAAGGTGATGGAGGTGTAAGTGATGGTAACAGTTGCTGATAGTTTTGGTGGTGATTATGATTAGGGGGAGGGGGTTCTTGATATTCTCAAGATAATATCACCATTGTTAAAACCATGAAATATATATCCCCCTGTTGACATCAGACTGGTTATGGAAGCCATCTACATCATGAATGGTTAGATATGTATGATGATGATGATAATGATGATGATGATGATGATGATGATGATGATGATGATGATGATGATGATGATGATGATGATGATGATGATGATGATGATGATGATGATGATGATGATGATGATGATGATGATGAGTTGTGGTGGTCAAGGTGGTGATGATGCTGGTGATTGTAATGACAATGATTGTGGTGATGGTGATGATGATGATTGTGATGATGATAGTTGGGGTGATATTGATGGTATTGTTGACCATGTTGATGTTGATAATGGTGATGATGATGGTAGTGATAATGATAATTTAGGTGGTGTTATTGTTTAAATAATAGTGATGGTACCCATGATGATGACAATGAATATACCAATAGTTGGTTCGTAGGGCAGATACACATATTTTTTTTTTGTGTTTAGTTTTATGTGTAGATAAAAGAGTGCAAACATTTACTTTGTACATACTATTTTACCATAATAGTCAGTTTCATGATGGTGTATAGCAACCAAATCATTTTAAGAAATTGGTTTCTTTTGCAGGGGATAAAGGGAGAAAAGAAGACTAATGATCAAGGCAAGCCATTTGATGACTACTGGCCAGGAGCGAAAAGGGTAAGTGTGCTCGAAACATGTCTAAAAGAACAATAGACTGCATGGTATACATACTGAATTTAGAGAAGAAAAATCATACCAGTCCTTCAGGCATTCCTGAAATCAAAATGAAGGAAATAAGAGTTTTGTGATATTGCTTTTTTGTCAAGTGATAATTCAATGAAGATCGAGGCATGCATTTTTTGGGAAGACACTTAATCTGCACTGTTGATATTAAAATTTCATCAAACAGTGCAAATAGAGAGATTGACTGAATTTTTTTTAATTATAATAATAATAATGCATAAGATTTATAAGGCGCCACATCCACTTGACAATCAAATGCTTAAGGCATCAATTAATCGCAAGGTCAGTTTATCAGAATCACACTTATGCTATTTGCGAATGGTTTACACAACTCCCTCATTTGATTGCAGATGCTTGGGGATATGAAGTTTCTGGAGTCTCTCAGGGAGTATGACAAAGACAACATCCCTCCTGCAATCACAAAGAAGATCCGAGACCAGTATATCAACAATCCAGACTTCAAACCTGAAGTGGTCAAGAAGGTATCCTCTGCATGTGAAGGGCTGTGCAGCTGGGTTCGAGCCGTGGAGGTCTATGATAGAGTGGCCAAGGTAATTAATGCACATTCATGTTTCTTTTTTTTTTTATAGCTCGCCTGAGCCAAAGGCTCAAGTTTTCAAGATAGATCATGAAGTGTATAGATATGATTTCATACAGCAATGTTGGTATGGATTGTGGCCACAAATTGTAGGAATCGTTTTTATATTTGAAGAAATCCGAAATTTGTTTGAATGGAATACCTGCCCCTGCAGGGGACTTGGTAGCTGCACCCCTTAATGGCCCTACTGTTCTAATAAATCCTATGTTTCTGGTGCAAAGGAGATGGGAGCTAATCCCATATTGAGAGGCCTCTACTTTTATCGGCTCAGGTGATAATTATGTGGTGATGATTTTAATTTTCCTATAAAAATAAAAATGAAGGTATATGGACTAAAAGGTAGATCTCTGCTGAAGAGCCTTTGTTATTCGTTTCTTTCACGAATATAGAGTAGCTAGATCTAGAGTAGATAGGAACACACCAGCCCCAACAACTTTAACTTTTATTCATTAAAATCATCGGTTGTGAGCATGCCAGATGGCATTTTACCAGTTGAACAGTTTAACAAATTTTGTTTTATTTTCATACAGAAAACAGCAAGTTAAGTTTTCATTTTTGCTACGTTCCATTCGCTAGAGTTAGTATTAAGCCTCTTTTTATAATGTGACCTGGTTATGTAGGTGGTTGCCCCCAAGAAAGCACGTCTTCAGGAAGCGGAATCTAAACTAGAGGAGCAAGAAGGTCATCTCAATGAGAAAAGAGGTGTCTTGAAGGAGATCATGGGGAAACTACAAGCCCTGAACGATCAGCTATCTCGTAAAGAAGGAGAGAAGAAGGTAAGAAATGTTTTTGCTTTGCTCTTGGCCCTGTTCTGAAAGAAATAGCATATGATCTGAATCAATCATAACTCACCATAATAAATAACATTCTGTTCTTGTTTATCATATTATAATGTCCCTATGCGCTTCCAAAGAGCTTTGGAAATGATTACCCTAGCTTTACCTCCAACAGCCGTTATCAGCGCACAGTGCATTTCAAGGAATAATCCTACCAGGTACCCATTTACCTCACCTGGGTCGAGCATAGCAAATGTAGATCAATGTCTTGCCAAAAGACATCAGTGGCACGGCGGGACTCGAACCACGGACCTTGTGATCCACAGTCCGGTGACATACCCACTCAACCACGACAACACTTCACCACGAGTATGATATTCACTGAAAACCCAACCATAACATGTGAGGGATACACTCTGTTACATCCAGATGAATTGATGGTATTGTGTTTGATTCAGATCAATCACATACATGTATCTCTTTATAAGACCCTTTTCAATATCTTGCAATGATTATCCTACTTATTATGATCATGCTTTGCTAGCCAAGTTCAGGTTCATGGCAAGAATGAACATTCTCTCCTTATGTCTCAGTTGATTATTATTTGTTGAATGATATTCTAGATTATGATTCAAAGCCTACAGATCAAATGTATAGATTGACAAGTTGGATAAATCACTTATTTGCAAATCACTTGGATTCCATGATATATAGTATCTTAATCACGTTCTCATTGTGTGTATTCTGAAGGATTTGGAGGATAATATTGAGTTGACGAAGCTGAAACTGATCCGAGCTGAGAAGCTGATTGCTGGACTTGGAGGAGAGAAAGATAGATGGCTACAGGTAAGATAAAACCCATTAACAACTGTACAATCTAGAAACTTAAATTGTAAAAAAAGAGTAACATCATTTCAAGTTGTGTCATGGTATACTTTCTCACAGTACATTTGATCAAAGTGGATACAGTGAATGGCGAGAGATATATTACGAAGTTAGTGTTGTGTTAGAATTCTACTGAATGACAGTGAGCAGACAACACTTCTGAAAAATAACCAGTTTCAATCTGTTCAAAGGTTTAAATCAACATTTGTTTACTTTGTAGTAAAAAGAAATTAAGGCTTCAAAACATGTATATTTGCTGATTGCTGATTTATAGATAGCATTTTCTATAATATATCAATCTGTTTCCCCATGTACAGCTGACGGAGGAGCTGAGTGAGACATATATCAACATTGTGGGTGATGTGTTGTTATCAGCTGGTGTAGTCGCTTACCTCGGTCCATTCACATTGTCATTTAGACAGGTAAAACGATACACTATCATTTAGAATTATATTAACTACTTTCTTTTCTTTAGATTTTTGTAAAAGTTCTTGTCAATTTTTACAAAAATTTGCAATCTCCTGCATTTACAAGCACAAATTGTTCTTTAAAATGTTCAAGTTTGATGCTAATGACAATATTGTACATTTTTTTAACGCAAATTCAGTGCTGTGGTAGCTGTGTTTTACAATAGCACAAAGTTCAGTTGTTTAGTCAAGTATATGTGTGAGGTATATATATATATATATATATATATATATATATATGTCTTGTATTTTCCAAGAAGCCATGTAACATCAAGTTTCCTAGCAGTTCTATGTGAAAAGGAGCTGCTTAATTCTTGTTTAAAATGTACCAAGACTGATGGTTCTAATGTCACTGGGCAGTGTTTCACATGACTGGTGCCACATACATTTTCAGATGATGATCAGTCGGTGTTCACAAGTTTTAAGATAAAACACATTTTCATGAACAAAAAAGCACTAAAACAAAACTCTAACTTCTTTCATTTTGATTGCAGGAATGTCTGAAGGACTGGTATGATATGTGTGTGGAGAAGGATATTCCAGTATCTAGCGTCTTTTCTCTCTCTGCTACTCTTGGAGATCCGGTCAAAGTTCGCGATTGGCAGTTAGCAGGCTTACCTGTTGATAAGTAAGTTAGAATCAGTGAGAAACTCATTGAAGATTTCTATTCTCTGCACTCTTTCTATGGTTCAGTTTATAGAGAGTACCTTTCCCCCATATCAAACAATACAATTCATAGAAATACTTGAAAAAAGAATGCTGCCATTTAGTTGTCTGCCTTTGTTGTTTACTAGTTCTCATTTTATTGTGGTCCAAGGAACTTTAAAATATGATGTAGTACATAATGCTTTATGAAAATGAAAAGGAGACTGTTGAAATGTTGAAAGAATGATCAATCTGTCACATTCTAGCAAAAATATCAATTATTGTATGATACCTGGGCCCCATTGTGATTGATCAAGATAAATGATACGTCCTCTAATCAAGTGCAAGTTTGCAGTCTCTTATCTCTTTATACATGTATGTGCATAGTTGTGATTGACATCAAATGCAAATAACTTGCAATTAATCACAGCTGTTTATAAGACTGGGCCCTGCATGGAATATATTAATTGGAAGTTGTGGAATGTGCCACATGTATTCTACTTGACCAAAAACTACCAATACAGATAAACTTTATGATAGTATCAACTTATATTGTGTTTTTCACCCTCTAGCTTCTCGACTGACAATGCTTTGATAGTGACCAATGCCAACCGATGGCCTCTCATGATTGACCCTCAAGGTCAGGCCAATAAATGGGTCAAGAACATGGAGAAACCCAACAAGCTACAGGTCATTAAACTATCTGACCCCACCTACACAAGGACATTAGAGAATTGCATGCAGGTCAGTCAGAATTGTATTCTTGTCCTAGACAATAAATCTGTCTTTCCATAGAATATCACTTGTATTATTTATAATTATGTAAAAGTCTAGACACAGACTGTTTAGAGGAGAAATTGTGAGGTGCAACGAAAAGGTACCTTGATATTAAAAGAAAAGACTGGATGTTTCTAGTTTACCCGCACTATATTCAGTTGCTTTGTTAGTGGTAGTAAAATAATTCTCTCTCCCTCATCTTCATCATGTTCGAAATCATGGACACTAGCTCTGTATACATCGAGCTTCGATCTGCTGTCATGAAGTTTTCATATGCTTTATTTGAGTAAGTATATATATATATATAAGATTTCATATTCCTTTTTATTTTAATGTTTGCTTGATTATGTGTATATCACAGTTTGGTCAGCCATGTTTATTGGAGAATGTGGGTGAAGAATTGGACCCTGTCCTGGAACCACTGCTGCTGAAACAAACCTTCAAACAGGTGAGTAGAACTACTGAAATTGAAATAATATCATTCTTTTCTAAAGTCCTTGGAATATAATTGGAGAAGTTGTGTACTTGGGTTTCAAGTCTGTGATTTCTTGGCATTTAGTACATGTTCTCTATGTAATCTTGGTTAAAACTACAAGTCTTATGAAATTATCTGTGTTTCTAAAAATTATAGGAGAGCAGTGATTGATGAATGATGAATGTTTAAGCCTTGATTAATGATGTTGATTCCAATACCAGATTCTTATCCTACAATGAATAATTGAACCAAATAATTTTGTGTTTAATTTACGTGTGTCAAGTCTCATGAATTCCTCTGTATGTTTGTACAGAATGGTTTGGACTACATCCGCCTTGGTGATAATGTGGTAGAGTTCAGTCGAGATTTCAAGTTCTACATCACGACGAGGCTTCGGAATCCACACTACCTTCCTGAAGTCTCTGTCAAGGTGAGACAACGATCCTCCTATATGTTTTGTCCATTTTAACTAGAGTGTCCAGATTGTAGAACTTGGAACCGCATGGTCTTTCAATGATTGAAAATATATTTTGGATTCTTTATATAACGTATAAAGGGATTTTCAGCATTGAGCAGTTGAAATGATATTGGCAAAATTGACCACTGTTTCTTGGTCTTAAGCATAATGCAGTCACTAATACTGTATTTCGTGATGTCTTGCTTTTGGTGTAATAATTTTGTTCACATTTTCATTGATTTTACCTGAGCTTTTGAGACATTATATCTTATTGTCTGTTATAAACAAAAGAAAAGAGGAATTATCCTTCCTTGGTTTCAACTTTTTAAGATAAATGACACATTACAGATCTGTAAAATGTCTTAGTTTAAAAAAATGGTCCCCGCTTTTCGTCATAATTTTTCCAGGTGACTTTGCTGAACTTCATGATCACACCCCTTGGCTTAGAGGATCAGCTTTTGGGCTTGGTTGCAGCCAAAGAGAAGCCAGACCTAGAAGAGAAGAAGAACCAGCTCATCATTGAGAGTGCTAAGAACAAGAAACAACTCAAAGAGATTGAAGACAAGATTCTAGAGGTTGGTATTGTCACATTAAGTGTACTAGAAATGTGTTTTGTAATACAAATTTGACTAAAACTAGCATTTGTGAATATTTCCTTTTTGTTGCATGGATTTTCAACAGCATTCATTATTGCTTATCTATCTGAGATCAGTAGGTTTGTTTGGAATTTGAGATTAACTCACAATGTGTTTAGATTCGACAACGTTGACCAGAAAAAGAATGTTGAAAAGTAATGAAGTTATTTTCAAACCATCCACAATAGAGCAATTTTTGTTTGATCTACTTATAATGATCAAATAATATTTCTGTTTAGTCATAGATATGAAATACACCGATTGAATGCATTACCTTGTTCAGAGATTATACATTTGAATCTCATATTTTGGTATCTCTATATTTTTCTTCTTCAGGTTCTATCCTCATCTCAAGGGAACATCCTAGAAGATGAGACAGCCATTGAGATCTTGTCATCGTCCAAGGTCCTCTCCAAGGAGATCTCAGAGAAACAGGAGATTGCCAGCAAGACAGAGACTGAGATTGATGAGACGAGAGATGGATATAAACCGGTAAGAACATATGTGAACGGGTCTTATAATAATAATGATGATGATTCTTATACAGTGCATATTACATAATTATCTCTCTGCAGCTGAGATGAGAGAGAGAGATAGAGAGAGAGTGAGAAGAGGATAGACGTAACAAATATTGAGCTTTTACCGTTTATCACTTACAATTATTATATCAATTACAACATTCACATGTTTACTTTATGATTTAAGACTGGCATGATCTAAACTTAAACTGATTTAGTGAAGGACAACATTTTAGAGACGCTGGGAGATTGTTCCATAGTTCTGGTATGGCATCCTAGAAAGCATGGTGCCCATATGTTTTAGTAGATGTAACTATTAAAGGACATGAATGAATATTTTGAAGATGAACAGAGATTGCGAGTTGGTCGATGACTTGAACTACTATTTTGCAAATACATCTAGCAGTTATGTTTTACATACACGTAAAAACAAACAGTAGATGGCTTTTAATTTAAGTGTTCTTGCAGTGTTAGTACTATTTTTGTTACATCAGAATCTCTTTTTTTTTCTTCTTGTTTTCCTATATTACGAAACTCCATTTCCTTTGTTATTTGAAATTCATCAAATAATAAATAATAAATAATTACAGTGCTTATATAGCGCCTAACACTTACATAAAAGATAAAAGTACTAAGACGATTATTTTATTATTTTGTGGAAAGATTGGATTATGGTTTATACATTGTCAGTTTCCACTCCTTTCCATGCTGGTATCGAAAGATCAGGCTTAAATTTCTTCTTTCTCTATTAAAGATAATGGTGTATTTCATTTAAATTCATTGAATTAAATGACATCTAGACTGGAAATGGTGACTTATTGATAAGAATGAATTTGTCTATTTTTTGTCTGCAGGTTGCCAAACATTCATCGATACTCTTCTTCACAATCTCTGACCTAGCTAACATTGAGCCTATGTATCAGTACTCCTTAGCTTGGTTTATCAACCTCTATCTGCAGGTAAGATATATATGCATAAAAAATACACACACTTCAATACTTCAGCTACATATCATAAACATATTGAATTCTACTTCTAAAAGCCAGACTGCACTACTTGTAGCTACTTGTTCCCTCTAAACAGTCAACAATGCCTAAGCGGTACCCATTGGTCCCCCATGATCCCCTTTTTCTTATGTTAATTGAGAGCTGATTTGATGAGATATCCACCTGTCAGTGACCATGCAGGGAGGTTTAAAACTAGTGCAGACAGGCTTTAAGTATTCTTTCTCATAGTTATAATCCTTTTCAAATAATGAAATATTACTCTATCTTGAACACATAAATAGATTTGGTCATACATATGTATATGCTGCATCTTTAAATCACATCACATGAATTTGTCAATAATTAATTAAGTACCGTATATGATGAATGAATTGATGATGTATATGACATTTCTTCACTTCTCATAATCGCCGCTCAGTCTGTCTATGACACAAAAGGAATGACACCAGAAATGCTAGCGGAGATTCCAGTAAGTCTTGTGTTTCCATGTAGAGTGTGTTGAGGTGAAGGGAAGGAGTTTTCGGTGCTCACTATGCAATGTGACGGACTTCATGAGGTGGCAGACATGCTGGGGTTTTTTTTTGTTTTTGTTGCACTAATCAAGCTTTTATTTGTTGTTGAATATGTTTTGTCAGCACTCTTGATGGTGAAGGATAATACATCCTTTTTGTGTGTAACGCAGTGACATTAAAAGACGTTTTGATTGCTTTAACACCATGAAGTAATTTACTGTTTGGAAATGACACATGGTATAAGTTTGTATGCATTACTAAAAATGGAACTGTGTAGTAGATTTTGTTGAGCAGTCCTTGATTTGATAAATATTTATCTATGTAATCACTTTTGTTTAATGTGAATACCACAATTACTGATTTCATGATAGGTATGCCTTATATACCACATTTGGCTTAAGAAAAGGGGCAACATATCTATTTCTTATTTTAAGAAATAAATAATATTTTACCTTTTAACACACATTCTGAGATGTCATATTGAAGCATACAGCAAACTCACTGGCCGAAACAGCACTCACTGCACAATTTTTAGCACAATATTTGTATTTGCTTTTTTTTCTTCTTCAGAACCTTGTTGTATGGCACTTTTTTTATTCATTTATTTTTTTTAATTTTTTAATTTTATGTTTTATGTTTTATTATTATTATTATTATTATTATTATTATTATTATTATCATTATTATTAATATTATTATTATTATCTTCTTCTTTTTTTTGGGGGGGGGGGGGAGGGGGTGGGGGGCTTGGTTGCTTCTCTTTTATTCATATTTCTCATTTTCAAGCAGAATGTGGAAGTCAGAATTACACCTTTTCCCTTAATGGCCTTGCACAGACACTTGGCACCATAATATACTCTACTGCCTGAAACTGATGTATTAGTTGCCTCATCTTGATATGTTTACTAAATGAATGAAAGAAGATCAATTTTAAACTTGCATTTTACAACATTTATGGAATATTATATGAGACTTTGCCATATTTATTGAATGTATTGTTATAACCAAGAAGTAATTTCACAATCTCATTAATATTATGTGTATAGCCTTGTTGTTTGAAACCAAGGGCCTTGGTGCAATAGGACTACTAACCATTTTATAATGTACTAAAATGTTTGCTGTACTAAATGATGGTATTTATTGCTGCACATCAAGATAAAAATTAATGTTACAGTTTTATGTGTATACATTGAGGGATCATCTGATGGGATTGTGAAGAATGGTGACTATATTCTGGTTGAATTCTTGACAGTCCTAGGAGATGGTAGATCAGACTATGTTATTGTTAGTTATTTCATGTAGTATTCATATACTCAAGAAATGTTCATATAAAAAAGAAAATAGAAATTGCCTATATCTTTTATGAACAGAAGGGGAAAAAAGAGGAAATTGTTGGCAACCATTTTACAGTGCTTAACTTAAAGTGCAGTAGGATTGCAAGATGATGACTTTATTCTGGTTAGATATTACATGTAGATAGTATAAAACCTTATGTATATAGTTTATGATGTCTGTCATACTTGGTAGTCCACTATTGTCACAAGTTAAATGCCAGAATTTCTAATTGAATGCTGCTAACTATTTCTTACAGTCCATCAGTCTGAGTGAGCCGTCTAATGACCTTGAGAGACGTATCAAGAGCCTCAATGATCACTTCACATATAGCATCTATCAGAACGTATGCCGATCATTGTTTGAGACGGATAAGCTGCTCTTTTCATTCATACTCTGTATTGGCATTGCCAAGGGCAGGTAAGAACGTTGTTGTGTTTCATTAATATCACTATCTGTTCAGAATGATTTGTTACCTCTGAAGAAGTTTGTGACCTTCAATGTATAGATGGATTGTAAATATGTATGGTACATGTATATGCTGTGCAGTAATGGAGAAACTATTATTTAATGAGTGCATCATACATCCAATCACATACTGCATGTATGCACTATGAGGATAGAAGGGAAGCAGCAGTGATCAGTGTTTCAAGGATCTCAAGCTGAAAGTATTCTGTCACTTCTTGATTTGTTTGCTACACAAGTTTTGAAGTACAGTTTACCACATTTTTTTTTCTTCTTGCGTTGGTAGCCTACACATGATTTTTTTATGGCCATCCTTATTCCCATTATAGTGTTTTTTAATTTTGTTCTCTATTATACTGTATATTTTTTTTACACTCATATGTTTCATGTATTTATCTATGTATTTTTGATATATTTGCTGGAATAGAAATTAAAAAAATTATTGAATTAAATTGAAGAAAGTAGAGCACTGCAATGCCAAATGGACATATTATTTGATAATAAATGAGAATATAATGGTAAAGTATCTATAATGATAATGCTTTTCTTGAGAGTCCGTATCTGATATTGAACTCCTTTCATTTTGTTTTCAGAGGAGAGATTGACGATAGAGAATGGAGGTTCCTTCTCACTGGGGGTGTGGCTTTAGAGAATCCATTCCCTAACCCTGCTCCTAATTGGCTGTCGGACAAGTCATGGGCGGAGGTCGTCAGAGTCTCACAGCTTGACGCATTCGATGATTTCATGCTCAATTTCAGGAGTAATGTAAGTAATACTTGTAAAGTGAACAACTTATTGACTTGTGTTCGTAGGAGAAGGGAAATATGTATTGTATATTATTCTGAAAGAAATATAGTTTTTATACATGTACATGTATGAGCTGTGATGTTGTTGTGGCACATATTGCAATTCTTTACAAGGAAAATGTGGAGTAGCATGATTATAATTTTGTTTTTAACTCTGTATTAGGTTATCCATTGTATGAATGCATGAAGAAGTCAATGACGTATACGTCATTATCAACCCATCTGTCTTATAATATGCTTGTAAGAAACATTTTAGATTACCACAAGAAGAAAAATAGTTGCAAAAGTGCTGAACAATAGGCATCAATACCAAAAATCATGATTTAATTTACTACAGGCTGGGTGCTACAATATCACTGAGAATTCACCTATGGTTGAAATTGTCTTTTGGATGTGTATTTTTCCAGATCTTAGAATGGAAGAAGCTGTATGACTCACCATCACCTCACACCGATAAGATACCTGAACCTTGGGACCTTTCACTAAATGAGATGGAGAAACTTATCGTCCTGCGTATAATCAGACCAGATAAAGTAAGTTAACACTGTTCTAGTATTGCTCACTGGACCTCATCGCTGAATTTGTATAAATAAACATATATATAATGATAATAATGACATTAACGATAATGATGATGATGATGATGAAGATGATAATCTGGATTTACATAGCGCTTAAATACAAAGTACCATCTCTAAGCAGAAATTATTACCCCGGTAATGCGGTGGTCACAACCCGCCGTACTTGCAAGTGCGTGCTGTCTACGTGCAAAAACGTGGGCAAAATTTGGGTATCCGTACGTGGTGATTACTGCCTCCGTACGGATTTGGGAGCACGTAGACACACCGTAGCACTATTAGTGCACGAGGAACTTTCGCTGCATTCGGGCTGCGTTCGGGCTACCGATTCACCCCCCCCCCCCAGTGCGTGTGACATGTGTTGCCGGTACTCCCCACTGACCTCTACACCCTTTGCCACTCCTAGCTCCCTACGTTCTCAGAAAAACGTGGGGGCCGTGGCCTTCCCAAAAACCGTACGGACTAAAAACACGCACGATCGGTTGTGACCAACGCTTCATCAGATTCATTCATGCACAATGTACACCATTTCCACTCTCATGATCACATGATCACACTCAGTTGTATCAAGTTTAGTCTAATAAGTAGAATCATAAACTATTCTAATATCCAAGAATTAATTGACACTCTCCTGTAAACATATTTGCAAAGATCAGTTATTGATATCAGCTTGGCATATATAGCATCAGCACAATGTTAACTATGTAATAATAATAAATAATAATAATAATAGCCTAATAGTCCACTCCAAATTTTATTAAACCGAAACGGAAATTCTTTTTGCCCAATTGATCGTGAGCCCGGCAGCCACTGAGCAGCGCCAGATCGACGTTGCTCTATCCCTTATTGTTGAACGCCAAACAAGGTAGCAACAACTCCCATCTTTTAACGTCTTTTGGTATGACGCGGCCGGGGTTCGAACCCACGACACTTCAAGAAGCTGTGAGATAATAATCAGACATGTATTTATCAGCAGCAATAATTTGACATGTTGATGTCACACGCTCTATTCATCATTTTCATTACCAGATGGTACCAGCTGTCCAAAACTTCATCATCAAGGCGATGGGTCAAGCCTACATCGAACCTCCGACCTTTGACCTTGCTAAGAGCTATGTCGACTCCTCCTACTTCACTCCTCTCATCTTTGTGCTTTCCCCTGGAGCTGATCCTATGAACGTTCTCATGAAGTTTGCTGTGGAAAAAGGTAGGATCTCAAATGATACCAATTGCATCATTTTGAGGTATATTTAAGACAGATATGAATTCAATCTGGTTTTAGTCGGGTCAAAATATGGTTTGTCCCCCCAAAATTGCAACAAAAGGTTTTCAACAGTTTCTAGTAGTATTCAACCTCAGGAATAACATACTAAAAGTATACAAAAATGGAAGGTTCAGAAAGATGTTATTCTCAAGATGGCTTCCAAGATGGCCACCGATACCTAAAAATGGCCATAAATCACTTATTATCTTCTTTTTTCATTACAAAATGTTATTTTTCAATTTATAAACAATGTCTTTGTATCTTGACATAAGATATGCATTAAGAATATTTATGTACCTCAGTATTTATGTTTCTTAATCAACATTTCCAAATCTTTTTAATTACCCTATTCACAACACAGAATTTGGTAGATGCACACAACTAATGTATATAATAATGATTAGCCTTAAACAGTAGCAACTAAACAGAACTGAACATTTTAATTCTATTTTTGATACTGACATCAAATTTAGTAACGTATGATCTTGTTAATGGTTTTGATTTGTTGGTACTAGATAATTGTAGGTATCTCTTGTGTGGTGTGTGCATGTTATATTTGGAGGGCATGTGTTTTTCATGGTGCATGCTGTAACTAAAATATTAACAGTGGGTCCTGTTTCAATACAAGATACGGAAAGGCTGAAGAGCTGTTTGATACTATGAAGTTAAGTATTGAATTTCATATTGAGTGATTTAGGAGATGCAGTAATGTTAATCTATTGACTACTGAATTCATTAATTCCCTGAGGCTTAATACATTAGCCACCTGGTTCCCGTACGCAAAGGGTTGATATGTTTCAATATGGGATGCAAAGAGGAAAGAGTTCTTGCCAGGAAGTGTTAAAGTCAAAGTTGACAGAGATGACAAATATGCCAAGCAGCTTCTAACAATTTGAAATGAGTTGTTTGACACTTGCAGATTTGCAACAATAATACATGACATGTATTAGTAATCATTATATACACAAAATACAAATCAAACCATATTTCACTCATTTAGTCATTTGATGTATGTCATGATATAGGTCTTATGGTTTAGGCATGCGTGGATGCAGACTGCTGTAAAACCAGAAACCTTTGCATGTAAGAAACTTTGAAAAATTGGTGAGTGGTCTAGATGTGCAAAGGTTTCATGCCCCCAAATAATTGAAGAGCTTCACAAAATTATTGAAAGATTTGTGTTGCGTAAGTGGTTGTTGTTTATTTTGTACAAATTTCTGGTTTTACATTAAGTAGATGAACTAAATCTTTATGATTTATTTATTTGATGCATGCCACTATATATATGTGTTTGATGATGACTGTGTGTTAATAAACAGGTTTCCTGAAGCCACCAAAACAAGACTCCATGTCTGTCAAATCCAACATGAGTCGCGCAACGAGCAGTCTTGAGCTGCTTGCTCACAGGAAGACACCAGATGCGTCTACTCTTCTTGATTCAATGAACGAAGGTGATGAGGGTGGAGAAGAAGAGATGACAGAGGGTGGAGGAGATACATCTTCTTTACTTCATGAAACATCAGAGCAGCTTAGAGATGGTAGTACAGAGAATCTAGAGCATGCGCTGACCCATCAAAATCGGCCGCTCCATGTATCTCACACTAATAAGGGCAAAAAACACAAGTTGCTGCACCCTTCTAACCTTCATGGTGACCCCAAGATGAAAGCTTTGAGCTTGTAGAAGATGATCTGGTCAATATCAGTATCCCTGATAGACGTGTCCTTTCAGCTATTCCTGAAGCAGACAGTGTCTTTGACTCTGACGCTGAACAAAACATTGATACCCCTTCACCAAGCAACCCCAATCCTGTACATCCTCCCAATTACCAAAGCAACACACCCCTCGTGGACACCACCACATTCCCAAACTCACCCCATCTTGCAACCCCTTCCCCAAACACACCCCTGCACGGCACCCCTTCCCCAATCCCACCCTATCACCTGTCTGAGAGTAAGGAGGATGAGCCACACCTTGTTGCTTCTGATCTTGGAGATGGTGAGATGCGGACAGAGGATGATCCCTATAATCCTGTAGAAGCTGCTGGATTAGAGTACCTCGCCGACAGGAATCGTCACCGAAGAAAATCCAAGATCTTCCGATCATCTCTCGTCCGATCTCTCAGTAGTATGTCATGCACAACCTTTCCTCCCACGTACCTTCATCCTATCTACCCTCATATGTTCTATTCAACTTGTTCATTTCTACTTGGGGTCTATTCCTTCTTGAATTTGTGGAACACTTTTGAGTCAGCTTACCTTGCAAAGCAACTTTATTGAGATCATTGATCACATTTCTGTCATCATTGAGTTGATATTTCCTGCTCTTATGTATTTGCATGTTTACTTGTTTCTGCATATGATTATTTCGTCTTTATCTTTGTTCAATGTTATCATATGATGTCCTTATGTAAAGTATTGTATTTGATTTGAATAAATTCAAACAAAATAAAAGTATACTCTGGATTAAATTCAAACAGTATTGAATTTAACACAACTAGGCAATCTGAAAGTATGCTATATTTTCTAAACAATGCCCATCTACACGCAAAAGTAATATTACCAGTGTGGTTATTAAGCAAAACATCCCACCTTTTCCATGGCAACAGTATTATATAAAGTTATAAAATACATATATGCATAAATCTTCTTCCCAATTTTATCAAAGCACATCAAAGTATTGTTATGACACATGTGAGGGAATATACAAATATTTGTTTTCCGAGCATTCTATTGATTTTTTCTTCTTCAATTAACCACATTTGTTCCCATTAAAGTGAAGATATTTAGATTTCTTGAAAAAATATTTTCAGTTCTGTTTGTTTTATATTTCTTGATGATTACTGAATCATAATTAATCAAGGTCACAACTACAAACAATATAAAGAAAAAACAAAAACAAAAACTTGTGCATAAGCTTGAAGAGATGAACCCATTTAAAATTTAATCATTCAACATCACAGATCGTATATTTGTTTGTATAAGTCTATATACTCATTATTCTTTTCATCTAATGCAGGAGTTTCTATTCATTTTCTCTTTTCCATTTCTAGTTTTGTATACTTCACATTGTGCATTTCTACGGCAGGCTTCGTATCCTCTTGATGACCAAACAAGTTTACATTTTATAATTCATTTTGTTTCTAATTTCTCTTTTGACTCATTTATCACATCAGCAGTATACTTTGGTTTTATTTTTCTTACAGCTTTATTCTGGCAGAATGCAGATTATCACTTAACTTTTTGTACACGCATATTCTTCAGGCAGGCTTCAATCAAGCTGCATGTTGTTGCATGTGATGATTATTAATGGAGAACTAACGCTAGATATATTGCACCAATAACGATTTTAATCCCTGTGTGCACTAACGTTGTTCATCATCTTTATCCATAGTGTATCGTAACAAGATGTGTGTGTGTGTGTGTGGGAGATACTAATTGCATGGTAGTTTGACCCATGCTTGCACACGCTAGTGCTACAAGTGTGTTCTTACCAAGTTAATGTACCGGTACTTATTTTCTGGCAGTGTGATCGGGTTACTAACATTAGTTTAGATAAAATGTTAAAGTTTACTTGTTATGTGTGTTTAATACGATAGCAGTAGACCAATATGTTTTCATTTAAACATTTTGATGTTTATTTATACCTAGTTGTAGTTACTTTTTTCATTTTAATATGGGGCTTTAACTTTAATTATACTTTTGAATGTGTTTTCATATACAGGTTTTTTAAAATAATGAAATTAAGAGAGAAAACTGAAAAAAGAGGGAGGGGGAGTTTGTAATCCTTTTATCTTTTTTAGAATGGAATATTATATATAGAATATTCAACATCAACATTACAGTCAGAGCAGAATTTAATACTTTTTTAACATGTATGTTATTGGTGTAGGAAAAAGGGAAAAGTATTAGAAGATAAATCAAAACATGTTTGTACACACATGAAGACAGGTGGAATAATTTATATATCGTCGCTGTTTTCACGAAGTGACGGTAGTGAAAAAAAATTGCATTCACTTTGCGTTACGATTTTCCTCACTACCGTCACTTCGTGAAAACAAGGACGATATGTTGATATGTCGATGTATGAGAGATAGCTGAATGAGGGGTAGCTGTATGCATACTAAAGCAATTTGAATGTTTTCTCTATCTAGGTATGGGAGGTAATGGTATGGCGACTGTATCCCTCGGACAAGGGCAAGGTCCTATTGCTGCCAAGATGATCAATGAGGTAAGATAGATATTCTGAAGGAGATTTACTTGGATAGACATACTTTACTAAACAAATAATAACACAATGCTATACTTCATTCTCAATAAGTCGGTACAGTATATTGATTTTTAAATAGGTGAATTTTTTCTTTAATATTTAAAGAACAGCAGTTGTTATTTACATGAAATACATTTATAGATTTTATAAACTTAAAGATAAACTTGAGTTATGGTAAAAGAAAGAAAATGAATTCTCACAGAATCAAACAAAACTTACACTGAATGTTCAAGATTACAAATAAATGTCATTTGCCAAAAATTTTTGGTAGAAAATGTATACTGACTGACTGAAAAATGAGCATAGAAAGATAAGGAAATCAAGGTAAGTAGCCCTGACACCATTTGTGTAGGTAGTCTAATATACATCTTTCTGTGTACAGTGCTTGTTACTTTACCAAGACTGGGCCAAATTTATTATGATTTTGATGACTCCAGAACCTTGCAGTACACACCAATACTTACATGCTACATGATCAACTTTTTTCTGATCCATTCCACACCTTTTCTTTCACAATGCAATGGCATGACTAGAACTCATCTTTGTCTTTAATGTTTCCTTTTCTATTACATTTATCTGTACCTGTATTTCTATGTAGTATGGAAGAGACATGAATCTTCCTTTCAGAAACATGGAATGAATATAACCTCTTTGGCACATTACATTGTAATACTGAAGATGTCTCATTGTGGTTGTGATGTATCAATCCTCATCTTTGATTTGATCCTCTCCAGGCTGTAGAGCATGGTACCTGGGTAGTGCTTCAGAACTGTCACTTGGCGTTGTCATGGTTACCAACCCTAGAGAAGATCTGCGAGGAGTTGATCACGGACAGCGAGAAGACCCGTCCTTCCTTCCGTCTGTGGCTGACCAGCTACCCGACCCCGACCTTCCCTGTCTCCATCCTCCAGAATGGCATCAAGATGACCAATGAACCTCCCAAGGGTCTCAGGGCTAACCTGCTTAGGTCTTACCTTAATGATCCTATATCAGATCCAGAGTTTTTCAATGGATGCACCAAACCAGACGTAAATATTATTTTTTTCATTTTTTCTGTAGATAATTATAGATTAGGATGAGATATGATTAGATTAACCAGGTCAGCTAGGAACTTTTTTTCATCCATCCATAATATTATTTTTATTATCTGAGAGTTTTTGTTATCTGACTAGAATATTTAGATGTGCTTGTGTCAGGTATATATACTAGAGAAGTGATGGAGGAGTTTCAAAGTGTGTTAAAACAATTGCAATTACAATTTAATTGTACGAAAAAAGCAGGTAGTAGGAGCAGTAGATGACACAAATAAAAAAAAGGGAGGAGACAAGAAAATGGCAGTAGTTTGATGCATGCGAACTTGATGAAGCTAATATCAAAATCTATTGAACATGAGTTGATAGTAACAAATTTGTATGATGTTTTCTTTTACAGTTATGGAAGAAGCTACTGTTCAGCCTTTGTTTCTTCCATGCCTTGGTTCAAGAGAGAAGGCAGTTTGGACCTCTTGGTTGGAACACACCGTATGAGTTCAACGAATCAGATCTTAGGATTAGTGTTAGACAACAGCAGGTAAGCTTACCTAAATCATCCTGGATGTTTTTTTCTTTTATATGCCTCCGTTACGAATTATCCGGGGCATTATGTTTTCGGTTGTCCGTCCATCTGTACTTGACGAGTTTGCGATGGTATGCTTGTGTGTTTAGTTTTACGTATGAGATATCCTTGTGTGTCACTTTAGACTTGTGTGTCTAGCCACACAAGAAAACTATCATATTCAGTGTCTAAGATGTCTGACATGTCATTTCTAATCAACTAAGATTTAGTCACACAAGAAAAGTTTCTCCCAAAAAAAGACCAAAATAAATGTCCAAATTTTAGAGAGGGGTTGTGTCCAAGTAGCAAAACGGAATAGTGCCATCTACAGTTGACATCCAGGTAGCTAGGTACTATGCGCATCTGCAGTACTTGTGTGTGTGACTTGTTAGTGTGTAGTATTTGTAAGCAAAGTAGTAGGCAGTGTATGGCTCTGTGTGTGTGTGTGTGTGTCATGGGTGGATGGTTTTGTGTGTGCAGTGTACATAATACATGTAATGTTTTTTTATGCCACACAAGCCTTAATTTTCTTGAATTGGACAGGGATAGACAATAATGTCGTTCTGCCACACTAGCCTTAATTTTCATGACTTGGACAGAGGTATATAATACATGTAATGTCTTTCTGCCACACAAGCCCTAATTTTCTTGACTTGGACAGGGGAAGATAATAATGTCTTTCTGACACACAAGCCTTAATTTTCTTGACTTGGACTGGGGTAGATAATAATGTCTTTCTGCCACACAAGCCTCTATTTTCTTGACTTGGACAGGGGTAGACAATAATGTCTTTCTGCCACACAAGCCTTAATTTTCATGACTTGGACTGGGGTAGATAATAATGTGTTTCAGCCACACAAGCCCTAATTTTCTTGACTTGGACAGGGGTAGACAATAATGTGTTTCTGCCACACAAGCCTTAATTTTCTTGACTTGGACAGGGGTAGACAATAATGTCGTTCTGCCACACAAGCCTTAATTTTCATGACTTGGACAGAGGTATATAATGCATGTAATGTCTTTCTGCCACACAAGCCCTAATTTTCTTGACTTGGACACGGGAAGATAATAATGTCTTTCTGACACACAAGCCTTAATTTTCTTGACTTGGACTGGAGTAGTTAATAATGTCTTTCTGCCACACAAGCCTCAATTTTCATGACTTGGACAGAGGTATATAATACATGTAATGTCTTTCTGCCACACAAGCCCATTATTTTCTTGACTTGGACTGGGGTAGATAATAATGCCTTTCTGCTACACAAGCCCTAAGTTTCTTGACTTGGACAGTGGTTCAGGTATATAATCGAGTAATGTTTTTATGCCACACAAGCCTTAATTTTCTTGACTTGGACTGGGGTAGACAATAATGTCTTTCTGACACACAAGCCTTAATTTTCTTGACTTGGACTGGAGTAGTTAATAATGTCTTTCTGCCACACAAGCCTTAATTTTCATGACTTGGACAGAGGTATATAATACATGTAATGTCTTTCTGCCACACAAGCCCATTATTTTCTTGACTTGGACTGGGGTAGATAATAATGCCTTTCTGCCACACAAGCCCTAATTTTCTTGACTTGGACAGTGGTTCAGGTATATAATTGAGTAATGTTTTTATGCCACACAAGCCTTAATTTTCTTGACTTGGACTGGGGTAGACAATAATGTTTTTCTGCCACACAAGCCTTAATTTTCTTGACTTGGACTGGGGTAGATGACAATATCTTTCTGACACACAAGCCTTAATTTTCATGACTTGGACAGAGGTATATAATACATGTAATGTTTTTTTTATGCCACACAAGCCCTAATTTTCTGGACTTGAACAGGGGTAGACAATAATGTCTTTCTGCCACCCAAGCCTTAATTTTCTGGACTTGGACAGGGGTAGACAATAATGTCTTTCTGTCACACAAGCCTTAATTTTCTTGACTTGGACTGGAGTAGATAATAATGTCTTTCTGCCACACAAGCCTTAATTTTCATGACTTGGACAGAGGTATATAATACATGTCGTTCTGCCACACTAGCCTTAATTTTCATGACTTGGACAGAGGTATATAATACATGTAATGTCTTTCTGCCACACAAGCCCTAATTTTCTTGACTTGGACAGGGGAAGATAATAATGTCTTTCTGACATACAAGCCTTAATTTTCTTGACTTGGACTGGGGTAGATAATAATGTCTTTCTGCCACACAAGCCTCTATTTTCTTGACTTGGACAGGGGTAGACAATAATGTCTTTCTGCCACACAAGCCTTAATTTTCATGACTTGGACTGGGATAGATAATAATGTGTTTCAGCCACACAAGCCCTAATTTTCTTGACTTGGACAGGGGTAGACAATAATGTGTTTCTGCCACACAAGCCTTAATTTTCTTGACTTGGACAGGGGTAGACAATAATGTCGTTCTGCCACACAAGCCTTAATTTTCATGACTTGGACAGAGGTATATAATGCATGTAATGTCTTTCTGCCACACAAGCCCTAATTTTCTTGACTTGGACACGGGAAGATAATAATGTCTTTCTGACACACAAGCCTTAATTTTCTTGACTTGGACTGGAGTAGTTAATAATGTCTTTCTGCCACACAAGCCTCAATTTTCATGACTTGGACAGAGGTATATAATACATGTAATGTCTTTCTGCCACACAAGCCCATTATTTTCTTGACTTGGACTGGGGTAGATAATAATGCCTTTCTGCTACACAAGCCCTAAGTTTCTTGACTTGGACAGTGGTTCAGGTATATAATCGAGTAATGTTTTTATGCCACACAAGCCTTAATTTTCTTGACTTGGACTGGGGTAGACAATAATGTCTTTCTGACACACAAGCCTTAATTTTCTTGACTTGGACTGGAGTAGTTAATAATGTCTTTCTGCCACACAAGCCTTAATTTTCATGACTTGGACAGAGGTATATAATACATGTAATGTCTATCTGCCACACAAGCCCTAATTTTCTGGACTTGGACAGGGGTAGACAATAATGTCTTTCTGCCACACAAGCCTTAATTTTCTGGACTTGGACAGGGGTAGATAATAATGTCTTTCTGTCACACAAGCCTTAATTTTCTTGACTTGGACTGGAGTAGATAATAATGTCTTTCTGCCACACAAGCCTTAATTTTCTTGACTTGGACTGGAGTAGTTAATAAGGTCTTTCTGCCACACAAGCCTTAATTTTCATGACTTGGACAGAGGTATATAATACATGTAATGTTTTTTTTATGCCACACAAGCCCTAATTTTCTGGACTTGGACAGGGGTAGACAATAATGTCTTTCTGCCACACAAGCCTTAATTTTCTGGACTTGGACAGGGGTAGATAATAATGTCTTTCTGTCACACAAGCCTTAATTTTCTGGACTTGGACAGGGGTAGACAATAATGTCTTTCTGTCACACAAGCCTTAATTTTCTTGACTTGGACTGGGGTAGATGACAATATCTTTCTGACACACAAGCCTTAATTTTCATGACTTGGACAGAGGCATATAATACATGTAATTTTTTTTTTATGCCACACAAGCCCTAATTTTCTGGACTTGGACAGGGGTAGATAATAATGTCTTTCTGTCACACAAGCCTTAATTTTCTTGACTTGGACTGGAGTAGATAATAATGTCTTTCTGCCACACAAGCCTTAATTTTCATGACTTGGACAGAGGTATATAATACATGTAATGTCTTTCTGCCACACAAGCCCATTATTTTCTTGACTTGGACTGGGGTAGACAATAATGTCTTTCTGCCACACAAGCCCTAATTTTCTTGACTTGGACAGTGGTACAGGTATATAATACATGTAATGTTTTTATGCCACACAAGGGTTAGTCTTCTTGACTTGGACAGGGGTAGACAATAATGTCTTTCTGCCACACAAGCCTTAATTTTCATGACTTGGACAGGGGTAGATAATAATGTCTTTCTGCCACACAAGCCTTCATTTTCATGACTTGGACAGGGGTAGATAATAATGTGTTTCTGCCACACAAGCCTTAATTTTCTTGACTTGGACAGGGGTAGACAATAATGTCTTTCTGCCACACAAGCCTTAATTTTCTTGACTTGGACTGGAGTAGTTAATAATGTCTTTCTGTCACACAAGCCTTAATTTTCTTGACTTGGACTGGGGTAGACAATAATGTCTTTCTGCCACACAAGCCTTAATTTTCTTGACTTGGACAGAAGTAGATAATAATGTCTTTCTGTCACACAAGCCTTAATTTTCTTGACTTGGACTGGAGTAGATAATAATGTCTTTCTGCCACACAAGCCTTAATTTTCATGACTTGGACAGAGGTATATAATACATGTAATGTCTTTCTGCCACACAAGCCTTAATTTTCTTGACTTGGACAGGGGTAGATAATAATGTCTTTCTGCCACACAAGCCTTAATTTTCTTGACTTGGACAGGGGTAGATAATAATGTCTTTCTGTCACACAAGCCTTAATTTTCTTGACTTGGACAGGGGTATATAATACATGTAATGTTTTTATGCCACACAAGCCTTAATTTTCTTGACTTGGACTGGAGTAGACAATAATGTCTTTCTGCCACACAAGCCTTAATTTTCTTGACTTGGACTGGAGTAGACAATAATGTTTTTATGCCACACAAGCCTTAATTTTCTTGACTTGGACAGGGGTAGGCAATAATGTCTTTCTGTCACACAAGCCTTAATTTTCTTGACTTGGACAGGGGGACAATAATGTCTTTCTGCCACACAAGCCTTAATTTTCATGACTTGGACAGAGGTATATAATACATGTAATGTCTTTCTGCCACACAAGCCCATTATTTTCTTGACTTGGACTGGGGTAGATAATAATGCCTTTCTGCCACACAAGCCCTAATTTTCTTGACTTGGACAGTGGTTCAGGTATATAATCGAGTAATGTTTTTATGCCACACAAGCCTTAAATTTCTTGACTTGGACTGGGGTAGACAATAATGTTT